ATGGCATGCTGTTGGGGCATACATTTGAATCATCTTCAATTGATAGTGTTTTGAGAATGGTGCTGTAATCCGGGCAACTATATCCAATGAACTTTTGAACTCTAAAACTAAGATTTCTAGAGGGCCTTAATAATCCCACTTCTTCATCTTACTTGTAACTCTTTGATATAAAACGTTGTCACTCTTCAGACGTATGCTTTCCTTCGCACCGCATTAATTGCTATAAACGAATTGAGTGGATTACATTTAAGCTGTATTTGGGGCACTGGTGGACACCTTTTGGAGTACTGTGTCATAGGAACTGCTTTGAAAAATATAATTGCTAGAAAGCAAACATTTTCAAAATATGATGTTTTGTCGTTTTTGGTTTTTAGTCATTTGCAGAGGCATGTGTAAAATGACTAAAGCTGCAATATTTCCCAAAGATAACACGGTGCCCCCATTCATTTTTTCACTCTAAATATTAAAATAATTTCTTGAGGATTATAAAGTCGTGAAAGCAGAGACAAAAATAAATCAGGCCAATCCAAAGCATGCATAACAGGATGATATGATCGCGACATTTGGGAAATGAAGCAAAATAAATTATGCAAATAAAAACCTGCTTGCGAAAATCTATTTTGAAATAAGTGATGTAAGAGTGTATGTCACTTATTTCCTAAGGTGGCCCAAAGGCTAACATGGGATAATGATGATAAATTATGGTAATAGATGGGTATGGCATTCAATTAGCATGCCGCTTGGCAAGAGTGTGTTAAGAATAGAATGGCGCTTAATTGGCTGAAATTGATGTTGCACATGGCATAAGCCAATTTGCATAAAGTCTTGAAGCATGAGGAGAGCGGAACGACTCTTGTATGAAATGATGTACACATTTAAATTGCTAGAAGTGAGCTAAGAGGACAATATTTTATTCGTGCAATTAATGCGTATTTTAAACACATTAAACATTTTGGAAGTGTTCACTGTGGTTTGTTAATGGCTGAAGCCTGATAATACTGTACAGTAATTTCAATATTTATATTTTCAATTAAGCCAGGTCTAAGCCAATGCAGAAATCATCTTTTTGACTAATAATAATTTGGCTCAAACTGGTTGGGCTGTTGTTACCGAGACCTCGCGTATGATTCCTGGCAGCCACCTGTGATGAAACCATTGGGATGGATTCATAAATTAATTCTTAAGATCAAGATGCCTCGACGTGCAAGGTAAGAAGCTATGTTTTTAAATTCAGATGTCCTTTTATGCAACGGGGTCACGGCACCCCTGCATCAATTAAAAAAAAAACCTCTGAATCACGACCAATTCATCTATCTGCAGGCTGGGTGAATTGTCCCACCCATAGTTTTATTATTCTCAAGGGTAACAATTTGATAGTCTCAGCCTATGTACTGTATAGAGGATCACCAAAAACTCATACAATTTTCCACCGACTGGATGATGTTGAGTGATTAAATTCCCACAAGTAAAACGATTTTTGAGTGAATTGTGTGACGGTAGACCGTTATCGGTGCTCGACTGTGCAAAGTAGGTCACTGCAGGCGTCACTTGGCAATAATTTAGGAAGAACAACTTGACTGGATTGGTAATATCTCAAGTACGCTAGCTGTAGTCCTTATCCCTGCAGTCCCTTTGGACAGGAAACCAACGGAAAAGTAAAACTGGTTAGGGAGGAATGGGAGATAATAAGGTTATATTTGGTTGTATGGAGTCACCTTGGGTAGGGAATCTTCAAATGAGAGTAGCTAACAGGCTTCTTGTAATCAAGTTGATGATAAGTTGCCCATAAAATGTGTTGAGCTGTTTGAACATCCTTGCGTGCAGTATTTATTTATAGAAAACCAATAGGCACTAACTAATACGCTCATTAACCGTTCGCCTGCAAACATAAGGAGCTTTCTGAATTCCAACTATTTTCATGCTTGTCTTGTTCAAATATATAGAGAAAAAATAGGTTTATACGAAAGGCATACATTTTGACATCCGTAATTCAACATTAGTGGTTGTTACTTTTATGTATTCGTTTGGTTGTCGCGGTGAAATATTGCTTATAAAATATCTTACCGCAACTTAGATGTGCATGCATGTATGTATGCTGAACTTCTTTCGCACCGTGCGTAGGCGACCGTGCAAATCGGAGGGAGAAGGCCCACAAAATGTGTGGCGTTGTCAAGGTCTCACCCCCTCCTGGTGTTTTTTTGTTTGCTTTTTAAACCGAAGCACTGCGAGTCTTGGGAGAATCTCTCAATATTTACCGGTTGCTCAACAGCATTGAAAGCATGTATTACAGTCACAGCATATAGCTTCATAATATAGAGGCATAGATGCAGAGAATGAGAGGTGATCCTGACTAACGTAAACAAAATGATCAGACTAGAATGGCATTCTAAGCTGTTGATTTTTATACCAAAACTAAGAGGTTGAGAGAAGGGTAAAACTGAGACGTCACTTTCCAAAAATGCATTTTGAGTGGCACCGTAGTATGTACAGACACACACACGCACATGGAGAAAGCCTTTTGAGATGCTCACTGTATGAAAGGGCTTTGTAGTCGCGACGGCAGACACTGCTGGTTGACTGCTTTGAGGTATTCTTGCAGTGGGTGGCATGTCTCTGCATGCTTAATCTACCTCCAGTGCAAATGTACATTCTTTTGTTTGGCGCATTGCTTCATCCAGGTGCTTAGGATTTATCTTGGGTCACACCTGCCGCAATCTCTTGAGGCCAGCAATTATTGTTGATTCGTACTAATTTTACAGCATGATTACAATGTGCAAAGAAGCGCGAAGAGGCACAGGGTTTGTAATTATGCCGGGGACTGACAGAGAAATGCATGGACCAGAGAACCGACGTAGATTAGACGTGCCGTATTGGATGGCTAGTAGCCGTGTAACGATGCATAGATTCATCAATGTGTAATGATGCAGTTGTACAATGCAGAGCGGCCAAATAAATCAAATCATTTGTTTGGGGCTAAGTGGTTGTTGGGGCCATTTGGATGATTGGTTGAAGCGATATTTGTGAAGCATGCTTTCTGAGTACTGTCATCTTCCGAGTACAGTACTGTTCACATGGCACCACTGAGAGAAGAAGTTTGCCTCTTAGACTATGTTGTTTACATTCTGTGCTGTAGGAATCATTGCTGAGACATGATTAACTATAAAGACGCAAATACATTAATCGAGAGTGAGTATTTGCTCCGTGAAAAATGTTTAAAGGACAATGAAACAACCTTATGGTTGTCCAGGTGCAGTGAAAATAAATCAATCGAAGGTGCAGATGTAAAAACTGACTATTTTGAGTCAATCCAATGTGAACAATACTGGTTGTGGTGTTAGACTGGTGCTTGATCAGCAGTATTCTTGTCGAAATGTTTTACACCATCGTGTTCAGAAGGGGTCGAAAATTTCACCTAGCCCCTCCAAACCCAGGGATTAGATTAATGTTACCAATCAGTGAAAAGAGTACATTATTTAATGAACATCTCAATCCTGGCACCTGTATATTTGGAGTTTGCATATTCTCCCCGTGGTTGCGTGGATTTTTCTCCAGTTTTTCCCTTCCACATTTAGAATCAACATCATGCTATAAATTTCCACATAAGCCACTTAATTGAGCTCTCATTTGTGGCCAGGTCACTTCTCGAAAAGAGCTGGTATTACTCAGTGGGCCTTACCTGGTAAAACACATTTTAAAAATAATTGATTAGTTTTAATAGTTTTATTTTGCTTTACATTGTGTTGAACTGTAGTGTCTGCTGTGTAACGTGAACCCATGACATACAACATACATGATACAAAATAGAAAAACTGTTTCTTTCACACGAGTCGTGGTGTGCACCTCAGAATCTATTTTCATTTATTTCATTTCATAGCTGGTCCTCTATAATTCATAATTAGGTTAGGGATTATCCATTCAATGTACCTTATGAAGGAACATCCAGAGATAAATATTATTTTAGGGTAGTTTTTTTAAGTGCCTTTTAAAGGATTTGTGTTTTCTGACTATAAACATGTACTGCAATTTAACACATTTCTGCATTGACAAATGCTGTTTCCTTGTCAATTTAATTAATACAATGCAATGTATATTCACACAGCAATTATATAACAGTCGTGTCCATATGCCATTTAACCTATTTAAGCATGATGTTACCACCCTTTTCACCCTGCTGTGACACGCTTAACAAAAGCTCGTGGAGCACAAACGTGCCTCTTACCACGGTTACCTTGACACGAGCATCACATATACGGCCTGATCACTGTTATTAGACGACGTGCGGTCACAATTACGCATTCATATTTAACTCGGCTGAGCCCCGGCCTCTCCAAGTCTTGCCACGTGTTGGTGGAACGGCTATTTATAATTAATAACGCGCCACTTTTTACCCGACCACTGTAAGGCACGAGTGCCTCGCTCACATTTAATGCCACAGTGCAGTGTCAAGAGGAGGCGGCGGCGAATAAATGGAAGTCCATTATCTGTAATATTCCGCAGCTGTTGCGTAGCAACGGGTCTGATCCTAATGGTCAATCGCAGGCTGCCTCTCGCTCTTTTGCTACGTGAGTGGGGGGGGGGCACATTAAAGGGAAGTGGTCCCGAGATAACCCTTTGTAATCGCAGGCTTTCTTAACTGTATGAGAGATATTCTTAGCTCTTTCGGTAAAGTCACGTTGAAGGGAAACAATAAAATAATAAGTATGAGAGATGCATTTAGAGTGGTAACAGCCGCAAGCGGGGCAACGACACGACACAGGAATTGCATTCTTCAGCCTTGCAGAATTCCGAGGTGGACTACATTAACGTCCGCATTTTTATTTGTGCACTGCTTTAAGTAATATGCATTTGCTCAGCCGTTTGCGTAAATTTGCGGGGACACATTGGAGTGCACAATGAGCAGTCAACTTTGTCAGCCTGTTGGCCTCTTTGCCTTCGGAGCGAAAGCTCCACGTATCAATAATTCACAACGTTTCTTGCCATTTCTTCTTCTAACACTACAGTTAAGGAAATCCGGAGACTCCAGGAAGAAAGCAACGGAAAATTTTCCATCCCCATCCAGAGAGACTCCAGGGAAGAGTCCGTTTACAGCCTAAGACGAGAGCCTAGCTACTTTGAAATCCCAACCAAAGACTTCCAGCAGCTACAGCACCAGCAGCAGGTTCTGCAGCAGCAGCAGAAGCAGCAGCAACAGCAGGTGGCACCGCCAGGAAAGCCACCGCGGCCGCCTGTCCACGAGGCTCCGACGCGGGACGTCGCGTCTTCCGAAGCAGACCCAACGACGCAGGCTGTCGTGCAGAGCCACGCCTCCTTCACCATCGAGTTTGACAGCGCCAAGCCGGGCCGTGTCATGATAAAGGACCGCGCCGCTAAATTCGCCGCGGACACCGGTCTCCGGCAGAGGCCGAAGCCAGGTCCCCCGAGCCAGCCGCAACAACAACAGCAGCAGCAGCAGCCGGCGCCGACCGTGGCGGCGGCGGCGGCGGTGGCGACGGCTCCGAGCCCGGCGTCCGCCTCGCGTTCGGCGTCCTCGCAAGTGGACGCGGCCACTGCCACCGCCAGGAACAAGGTGCACGATTGGCTGGCGCAGCAGGAGCCCATCGTGTCCATGATCCGCAAGGACCTGGCGAGCGACGACGTGATGAGCACCAAGAGCGACGTCCCCGTGCACGGCAAAGTACTGAAAGGTGACGACGGTTGGCAGTGGGGCGGCGTGGTCGACGTGCTTACGTGGGCGCTTGTAAGGGTGGCTCGCTCGATGCGTATTTGCTAAAGATTGCGCATTTGCGGTGCGAGTTGCGGTGCGGTGAATTCCGCTAAAGTCTCGTTAGCTGTCCATATTCATAAATGTATCCATAGCTTGTTACTATTTATGAATTATCAATTCAAATGTAATTATATCAAGTGATCTCTCCTGTAAAGCAAATGTGGGACAATGTCTAGTCAGAAATAATGGACACTTTTAGAAATATTTAAACAGGAGCCTGTGGTTTGGATTTGTTAAAGTGCCTATATTTGTATAGATTTGAGAGTAGTTTGGAACTGTGACAATCATAATGCTTTAACAAAACGGTTATTTAATTTTAGCTGCATACATTATTAATGCAAAAACATCGTTGAAAATGTATTTATTATTCTTTCCTGAAATGTATACATTTTACAACATTTTAACCATTGAAGACACTTCGAAGGGTGTACATTTCATGAAAACATCGTGTGCTGTCATGTCGTGTTCATAATGACTTTTTAATTAACACCGTGAAGCCGGTAGGCTTTTGTTGTTACGCACGTTACTCCGATGGGCAATAGGAGCATCGCTGGCTGGTTGCCGTGTATTTGTCTAAAGCAACCTTGCGTGCGTGCGTGCGCGTGTCGCTGGACCTGCAGGCAGCAAGCACAGGGACGGCACGAGAAGCGATGACGAGGCAGACGCAGAGAGTGACCCAAAGCAGCCGTCGGATAAGACGAGTCCCGTGGCCGATGCACCACCGGGCCCTAAGGTACAATCGAATGTCTCTCATTCAGCCATCGGTACCACTTGAGGAAGTATAAACGTTAGTAGTGTACGCTCTTTGGTTCTTTCGGTAAAGTCACGTAGGCATGAAATAAAATTACATCCCGACGTTTCGGGCGCAACACAAGCGTCCGCCATCAGGTGGGGAAGCATGATGACGGACGCTTGTGTTGCACACGAAACGTCGTGATTTATTTTATTTTATACCTACATGACTTTACCGAAAGAACCAAAGAGTATGGATCCCTGCAGTCACGAAAGCTGCAAATCAAGATCGTTAGTAACGTATTTGTTTGACTAATTAGAGTGAATTCGTCAAAAACTCGTTTTAAATGGTTATCACATCATTTATTGATATTGACCATATATCTGGACATATGTGAAAACAATCTTCATAGCTCATGGGATTCCTGCAAGATAAATAATGATTCTGCTTCTGATATTGATTAATTGGAATTGCTCAAGTTTTTTGATATCGGTGTCGCCGCCTGTTGGACTCTTGTGGTATTACCAGCTGTAGTAATGTACCCGCAGCGCCCATCACGCCTCACTCCTCTGTACCTCAAAGTCATGCCACTTCAGGTGGTACCGACAAGTTAACCCTTTCCCGTTCCGAGATGTACACAAGCTGCAGCGTGGGTCTCGCTTTCATCGCTCAATCTCGGAACGCGCAAGTGGTTAGCGTTAATTTTATTTAGAGGCATAGCGCTGTTGTTTTTAAAGATATTGTACTCACCGCAGAGAACTGTAGCGACACGACCGCACTCTTATGATAGCTGGTGCCAAACTGTGCTGCACGACCTCTCGCATGTCCTTGCGGGAGCCTCGGTACGTCTTCAGGTTGGATAAAGTTATTTTATATTAGCTTTTCTTCTGATTCCTTTCCGATGACGTACGTGTAAGCTAAGCATCTGGTCTGGGCTCATGGACTACATGGCTTGTGGGTGGTATCACGCATTCATTATCTTTTGTAACCAAATTTAATTAACGATTGTGCTATCGGCATCACATCGCAAGACGAACGGGTAAGTGTACCACCCTGTCGGAGAAGAGTCAAGGATGATAACTTTACAGAACTACTTGTCACTTCAGTAGGCCTCTTCATCAACTCTGCTTGAGTCACATTCACAATCAAACTGGAATGCTTAATTCTCATAACTGGTAAGGGCCTCATTAAGTGAAATCCCAAATTTAATATGGTGACTGGGCTGAGACCACCAACACAGTATGCTTGAGAACATGTTTTCATTGGGGGTTGCTGCCAGGATTCAATCCCAGGATCTCAGTATTGCCACTTCTGCTCTGATCTAACATGAACCTCCTGGAGTTACACAACTTACCTACATTGGTATAATTTATCAGTGTTTCAGTTTATTTTATTTAATGTATTTATTATACATGCAGCCCATTTGCGACGACACCATGGGGCATTATCTGCACTAATGTATTAATTTTATGCTCTTATACCATCACGATTTCGGCTATAACAAAAGAATAAAGTGGATTTATATTGAACGTATCGTCTGTATATTTTACATTCAGCAACTACCTTTGATGAAACCAGATTTTTTTGTTCCGTCAGCGTACAATGCAATACTTGAAAATGAATTGCCCACGTGATACATTTTTCGTTGCTGCCAAACAGAGCAGTTGCTACTGTTAATCGGTAGAAACAAATGAGGATCTAGGTGGCATGGTACAGATTGAATGACAAATACGTTGAGCTTCATTCATGTGTTTGCAGATTCTGCAGATTTTCACTGTAAAAAAAAAACAGTTAATTCTGAAAAATATAGCGGCAATTGGGGCCTCTATCCATCAATAATTATTGGCAAAAACTGCTTTTCTGCCAACATATCCATCTCGGCCGCCTAATGTTGTAGTATAGCTCAGAGCTGCAATTTTCATGGCGAACGATATTTACTGTGCTGCCATTCCCTTCCCACTCCCCCCCCAGGCCTTCACCATCGAGTTCTTTGATGAAGACCACCCTCGCAAGAAGCGCTCCTCGTCTTTCACGCACCGCGACGGGGTGCCCTTCTCATCGAGCAGCCAGCCCGACCGCTCATCCTCTCCAGGCCTGGCAGCCAGGGGCGCGCGCACCACAAGCAAGACGCTGCCTCATCCGCTGCACCAGAATCAGCTGCCGCCTGCACCGCCCCCGCAGCAGCAGCAGCAGCAGCAGCAGCAGCCGCAGCAGCAGCCTCAGTTCTTCTCCCGCGCTGGGTCGCACCGGGCATACAGCAGCATGGGGCGGCGCTCCAAAGTATCGCTCGATTTCCAGCAGCTAAAGAAGGAAGTTACCGGCGGTAGCGGCGGCAGTGGTGGCGCAGATCGCGACAACGACACGGCTGGTTACAGTGTCGATGTCCGTCGCGGTGATGCTACGCGGGCAAACTCGGGAAGCCGCGACGACGACGACGATGATGATGTCGACGATGTTCAAAGCGGTGGCAACCGCGGGGAAGACGCGGGCAGGGGCGAGGAGGACAACCACAGTGATGCCGGCACGTACACCATCGAGAGCGAGATCAAGAACAAGGAGGAGGAGAAAGCTCGCAGCATGATCGACCAGGTGATGGCACGGCTGGGTCATTCATTCTCTTGATTAACCTGTCAACTTCCATGCAGAAACCTTACACGTGTCAAAGCTGATCGTGAAAGCCTTAACGATACCCTAATTGAGTTTATTGCGTAGAATGAATTGATTTATTCTGGCGAGGTAGCTCAGCGGTAGTGAGCGACTTGCAAACTTGAGGTTGCAAGTTTAAATTCCACTTCCGGGTTACCTCAGCCCATCATCCCTCTGGAGTCGATAGAAAGAGGTCCACTTGTGGGGTAGTTAACAGTGGTTGTCTTACGGATAGACCCGTCCCAACCATAGCAACGTGGAATTTCCACCACTGGCTTCATGTGGCTGTTGTAATCAGGACATGAGCACCGCCCCAATGCTCATTTGCTCAGAGAACCACTTTGATTAACAGCGAGGCTATAGCTCAGTTTGTGCTGCCAGCTCGCGGTAACGAGGATGCATGAAGTCATCATCGTTGTCATCATGAGTCATCACCACAGTAGTTTAATGTTTGTCTGTGTATCTTATAAAACTTGATATTTGCCGTGAAAGAAATTTGCGACGGCACTTCTTGTTGCCAATCGTATTATCTCTTCCACCTCTCTAAGCTGCATGCTCGAGCACCTCCTTGTCCCCCACGTGTGCCTCACCTTCCCGATTTAGCACGGTTGGCGATGTACACTTGACAGTGCCACTCAAAATGCATGTGGAAAAGTGAAATTTCAAGACCCTCCTCTCTCATTCGATGTTTGTCAGGATCACCTCTTTTTCTCTGCATCTATGCCTCTATGTTATGAATGTATATGCTGTGACTGTGATGCATGTTTTCAACTCTGTTGAATATTGAGAGATTCTCTTTGAACTTGCAGTGCTTCAGTTTAACAGCATATAAAAAAAAACTCCAGGAGGGGTGACCTTGAGGACAACACACTTAAATATTTTGAGCATTCACTCTCCGATTAGCACAGATGGCTACATATGGTGCGAAATAAGTTCAACATATATATATACGCACGCACGTATGTGCCTACCTGTTCCTCTGCCATCCCACAACTTTCTCTACTCGTGCAATATTCCCAATGCTTTGCCCTGCCTCCCCCCCCACCTCTTTCCCTACCTTGGCCCCAAGCAGGTATTTGGCGTGTCCGACCCGCACGAGTACCCGGGGGCGGCCTCGCCGGCACGACCCGCGTCCCGGACGCCGCCCCCGCCACCGCCCACGGCGACCGAACGTCAGGTCCGCAAGATGCTGCACTCCAAGAGCCAGTCCTTCAGCGGCGAGGAGTCTTTGAACTTCCCTGGTGCTGGCTCGGTAAAGGCAGCGCACGCCCAAACGATGTTGGCCTGCAATAAAGTCCACGTTTAAAAATGTATTTTAAATGTTTTTATCATTTATAATTCCCCTTGACATTCCACTTCCCAATACCATGTTGATCGTGGGGATTTTTTTGACCATATTTGCGGTTTCGTAAATGGGGGTTGGGTGCCCAGTATATGTTAAGATATCACTTGTCATTGATAAGGATGTTTGGCTATGTACGGTGCAAAAAAAGATCATCATACAGTATGCCCGAGTTACCCTTAGTGACCTCAAATATTGAATATCTTGGAAGCAAATTTTGATTTAAAGCTTTCGTGACTGCAGTAATTCATATTCTTAGCTATTTCGGTAAAGTCACGTTGAAGGGAAACAATAAAATAATAAAATATATATAAAACAATAAAAATTCTCACGACGTTTCGACCATAACACAAACGGTCATCATCAGGTGTGTCGGTTTGCATTAATTTATTTATAAACGGTGTGTTTATTTATTTAAAAAAAACGTCAGCGCCACGCGCAGCGATTTGGCAGTTTATTTAGAAGGACTAGTCCATCTATGTTCTGAAAACGTCGTGAGAATTTTTATTGTTTTATATATATTTTATTATTTTATTGTTTCCCTTCAACGTGACTTTACCGAAAGAGCTAAGAATATGAATATCTTGGAAGCAATTAGAGTTGAACCTGATTCGTACTTGTTTGGGAGACCGTATGGGAAAACCAGGTGCTGTATTCTTGGGCTACGAGGTGGCCAGGAGCTAACAGCAGTCCAGCATTGGAGTCTTGAGTCTAGCTTTGCGGAGTTTTGAATGTTACTCCTTATGTGTAGATTGTCTCTGGGTACTCTGGCTTTCTTCCATATTCTAACCACTCATTACTAGAATTGGACAAACATCCCAATGCAGGACCCCACTGAAAAACAGTATTGAGACTCAGGTTTTCCTGGGTAGATAAAGGACATTTGACCTTCCACCAAATTTCTACGAGATGTGTAATTTTTAATGAGGAAGACATTTGTTGTATTTTGTGACGAGATAATAACATCATTAATCAATGTAAATAAATGCTCGTCCTATGAGTAGACTGGCCTCTGTCATATGGAATGTGGAATTTCCACCACTGATTCAGGGTCAGTGACGGAGTCACGTTCTACCCCAGTGTAAAAGCATAATTACATGGGTGTATTTAAATGCACTTGATTAAACGTAATTTAGCAATGTTTTTCATTAAACGTCCTTGTCAATAAATCAGAATCAGGATCAGAAAGGGTTTTATTCGCCATGAAAGTTCACACCGACACGGAATAAATGGAGAGTACCGAGAAGAAATAACAAATTGATTTTTGAAAATGAGATAAATTTTTCTTATCGCCACGCACACAGCCCTTGCTGAGCAGACAACGGCATTTATTATTGGGTGCCTGGTTTGGGCGTGACAGAGCAAACTTTGACATCATCACACCACTTAATGTCACCTTTGGGCTTTTGTTGTAAACGCCAACTCATGACAACTTTTTACGTCGCGGTGTTTCTCGACGTGTTTTCACACCTTGCTTTGTCCTTTCTGTTAAGGCGTCTGGCTAGCCGAGTGGTTCGAGCATGGAAATAAAAATGTAATTCCTACTGTCACCTTTGACTAAACTTTATTGAATCATTCAGTTCCGCTTTTTGCCCCATGGCTTATAGTGAAATTTTTGCGTGGAAATAGTCACTTACAGCGAGCAAAACATTTTTCACAAAATTGCACCTTGCTTTAAAAATATAAATACCAATGTTCAATCTTGTGATGCACTTCTCACATTCAATACTGTACCTTGAGGTGTAATTTAGATACTATAATAAACCCACATTGTGTAGTATTGTAAATCCTTGCATATATTGTTTACTGGCCACTTAGATCAGTTACAATGGATTTTTCAACGTGTTCTCTATCTTACACATGTTAGGTGTGCATTAGTATGCTTAGTTTCAATAGCTCAACAAAGGCAAAATACTGATAATTGGAATTGGCTTAACATCTCCATGCACTATTCTGAAATATACGATAGAGATTGAGGAGTTCCTGTGTTAAAATCTGCCATATTATATATCAATAGTAGGGGTGGTAATAATTCTCCCCTTCAGTTATTAAACAAATTGTCAAGATTCAGGGTTGGAATTCAAGAAATGATTGGGTTTTTTTTTATTACATCGTGGTGAATGGTAGCACCTCTAGTGGCAATAGGGATTGCAGGAACCCATTACTTGGAACATCTACGATTAGGAAACATTTGTATGCATGCAATTGCGCGCTTAATATTTAGATATGAGTGTGGAGGGTGATATTGGCGAGTAAAATATAAATGGATTAATTGATGCGTCATTTTGACTCGCAACACCCGGACTTTGTGCGACTTGCGTTCACGTGAATGTGCAACAGCAGGCAGTGCAAGCGTCTATGTCTGCTGGGAGCCCTCGCTGGGTGTCTCGCTGGGCCAGCCTGGCCGCCACCCATGCCACTGACCAACCCGAGCCGCCAGAGGTTTCCCGTGAGCGCAGCCTGCCCGCCACGACCGGGGACCGTGGTCAGTATGGCCAACTCCCCCGCACTATCAAAGGGTGATGTTGGGGGGGGGGGAGGGGGGTGTGGGTGGAGGGGTGGCCTGGACAAAAGAAAAACGTGGATAACGCGTGCATGTGCCGTATAAATGTTTATCGTTTACCGACAAAGAATGAGGGGTTTGTGTGTATGGTGAACTTCTTTTTCACCGTATGTAGCCGACCATGCTAATCGGAGGGGTGAATACGTAGTAGAGTGTCGTCTGTTCTCTGTGAGTTTATAAAGTAATCCGTCCACTTGCAGACGTGTCTGTGGCTACGAGGGCCCTGAGTCATCGGCCCGCGACAGGTAAGGAGCAGCTAACAATGATTTTTTTTAAATATCGGATACCTTTACGCATGCACGTGTTTATTTCCCAACGTTTAGTCCACAACTCAAATAATTTGGCCCTTGGGTGATGGAGGATTCACTGTAGTTCATGAAGTCTGCCATCAATGCCATTATATATATATGCCAGGTTTTACATCCGGTTAGCTTGTTCCAGCGCCTTTAACCCAATGTTTATTCATTTCGACACAGAGGTTGTCTGGTGTTGGCAAAACGCATGCATTTGCTAAGATGCATTATCTTCATCTTACAAACCAGGCTTCGTTTCACTGAGTGGCTGTGCTTGCCTTGTATTTACACGCACACATGAGGCACAGACACAAGTCGCCGAGGACTTGGGCTTTCTGGACAAGTGTTTTCCAGCAGCATTTGTTTTCAGCAAGGCAAAAGCTCAGACAAATTTTTCCTTCAAAACTCAATTGTTCGAAAATGGCATCAGTTTTGAACTCTCATGGGTTTTTTGGTGTTGGTGATGAAACAGACCCATGCCTGTTAATTGATTTAGTGCTTTATTACCCACCATCCTTCCAAGACAATTACACATTTCATGCATATCATGGGACCTTTTTGCCAGTATTCAAGGTATGAAAAATAAGAATGTTTTACTCTTTCAAGTATTATAACAGCTGTTAAAAAGTTCAAACACCAAATTGATATATTTTTGGAAGGAATGAAGTCTGCATTAACCACACAAACTTGTGGTGAATATGCAAACAAACATGCTTTGATAATATATGCATTGTCTGTGAAACTGATTGGCTTACACCAGAGGCAGCCTTCTTTTTGGCCTTTTGAACATTTTAATGCCTGTTTGGTCATCTTACCACTTGTTGTATTGCCAGAAATTCTTATTTTTCATACATTTCATACAGTTTGTCTGTACTGTGCTGAAAGCGTTCCCACCATGTGATTGGAGGGCTCTTGCCTATGACACCAAACAACCCGGCAGCATTTGTTGACCACGACGTACCCGACTGATGAGACCCTGACTTATAAAAATGCTGCTGGAAAATATTGGTCCGAAAGGCCCGTAGGTTGATTTATTTGCGTGGACGTACAGCCCTTTTATCAGTCTACTGCTGTATGAGTGCCTCCCCCACACCAAGCTGGCCACCATGGTTGTTTGACCATACATGGTCAGTGCGGGTTCATGAAGTCAGGAAGCATAGGTGTGAGAGCATGGAATACAGTACAACAATTGATTTTGCTGCAATACCCTCTACTACCAAGCCATGTAGCCCATGTCTTGTTTTAGTTGTTATTATATAATTTCTTAACTTTTTAGGGGTGGCGATCTAAACGGACAGTTTTTTACCTATTATTTATTAGTTCAAATGTAGCTTATATTGACATTTTTTTGTTGTTGCCTGTGCCTTCTTTATCAGATGGTGACGTCAGCGAGTCTGCCTACACGAGCAGCTCCGTTTCGCTGACCTCGGACGTGGCCCTGAGCGTGTCCGGCGTCGGGAGGAGACATCGCACTCTTCCGCAGGCTCCCGAGAGGCCCAGCTCCAAATCTCCGGACCTTCGTCGAGACTTCACCACCTCCGACGTGGTGGTGCTGGACAAACGCGACGTGCCCGACGGCTCGAAACGCGCACGCGCCTCCGCCAAGGGCGCCGTCGTCAACGACGCGAGGCCCTCGTCGCACACGCAGAGGGCCGACGGGGCTCCCTCCTATGGCGAGAGCCCCGCGGAATCCGAGCACAAGTACGCCGGCGTCAAAGAGCGTGAGCGCGGGGACTCGGCGGGCTCCTGGACGGTGAGCAGCATCGCGCCCGGCAGCTCGGCGGACTTTGACGGCGCAGCGGAAGGGCCACGCGCGCACACCCACAACCGGACCCCCAGCGTCGGCGCCCTCCCGACGGGTGGCGGCGGTGAAGAGCCGCTCGGCGCGAGGCTGAACGCATCCCTGGCGCGCGTCAAGTCCAGGGGGAGGAGGAGCACCCCTGAGCCGGCACCTCCAGGGCCACAGGACGAGGATGATTTCGCACACGAGAAGCACAGACCACTGCAGAGGAAGGGCAGCTTCACCAAGGAGCGGCCCAGCAGCGAAGTGCCGCTCAGCGAGATCCCGCAAATCAACGGCGGCCCCGGTCCCAAAGGCGCGAAGAGCCCCGGGGCCGTGTCGGACACGGCCTACCTACTCAAGGACACGGAGGCTGCGCTACACTCGCTGGAGGCCAAGCTCCACAGAGGTTACCAGGAAGACAAGGCCCGTGGCCGCGGGAGGCACGGCCGGGCCGACGACCCCCAGGGTAGTAATCAGACATCACCGGCTTCGCTCGAGTCGGACGCCGACACGGCCAGCAGCGGCACGTCAGCCAGCCTCGTCGCAGACAGCAACAGCAGCAGCCACGGTGAGCAGAAGCCGCTGCACAGGCGCAGGAGCTACAGCAGCCTGCACAGGGAGAAGGCGGTCGTAATGGGCTCCGCATCCGCCGACCCACAGGCCAAGGTGGTGGCAACGACAGCGGGTGATCTGAAGCACAAGGGAAGGCGCTCCGAGCCTAGCTACAGCAAGCAGCTGCAGAAGGGCATCAAGGCTGCTCTGCTTGCCACCGGCGAAGGTGCTGATGACGACGACGATGAGGACCTAAGGCTTTCGCGATCGGGGATTGCAGAGTCGTACGATCGGAGCCACGCAAAGTCGTCGGCCGGACGGGAAGACCGGAGCCAACGGCCATCGCCTGGCTCGAGCACAACCATCTCCAAGCCGAGACCCACTCGGGCTTCGATCCTGCGTCGCGCGCGGCTCGGGGACGCGTCCGACAACGACGCCCAGGCCGAGGTGGAGGCGAGCAACAAGCAGCAGGCGTCCACCTCCAAACGGCCGCCGTCTCGGCTGGACATCCTGGCTCAGCCGCGGCGGAGGACGGGCTCGTTCACCGCGCGCAGCACCGACGCGGAGAGCTTGGCAGCGTCGCGTAGTGGCGGGCGGGCGTCGGTTGCCAGCGGCAGCAAGAGCTCTACGGGGGCCGCGGGCGGAGGAGGCGTTGGTGCGGCGGTGGCGCCGGGTGCTGCTCGGAGCAAGTCCTTCCGCGAGCCAAAGTCGGCGGGGTCGGTGTCGCGCTCGCAGAGTCTGTCGCGCGGCTTCGACCAGGGCAAGCCGCGGTCGAGCAGTGTAAACCGAGGCTCCGCCGCAGGTGAGTGCCAGTGTCAACAGCCCCTCAACCCAACTGTGATTCATTCTTGCTGTCATTGACGTAACTACGCGATCGCTCGGTGAGCTGACTTTGGGATTAATGTGGTAGATGAGCATGCTATCGTCCGTATAAGGTCACCCCCACCATTGAGGCCATGAGGTGGCCTCTGAAGGCACAAAGTAGGCAGCCGACTTATTTTTTTATAGTTTTTATGAAGCAAAATGGCCAAGCAGTATAATGGCAATGTTAATCATCAGTGATTCTCAGTCTCAAGTGGCCCAACAATTTTTTTACTCTAGATTTGCAGAAAAAAATTTAAGCAGGTAACACCAACCAAGTTAAAGTAGGCACATTATAAATGGAGCAAGTGTCTCTGAAGTGAGGTAAACAAATAAGCAGCGATCAGACGCGCATGAAACACATGAATAAATAACAATGCCAATGATACCCAAGATTAATTTTCTAGGAGAGTCCTATATCGGGGATGTTTGGCCAATACTATACCTGAGGAGTTGGCATGTAACATTCACCACTACCATCTACTACATACCTCAATTCAGTTCAATTCCCACACGAGATTTTAGATTGATAATTACGTTTCAAGTCAATTTTCAAAATGGCATCCACCACACCTGGCATCCAGGGGTTTTAGAACCCTGTTCTTGAATCAGAACTGGTTAATATGTATGTGAAATCAACCCCTGCCCGTGCATTGGTGTGTGGGACATGGTTCAGGTTTAATTATAATGGCTTAACCGGACATCGAGCCGGTTGCCTGTATGGGCAGGAAACGTGGTGATTGCCATGCACGCACACGTTTGCTTTCCACTTAGTTTATTTTTTTAACCACAGGATTCCAACTGAATTTTTTTGAAGCTGCTGTCTTTCCAGTTGTCGATTCTTGACGCCCTCTGATTTCATGCAGGGCATATCTTAGCGTCTGTCTACGTTTGTGGCTTAGCAGTGTATGGATAATCATCTGGCAGAGCACTGCAGGGGTAGGTAAACATTTGAGGTTTATTTTGCATTCCTCCATTCCGGTAAGTTTAAAAAAAAAGAAAAATGGCACAACATAATTATCTAAGTAGTACCGTAAAATATCCTGCTCACAAAATTTGCGAAAGAGTAGTGTGGATCTTGATTTGAAGTTTTCGTGACTGCAGGGATCCATACTCTTTGGTTCTTTCGGTAAAGTCACCACGTAGGTATAAAATAAAATAAATTAAATCACGACGTTTCGATTGCTACACAAGCAATCATCATCAGGTGGGAAAACCACAGCAAGAAAAAAAATCCACTTCAGAAATGTTTTTATTGCTGTGGTTTTCCCACCTGATGATGAGTACTTGTGTTGCAATCGAAACGTCGTGATTTATTTTATTTTATACCTACGTAACTCTACCTAAAGAACCAGAGTATAGTAGTGTGGATAGTGTATTAACATAACAATGCGGTCTCATGATAAAGTCTGGTTATATTCTTATTTAAGGCCTAATATAACTCAACAATATTTAAAGCTATGACTTGATGTCACCCCTTTCAAATGCAAAACATAAATGCCTGGCTGATCTAAATACAAGGTTATGATTTCTTTTCCTGGTCTGTTAGAATTGTGATTTGTAGATCATAATCTCTCTGAACTCTTTTTTTTACATAATTGGGGGTATTTTTTTTCGCATGCATAACCATCCCTCAATTACGACCACACTTTGCTTGAGTCAGTACAGATTCAGGGGGTCTGTGTCTTAAATGTGCCACGTTGAAATGTCACAGAGTGATGCCCGGTATAGTAAACAGATTGCTTCTGTACTATGCTGCGTGAAGCGAGGCCAATAATTGCAGTATGCAAATTCTTTGAAACTGCCAGAGAAATAATTCATAAGGGCAATAGATGTATTCTCTGGTCACGGCCAATATCACAACTAGAATGAATAATTGAAACTTGGTTGGTTGGTTTATTATAACTGTGGGTAGGTCTAGAGCAGGGGTCAGTAACCTGTGGCTCTGGGAGCCGCATGTGGCTCCTCAAGGACTGCTTTGTGACCGTTATTTATTAAGGACCGACATGCATTATTGTGGCTCTTGAAAAATATATTTTTTACTGAATTCGAAAAAAATACCGGCTCTTGTTATTTTGGTCGCCGACCCCTGGTCTGTCTAGAGCAACCTCACAAGTACTGCAGGTTTTACTATTCTGATGAGAGTTTAATCACCCAGTCCCTTAGAAATATCCAGCAACCAAAACAATCAATTAACATGCTCACAAAATTGACTCTTGGTTCTTTCGGTAAAGTCACATAGAAGGGAAACAAAATAATAAAAATATAAAACAATAAAATTCTCGACGTTTCGACTGCAACACAAGCAATCATCATCAGGTGTGAAAACCACAGCATTTTTTTCTTGCAGTCACGAAAGCTTTAAATCAAAAATTGACTCTCTTTACATTAGTTTTTTTTATGACTTTCACTTTACCTCTTTGGGATTATTTACAAATCATATATATCGTAAAGAGGTTATAACATCCAATTATATTTTCTGTCCAGCAACAGGAATTTCCTTTCATCATTTTACATAAAGTTTTACACACATTTCGTCACACAGCCAACAAGTGCTGAATTTGCGTTCCACAATGCTATTGACAACAATGTGCAGCAAATGCACTTTGCAATGGCATTTGATAGTTGGCAGTGCTTTCTTCAGACCCTGTTCACATTCCTCGATGATTTTGATGATGATGATGATTATTATTCTACTATTAAAACGTTCATTTCATAAAAACAATATATAGATACACACCAGTAGCTTTCGTAGCAAACCAATTAAATGTATTCCCAGGTTGGCATTCATACGTGTCACGATTGGTTGTAAAATCTAAATGATTGTTATGCTCGCAAGGCTGCCTCCGCAAGGCCCCACATGTTCTGCTTTTAAGTGAAGCAAATTAACAGTGAAGCGTGGTCCTGGTGGTAAAAAACACCATCGCAATTCTACGTAATGATTTAGATTTTATTTATTTCAGCAGAAAGGGCCCAATGAGCTTGCTAGGCTATTTCATGGGCATCCTGTGACGGTACGGATATTACACAGTAAAGATCTTCTTAACAATTATGGTTCACTTAGGTCGCGATACAAACAGTGAGTATCGGTATGTGACTGTTCTTTTCCGAACAAAACTATAGGAAGGAAAAAAGTGTAATTTAACAAAGCCAACACAAATTTTGATTTAAAGCTTTCGTGACTGCAGTAATTCATATTCTTAGTTCTTTCGGTAAAGTCACGGTGTTTTATATATATTTTATTATTTTGTTGTTTCCCTTCAACGTGACTTTACCGAAAGAACTAAGAATATGAAAGCCAACACAATCAGTAACCGGGAACCCTAAGTATGATCTATACAGATTCGGGCTCACACATCTCTGCCGATTATTTATTACAGCGACGTTTATGAAGGTACTTGAATTTCAGGAGTAAACAAAGGTTTCTCATGGTCGGCAATGATTGAATTCCAAAATCCCACGCGATAATGGTGGTTTAAAAAGTATATTAACCATCGGTAGTAGTGTTCTACTAACTCCAATCTTGTAGCTACACACCTACTACGCTCTGCGTCCTGGGCTTTCAAGACGCACGCTTGAAGCTTTGTTATTGAGAAACAAATACTTAAAGTTACAGCCAGGTGCACCATTGTAGTGACAAAAGTGACATAACTCTTGAGATATTAAAATATACGGCTTTGGCAGACTTAGCTAGAGTGCTAATATCAAGCCCCTGGTGGTAACTTTAAAGTTTTTTTCCTCATCCAGGGTGTCAATGTTGGGGTAGCCTGGGACATTCTCTCCTTGAGAAGAGTTGTTTGTTGTTTGTTCTCGTTATTACGTTAACCTGACCTCGGTATAACTGTTGGGCTGTTTTGTTTTTCAACTAGTGCTGCATGCTGATGGTGTTCCTGTTTTCTACCAGAGGGGTTTTGGTCATTCTGTTTTGTTTTTGTCTCCTATTTGCTGTGGATTTGCACTTCCCTTCCCTGTGTTCTCAACTACTCCTGGGTGCTGCTTTGCTTTTGTACACGTGCGTGCCCATGCATGCACGCACACACACACACACACGGACATGCTCACCCAAACCACAACATTCCTTCACCGCCCCTCTCCACCCTCGACGCTCGCACCTACCTCACGAGAATGAACAACGCACGCTGCTTACATCACCGTGCATGCATGCGCGTGCAAATCGCACCCGTGCAAATCGCACCCGTGCAAATCGCTTGCCTTATCGCACGATTACACCTTCGCGCATTATAACCATACACGTACCCGCATGCGAACGTTCACATATTTGCTCACTGACACAAACCTCACGTACCCGCACGTGAATGCACACGCACGTACGAACACTCAACCCCGCCCCACACACTACCCCGCATGTGCCACCGGCATGCTTTACGCGCCGACCCCCGCAACGAACGCACGCGGCCCCCCGCGCATGCAACGCCGGGCACGGCAGGCACTCGCTGGCGCCGCTGCCCCACAGACTACACCTCCACGTCGGAGGAGGACTCGAGCTCCCCTAAGCACGCCACCGCCGCGGCCCCCCCTCGCGTACGCCCCTCCCCCACAGCTGTAGCGGCGGCGGCGGCGGCCGCGGCGGCGGCGTCGTCGCGAGCCAACCGGGCCTCCTCCTCCGCCGCGGGGCCGAGCAAGCGCCGCTCGCGTTTGCCCGACGATGATGACTACATCCGCGACTGGAACAACCACAGCGAGGAGATCGCCCGGTGAGGAGCGTGGCGCTGCGAGGGGTCGGTGTGGTGGCAGCGGAGGGAATTCCATTTGACGCTTTCTAATGAAAGTCGGGAGTGTTATTTCGTTAGCTCTGGCCTGTGCATCTTTACCGGAAAGTCCACGATAACTCTCGTAAAAATTATGCCCATTTCCCATCGACATTTTGTGTAAATTTGTGTTGCTACCAGGACTAGCCCGACAGAAAACTGGCCAAATGGATCAAAGGGTTGGCATAAACTCGGCAATGAAAAGAGCAGCACTAAATAGACAGCCTTTTCGGCAAAGGGGATGATGTCACGTGTCAAGTGCGTGCCTCTTATCTCCATGGCATTATTACCTGTGACATAATATCACTGTGTCGCATGTTGTGCGCCATGTGATGGCATCTCATTTTCCAGCTTTGGAGGTAGTATCGCTAATTAAACACTTCCAAGGACAAGTACTTTTTGGAAGGCTTTATAGCATCCATGCATGTGCATGATTTTTCCTCATTTGAATTTTTTTTTGCTGTTTACCGAAGTATATTGCAATCATGCTTCGCTGTGTCACATAACACGAAGATTTTTCAATTCGGAACTCTCCAGTGGGCATTGCATCACCCCCTGTCTCGGGGAATGGCCCTGTAAGATGAGGCGATGCCACAGAATATCACGAGGTCTCTTTATCTGCACTAGGTTTCACGCCATTTCCATGGTCTGCAAAAGGTGTTCATCACATGTCAATAAAACTGAAAATATTAAGTCATGGAGCTATTACTTGGCCAAATGCAGTGAACAAAAATGGAATGCGATGGCCTTTTTTGTGCAGTAAATAGTGACTGGGCTGAAACCATCAACTCGCTGCACTGGAGAGCCAGGTTTAATCACAGGTGTCTTCCCAGATTTGAACCCAGCAGTCACAGCTCAGTAGTACTACCCCCCCCCCCCCCCCCCCCCCCGTGCGACCTGACCATTGGCCAAAGGGCTGTACAAATAAAGAATATATAAACATATAACCATGTGTTTGTTCATTTAAATGGGCTAATAAATAAATGAAATGTGATTCCCTTGGTAAATATATTATCCAGTACAGGAGTTATTGCTGGTTTAACACGTAGACTTTCGCGACCAGTATCTAAAATAGAAGGTTTTTTTGGTTAACGCGTCAATATAAATGTGTCGATAAAACCACCACCAACCGACACAGCCAATTAGTAAGGTTTGTCACGTAAACAAAACATGCCAATTTGTGATTAGTACAGCACATCGATGTTGTTGGTTGCTGGTTGTAATTAATGGCGAAACGTTGTACTCGAATTGTAAATGTTGTGGGTTTACTCTCCAACACATTGGTGTGCTGTACTAGTCACCGGTTGGAATGTTTTGTGTACGTGACAAACCATACTAATTGGCTGTGTCAGGTGGTGGCGGGATTAACGACACATTTATATTTACACGATCTAACCCAACAAAACCTCTAATGGAGAAGTGATTGCTGTTGTAAATGTTTAGCAGTGTCTTGTATTTTCCAAGATGTCACAATCCAAGAATTGGCAGCAAAGAAGTTAATAGCACTTCTGAGATTGCAATGCTGGTATCGCAATTCCTGCGGGGCAATTTTACAATGTTGTTTTACACGGCATCAATACGTGAACACGCGTATCCTGAAATCCTGATCCTGTGAAAGTTGGATCAAATGTGCGAAGTCATCAACACCATCATCATCCAGTGCTACACTCACGACACTCAACGAATAGCTCCCTTTCAACAACTACGCCACAGTTCCAAGTCCTGTTAATTGCTTCCCTTTAATGATTGAACCTATGTCAAAACCCACGTAATTCGTTGACACTGAAAACAAACGTGTGACTATCAATAAGCTTTAAAATGGCCTTGGTGTAGGGGTTCTCTAGTAAAATGCTTTATGATTACACTTTTTCATGCTAATAGGTTTTCAGAAAGAACACAGACAATTTCAACCGAGAAGATGGATTATGGCTTAGCAATCGTTGGAAGGATTTGATAAACCATTTCGGGTCTTAATTGATTGATCACACTTAAGGTGGCTTTCAGACCGCATCCATTATTTTTCGTCTCCCCCCTCCTCTTTTCCGAATATAGATGGACTCGTCCATCTGAACAAACTGTCAAATCGCTCTCCGTGGTGCTAACGTAAAAAAACGCCACTTTTTTCAAATTTTCATGCTGTGGTTTTAACACAGAGTTATCTTGAGTGGCAGGTAAAATGAATGGCTTGAATTGGCTTTGCACCATTTTATCATCCCGTCAGGTTTTGGCGTAATGTTAAGTGGCTTCATTTACGCGGCACTTCAAGCTATTCGAAAGAGTCGCGTGTGTCATTAAGAAGGCCATAAAGTATACCCGACGGTATTATTTAACTTTTTTTTTAAATTGAAAACTTCCCAACGGTGACTGAAGGTTAGTTTAGAAGGCCGAAAAAAGATTGGTAGTAAGGCATCATCAACCATTATCTTTCCACTGCCGGATGAATAATTTTAATGGTCTTGCATTGCCACAGGCTTTCACTGCATGGACTCATCTCATCGTTCTAGTTGATTTCCTGGGGATGTTTTACCCTTTTCTTTTTAATTTCATTAATCATCATTCAGAATATCCTGAGTCTCAAGACTCCCGTTTGACGAGGGTTCTTCCTTGGAATGTTGGCTAATTATATGCAAAGGGTGTTTTGCATGTGCATGGAAAACCAGAGTACCCAGATAAACCCGAGGAATACGAGGGGATAATACTGAATGCATGGCTTTGCAAGCCCATTATTTTACACTCCCTTATAAGTAACTTGCAGCCCAGTAAGTTTGGGAGTTGTTGCAAAGCTACATGATCCACCAATTGTTCCCTCCAAAGCACTCAATTATGGGTGTGTACAAAAATGATGGAACAAAACATTTCTGATAACAATCCTGAAAGGTAACGCTTTTCCCTCCACTCCTAGGCAATCCCCCTAATCTGCCGGATGTGGTGACACACACCTGCAATCTGTGCGGTTGGTTGAAGGCGGCTTCGTTCATCTCACTCGCCCGTGAGACGCGTGTGCAATGCACTGTTACGCATAGGTCGCTCGCCATTCTGTGCAAACCTTCATAATTCTGAAATTTCATGCGACACGCGAAAGTCCGTAAAAATGAATTGTCCCGTATGTACCAGGTAGGACCTTCTTTAACAAAATGCCTAACACTTGGGCTTTATTAATATTATTAACCCCAGAGTGATTATTAGTCAGTGAACTGGGCTCTGAGTTCAAATTGTACCATTTCCACTTCAAATTTACGGTCACCCCTTCGAACATATCCTAACTTGAGATTTCGAAAGCCATCACAGTAAAGTGTGGATATACGTACTCTTACATTCTAATAGTGCTCGCACGATGGCTGATGCAGTGCGGGGAGCGGTATTGTAGCGTGCTGCGCTATGAACCCCGCAACCTGAATTCGATTCACACTTATGGCCAACACCAGTGACGATTATCTTAACCGGTTCTGGACCTCCCCTAGGTCGACTTGGCTTCAAATGAGTACCTGGTGCAGTGTGTAAAAACATCACCACTGGAAAGACAAAGGCGGTCGGGCGTGGTGTTGGCCACCCACCCCTTCGTCGACTGCGCCGGCCTTAATAGGTGTTCGCTATAACAGCACTTGCCACCAACAGTTTGTTAAGGCTATACAGGGGATCATTGTCTTTGGTGCATTTTTCATAACTGAAGTGGGTCACGTCTTCAATTCCTGTCGATGCATGTCTTTTTCGAGGAACGGCTGTTTTGTTAGGCTTATGTGGGGCTCTGGTGCCCGGGGTTTGTCACGTTTCCTTCTTACCCATTTCCCAAAAAGTGCGTTGAGATGCAGTAGTATTTTTAACGCCTTTTATAAGCGTAAACCACGATCCGCATTGCAGAATCAGCCAGGACCTGGCAAAGGACCTGGCCATCTTGGCACGCGAAATTCACGAAGTGGCTGGGACTGAGCCCAACTCCGTGAGCAGCAGCTCGTCGGCTGCGGGGGTGGCCGTCAGCGATGGGCCCCCCTCCCCCGGTTCCACCATTGAGGCCAAGGAGCAGGTGAGTCAGAGGGCCAAACTGTGGCGGTCAGCGATCGCTGGGTGTGGTAGTGCCGGTGGCGATGACGATGATGATGGTAGATGCTTGTATTGCGGTGGCTTGCAGGGCTGGGTGTGTGGATTATGCAGAGGCGTGGCCGTATTGTCGGCATTAGCTGGGTGGCGCTGTAGTTAGTGTTCGACATGTAATCGTATGGGGGCCCAGTTAAAATCCATGGAATGACTTGGCTTAGCACTCCTCCGTTTGTGATCAAATTGAGTACTCCTTGTGGAAAGTTGGCGCAGTGATTGTCTCAAGCCCTGGGAATGTGGAATGTCCATTGTTGGCTATGTAATTTGCAAAAACAACCAAAGTAACAGCACACTGGATAATGGAACAACTGTATGTCACCTGAATGTTTTTGTTTGATCTGTTTAACACTTTACATCTTGGGTTAAAAGCATTAATGCAGCAGCTCTGTTCATGTCTCTCTCTGTCATGGAGCTGTATAGATGATCGCATCTCAATAAAAAATTATACCGGGCAAATTGAGTAATAGGTTATCCAAACGTTTACAATAAAAAAAAACAGTAATAGTGGATAAGCATTTTTGCCCAAGACGATGACATCACCTCCCAATGACCTCGTGTGGCATTGTTTGGCGACATCACGCGCCATGCGACGGCTCGTTTTTTTTCTCAAGTGGTTCAGACTCTGCGCACACGTGTCATTTTCCTCGTTACATTTTTTTTTCAGCTCGTGCAGAGGATAGCAGACGAGGCGATTAATTTCCGCAAAGTTCCCCCACACTCGTTGGCCGACGGACAAACCACCTGCGGGCCAGAGGCGCCTTACCGAGCCGAGGAGGGCCGCATGCCCGACTCGGCAAGCAAACGCAAGACGTGGACACGCGACGAGGTAGCGCACTTCTGGGGAGGAGGAGGAGGAGGAGGAGAGAGAGATAGTGTGAACTGTGCGCAATTGCTGTGCACAGGTCTGCTACGTTGAGTGAAATGTGGAGTGTTCTAATTGCACCTCCGATCGGCATGGTCAGCTACGTACGGTGCGAAATAAGTTCAATATATACGTGCATACACTAAAACATTTGAAAGTGACTTAATATTACCAGCCTTTTGTTTTTTTAATTAAGCCGTTTCACGCCGATCAATTCTGAACGGAACCTTACTCGGGAGCCTGCTTGAAGATCTCACGGCCAAACCTCCTCGCTTCGCGATCATAAGCTACGTCAGGACTTACCACAGGCGATGTGGACAATGTCTGATGCACAAGTAGCAATGATTACAGGCAGAATTATTCGCACTGCAGCTGTGACAAACTGCACGCTGTGGACCGCACCGTGAACAGTTGCCCCTTATATTCACCTTATTCTGGCGGGTAAACAGGTTCATTCCACATCCAATAATGTTCTTGACTGGATATCAAAACTTGATCAATCCTTGTACATCATTTCACGTGCAAGAAGGAGGTGGATGGTGACAGCTCAGGATCCTGAGGGATAGTGGCAGAAAGGGGATTCCTTCATCTTGCAGTGGATTGATCATGGCTTATAATAATGATACTGCTCAATCTTTCAATGTTTAGATGTTCTGCTCAATCTTTCAATGTTTAGAACACCCACATACAGAGTATCTAAGGTAACAAACGGTTGTATCACCAGCTGTGAGTATCATAGTTAATAAGATTTATATTAATAGCAAAGCCATGAAACCGGACACTATTGTTGAAAACGGAATGTGATCTTTAGAGTGGTCGAATTGCACCATTAAACCACTGACAAACAGTGGCTTTTTCTTCAAATAAGTATTTTTATAGTTCTTGAACACATGCAACATAAGGCAGAATAATGCCTGCTCCAGAAGACATGAATGTGTTATGCCATTGTACCATTTATATGTCATCAGCCAAGGCTGCGAGTCTGGATTTTGAACCAGCAGAGTTTGAAATTAAGAGACAATCACTCAATCTCAGAGCTGCTGTGTCACCCTTGTGACACGTTGACATTTGAGTCTGAGAAAAATGTGGACTGCGTATTGTTGAAATAAAAGGAATTTTTTTGTCTTTCTGGCCAAACAGATGCAGCTGGATAACCTCATCCTGTCTTCAGTCGCACAACTGTCCCAGAAGATTCGCAGCAACACTGACAGAACGGCAACTAAAATGAGGTGCGTTCAGTTGGTTTACTCCACGTTTGCAGAGTGCAACCGCGAATATGACTTATTCTGGCCAGGTAAGATTGCAAGCTGTACCAAGCAACAACAAAAAAAACAGTTCATTGAGGGAGCCTCCGTTCTTTAGAATCGCTCGACTGTGCAAGGAAATGTGCCCATGAAATCTCACAAACACGCATATATTCGGTGCCCGCGCTCTAACCTACGTGTGCATTATAAAGCCATCTTTAAACATTTTTATTTATGCAAGTAACTTTGTTGCATTCTTAAATCCTTGCACAGTTTTGAAAACAAATTTATTAAGAACTGCTTTTTGCTTTTAGTTTGTTGACCTTCCCCCGCACCTCCGATTAGCACGGTTGTCTACGTACGGTGTGAAAGAAGTTCAACGTACACACACATACAATATCTTGTGCTAAACATTGCAGCTTCATTGTTTTTCCTGTTCGGCAGTGCAGTTGTACGAAGCCATTAAACTCAATTACAACCCATATAGATGTATCATAATCTAGGGGTGGGGAGGCCCGATCCACACCCTGCCTTGGGTGCTGCGACCTAGGGCGCCTGCTAGGAGGTCCAGGCAAGGAAAGGCATCCACTTGGCCTGCGGGAAAAAAAAACACTCTCTAGGTGAAATAGATTATGCTAACATTGATATTACATTTTGATTTAAAGCTTTCGTGACTGCAGGGATTCATATTCTTGGTTGTTTCGGTAAAGTCACGTAGAAGGGAAACAATAAAATAATAAAAATATAAAACAAAATTCTCACGACATATTCTTAGCTCTTTCGGTAAAGTCACGTTGAAGGGAACCAATAAAATAATAAAATATATATAAAACAATAAAAGTTCTCACGATGTTTCGACCATAACACAAACGGTCATCATGGTCGAAACGTCGTGAGAATTTTTATTGTTTTATATATTTTATTATTTTATTGGTTCCCTTCAACGTGACTTTACCGAAAGAGCTAAGAATATGAATTACTGCAGTCACGAAAGCTTTAAATCAAAATTTCTCACGACGTTTCGACTGCAACACAAGCAATTATCATCAGGTGAAAAACAAATTCTTGCTGTGGTTTTTCACACCTGATGATGGTTGCTTGTGTTGCAGTCGAAACGTCGTGAGAATTTTGTTTTATATTTTCATTATTTTATTGTTTCCCTTCTACGTGACTTTACCGAAAGAACCAAGAATATTGATATTACAGTTTTACGCAAGCAATGTCATAATGGTTGTTGGTCTTCAATACAATTTGAGTCGATTGGTGGAACAGCAGATAGCACATTGCATTCTTGGCTATATCTAACTTCAGTGGAAAGCAATATCTGAACCAGTCCTGGGCACCTCCATTTACCAACTCACCACTGACCAGTGTGGTGAGGTGTGGTCAAATAACCTCCATGACCACGATGGAGTCGGGGTCAGCCTTTTTATCTGGCAGTTAATTGACAAAGGGCTATGGAAATATAAAATATTTTAAACTTTTAGCATTTTGTATTTAAAATAATGAGCTAACTTATTCATCTAGGACGGTCCTATATTGGAATGTTGGGAAAATTCATTTTTCATGAGTATATAATGTACGAATGTTGAACTTCTTTCGCACCATATGTAGCCAACCGTGCTAATCGGAGGTGCAGGGGAAGGACAACAAAAATAATAATGAATGGTAAACGTACAGCCCTTTTTTGTCAGTCCTATCTGTGTCGTGTCAGTTACGGGGGCTATTTGTCCATACTTCACCGCGCTGGTCAACGCGTGTCGCTGAAGGTTGGGGTCCCACGACTAGTTCAAACACTGCTCGTCACTGACAGCGACCGAAATACAATCTGCGGAGATCATCTGATTGAAATCACGCCACACTAACCCTTTCGCCACCGCTCCACACCCCAAGTTTGCAATCATCTCATAATGTGTCCTTGTGTTGTCAATGGTCTTTTGACAATGACAACGTCACTTGGAGGTTTGAGTTGTAAAAAGTCACGAATGAAATCGGCTGTCCATAGGATCCTGCTGCGGGACGAGGAGAGGAACTGGCCGGAGATCGAGTCTCGTCTCAACTCTGACAGCGAAGTTCCGCTGCTGAAGACATCCAACAAGGTAGAGTAACCTTTTTTAATGTTTTATTGCAACAACATGCGGGCCCTCACGGCACACCACACCGAGAGGTTCCAACAACAGGATACAGAAAAAAATATCCGCAAACATCCACTGCGGCGCGGCGGAAACTCAACATGAAAGGTACAGCGTCTGCTGTCCCAACCAAGTGGGGAACTCGCGCAAGGGGGGAAAGATGACGATTTAAATGGGGAGGGGAGACAGGGAGGGGGAGGAAAAGAACAATAACCAGCACACTCAGGGAAAGTCTGGGAAGAGGGAAAAGACGAGGGAAATATTTTTCTTCTTGTATGAATCGCAGGGGACGGTGGCGCAGATGTATAACGGGAAATCTAGAAATGCTCAACAAATTTGCACGTAGCGCAGGTCTTCTGGACAAAATACGAAGCAGCAGCATCATTTAAATGATTGATAACATCTTGATGGAGATCAAGGAAAGACCTGTTGGCACATGCCATCTCATGGCAGTACCATTAAGGATAATTACTGTGTAATGCCAACAGATTACCTTAATCATCTGTGTGGGAAAACGGAGCAAATTGTTCAGCAGTAAATTTGATTGACATCGCAAATCAGGTAAGGCCATCGTTTTTGCAACCAATTATCTTGAGCTCTTTGATGATTTATGTCTTTTCAGGATATTGCTTCCATATTGAGGGACCTTCGAACAGTTGAAAGGCAACTGGAAGGTAAGATGTCACTTGTGCTTATGTGTATGGATAAATCTTCGCCTAGCACTTCTTAAAGTCATTTCATTTTACGTATAGTAAACCCTAAAATCGCATGCTTGTAATGAATTATGTTTATTAAAGCGGCACGCTCAAGAGTGAGCTGCAGAAGTTAGAGCCTTAGCGGGGTTTCATTATATTTTAGAGAAAGCAAGGGAGGTGGTGAGTCCTTCGGTGCTTTGCGGCACGTGTTGAAAAGAGACAAAGAAGATGCAATTAGAAGGGCTGTGAAGATTAGAGACCCATATACTCACATAGAGACTCAAACGCTCGCATAGAGATGCATACACTTGCATAGAGACCCATACGCTTGCATGGAGGGCCATACACTCGCATAGAGGCCCATAGACGCGCATCGTGACCCATACACTCACAGAGGCCCATACACTTGCATAGAGGCCCATAGACGCGCATCGTGACCCATACACTCACATAGAGGCCCATACACTCACATAGAGGCCCATACACGTGTAGTGGCCTTATTGACGTCGGAGACTGTTCTTTGGAGGCAACACGTATTTATTACAAACACTTCTGTTACAGTGGCGAATCTGATACTTGAAGAGGTAACGGTCTCTTCACCCGTACTCTATAGAGGGAACGTTCCCCGAGCTTTAGCCCAGGCTAGCTCCCTGGTTCCCTCTATCCTGGTCCTCTCTCAGGAGGATATCTGACCTGGCCCAGCTTCGGCGCAGGTCCCGATCACCAGCCACACGAGTCCGGCCCTCAAAAGGACACCGGGCCTCGTGGCTCTGGTGTCGCACCCTGGCTTGCTTTGCCCGGCCCTCAAAAGGACAGCGGGCCAAAGGAGTTCCAGGGTCTGGCTAGTCGGTCTTCTTTCTTCACTGGCTCTTCATCTTGCTTCAGTCGAACTGCCCCTCAGCTCTTCGGGTTCCACCTTTTATACTGTCCCTCACTGAGGGGTGGGGCTGGGAGGGATCACAGCGTCCCCCACAGCCCCCCAGGGTGGTGGCCGTAGCGGACGTGTTTGTGGCCACCGCCCTACAACCGCGTGTCCCCCCTCCCGTAACACCTCTACATCACGCGCATAGTGACCTCTACACTCGCATAGAGACCCATAGACTCGCATAGAGACCCATAGACCTAGGTCTACGGAGATGCCAGCGGTGCAGGGCACCAAAGGATAGAGGGAGACCGGGGTGGGAGGATGCGGTGGAACGATAAGTGAGAGGATGGTGGATGTGACGAGAGGACAGGCACGGAATTGAAGCTCACGGAGACAGAAAATCAAGAACAGGCTACTTTGCACCATTGCGTTGACCAACTTTTGAGAACTACCCACATTTTCTGAATTATTACATTGGCCCCCAAACCATGCGGGTTGTGTATGGGGGGTATTGTTTTACACCATATTTTACCACGCTGGTCAGTGTGACTTGATGAAGGCAGGGAGCATAGATAATACAGCATATTAGAGTACAACAGTGGATTTTGTTCCACTACACTCTACTGAAAGCGTTGTTGCAGTCCGTGTTAACTGGGGCAACAGATGAGCAGCACTTACCAATGAAGGGTCACGGATAAGTGCATACATGCATTACAATGCATCGACGTCTCACTGTTAGAGGAAGACACGATAAAAAAATAAAACATATCCAGATATGATAAAGTGTACTTCTGTGTACTTAAAAAAATGTTAATGCAAGCCTCAGACTTTATCATCATTCATGGTTAATCCACTGTTGGATATGCACAGACATTTGAGTGCTGTCCCATTACATTCTCCACGTACTATATTTTCCTCTCGCATGCAAAACATAAAAAGTAGTTGCCCAAACATCCCCAATGTTTCCCCGGATCAGTAACGGGTTCTGTTCTCACAATCATATACAATGTGCGGCTCGTTGGTACGCTCGCACCTCTACTGCACGTCAGTGCAGCTACTGGACACCTCCTTATCAGATTCCTCCAGTCTAAATAAAGAATTCTTATTCTGACACCTGCAAGAGTCGTCGAGTGAAAGGTGCCTCTGACCTTGCTCTTCTGCAGTCATCAATGCCATGATCGATCCGGACAACGTCCTGGACCGGTGGTGCGACAAGGAGCAGGCCAGGAAGTCGGCACAAGGCCGCTCGCGGGTTGGAAGCCGGCGCGGCAGCGGCGGAGGTTTGGACGCGTCACTGTGCACAGAGCCCGACAGCGTGGGCTCCGAGGCGGAATATAGCATCCACTTCAACAAGTTTCATCCGAGCGGCGAGGAGGACGAAGGGGAGGAAGAAGGGCCCTGCTACGTGTGAGGACCCCCCCCCCCCCTACTGCCGAGGCGTGCGGAAAACGAGAGGCCATCTTGTGCCGCCTCCCCCTCCCCCCCTTCCTTGCACTGAACGCCGAACTAAGCTGCTGTTAGCTTTCTTTGTTTTTGTTGCACAATGTGTTCTCGAACTCTGGTTTTGGCTGTACATTTTACTTTCGTGTTATTTATGTTCGTGTTCGTTTTTTCTGCTGCGTATTTTTTTTTTTGCACGTTTGCGGTTTGTTTGTAAGCCGGTACACTTGATCAGTGGGCATCGCAAAACTCAAGTTGGAGGGCAGTGTGGGATAATGCCAAGACATTGTAGTAACCACGGTGATGATGATGATGAATTACACTATAGAGGTGTTTAACACTAACTGTAGGATAACTGTGTACTCAATCCAATTATGCGATATTCACAATGCAAACATATATCATCTCTACAGGTACGAATTTAGCAAACGTTTAATGCGGCAATCTCCAGCCAAGAGTTTTGTGAAGCCTTCTTACCTCCTCCGCACTTGGGTTATTTAAGGTAATTCTTTTCAGAATCAAATCTATGTACACTTTATTTGGGGGGTCTTACATTCAAAATCAAAGATTAAATATATATAGAGAGAGATAGAGACGACAAAAATAAGAAAAGTGTACCAAAACACTGTCTTGAATTGTTGCACTGCTGGTATGACCTCTTGGAATCATATGCATGATTATTATTATTATTTAAATGTTTTGCACGTGTCATCTTTGTTAATGTTATGGACAGATCAAATGATATTTTCTTGAGATCCTAAGCTAAGACATGTTCTGCCACTTGTTACCAATCTGATTTAATTATGGATACAAATTGGTAACTGTTGAAGACATCGGTCCTTAAAATTTTAAGTTGCCATAATGAAATGCATTGTTTTTTTTACATTAAATGCTGTTTTAGATTTTTCAAGCTGATTATATTTTCCCACAATTCTAGAAGATATCAAACTTGTCCTTGAAACGTGAGCCATCGAAACAATGGACAGAGGTTATCACAAAAAAGGCTTTTAATTGCTGCCATTTGATTTTGTTAATCAAAGTGTTTATTGCTCGAGTTCACGACCCTATCTTAAGTGCCTCATCTTTAGAGCCACTCCTTGCTACTGACTGCTTAAACCCATCGAGCACATGATTGACTCAAAGAGTCAAGATTCAATTTAAAGTGAATGAGACAGGGTAGGTAAATGGTCGTGTAAAAAAATGCCATGACGCTATATTCACGGTGTTTCACATTTTTCCACATGCAGCGTTATTCGCATTGTTTTAAGCATTCTAAAATATATTCGGAATCGAAAGTTGTTGACAATGCTTGGTACAGTGTTTTCAATGCCATAAAGATATCCACGCAGCTTCAAAAAAGGCCACTTGTTGAATATATTCTGATTGTTTAAACATTCAAACATATTCGGAATAAAAAGTTGTTTACAATGCTAAGTGCAGTATACGGTTGCATGCCTTTAAGTTTCTGCTTTACAGTAAAGGCCATGATAACGCTTGGGCAATTTTAGGGTCATTATTGTCAGCATTGTTGTGACAAACCAATTACTTTGAGCAACTGTGGCAACTTGATTATGAAGTTTCATCGTGTAACAGGGGTCTGTCTAAACCAGTGAAACGTGTTTGAAAAGTTTTAACAATAATTGAGCTGGAGAGACTTCACCTGCGATTCAGATGGGAAGTTGTCATCTCAGTTACCCCCCACCAGGGGGGAGCAGTGATGAGATGTAGTAAATTGCTTTGTCCACATTTAGGCCGACTAATATTTTTACAAAATGAGAAACATAACCCGGTGCCAGTTGCTGGCAAAAATGTCTGAACAATTGCCCGATTGTGCCCCGTGGCTTTAACCAACTACTGCTCAAGAATGGGTAAAACAAATATAGTAAAACCTTGGATTGCGAGCATAATTCGTTCCGGAAACGTGTTTGTAATCCAATGCACTCGTATATCAAAGCACTCGTATATCAGTTGTGATCACGTAACGCTCAGCAGACAAATCGTATATATGTACTACTTGTATTGCAAGACCTCGCTCGTTTATCAAATTTAAATTTATTTTTAATTTTTGCTCGTCTTGCAAAACACTCGCAGACCAAGTTACTCGCAATCCAAGGTTTTACTGTACATTGAACCTTTTTGTTAAAGTTGCCACTCTGGCTGTAGACTTTTGCCTAAAAAACATGAATGTTTAGTTTAAAGCTGTGGCCTTGATTGTGTGGTGGTGTTGCAACAACGTTTGGCCGGACTAAGAATCCAGTGCCTGGAGTGTATATGTGATAAGAGAGGATTTAGAACCCTCTACTTGAAGTCAATGCAGAAGTTGGGTGGGTTTGTTTAAAGAAAGATATCATCTGAAGCAAAACGTTCAGTCTTTAATTGATTGCTGTCAGTGTGTGACTATAAAGGTATATGTACATTTGAGATTTTATTTAAAATTGCAGATATCAAAATTGTAAAAAAAAACATTCAAATTGCAGTATTGTAAAGTAGTCTCGAAAAGTGGGTTTGTTGTCTAATATACAGCATTCCTGCCCATGGTATTGCGGAAAAAATAAATGTACTGTTCTCGTATTAACAACATAAAACTATTCAATCTATTTACTGTATAGTGTTAAATGAATCATTCACATGTTCTACTGATAATCTGTGGGGGTCATTCGACTGGTTAATTGTAAAAAAAAGACTGTAAAATCAATCATTCATATGTGCTACTGCAATCTTTAGGGGTCATTCAACTGGTTCATTGTAAAAAAAAAAACCCTGTAAAATGCACTTGCGAAAGAAAACAAAATGCACAAAATGAAACGGAAGAATTAAGTAATGACAACCACTTCACACCCGTGTTTCTCAAACTACAATTCTTGGACCCAAATTCTCCCTGGCTGTCTTCACATACACCTGTTCACATTTTAAGTCACGGTAATTGGTTCGCGTTGCATGCACATGTTAGATTGGGTTATAATTTTGACGTAAAATGCACCTGCTTTGCGCCCAAAGACTTGAGTTTGAGAAACATTTTTTGGGACCCAAAAATTACGGTCGTCTCTTTTAAATTCCTCAAGAGCGCACACGCCAGCCAGTTGCTGTGGCCTGCGTTGGGTACTTTTAATTTGCGGTTATACTTCCTGCTGTCATCCCATGCACATTTATCGTTAGGAAAAAACACACACACACACCCCGCCACTTCGCTTTTGATGGTTGCAGAAACTAATTGTGTAACAGATTTTTTTAAATTCATAAGCCAAAAAAAACAAATAAGCCACTCCTGGCAATCTATAGATATACACTATTGTAATTGCTTGTGCCGATGGCCTGGTGTATGTGTGCGTGCGTATGTACGATAGTTAGATGGTAGCTGTGAATGGTACGCTTTTACATGCACATTAAACCGTGCTTTTTTTGGAAGAATGTATAGAAAGCTATGGGTTATGTGTGATATCATGTCGCCATGGATATATTCGTCACAACTTTGTTCAAAACACATGTAACTGGTTATTTCGTTTTAATTTTGTCTGTTCGATGTTTTCTCCATAGTTTTGAATGTCTAAATTTTATAGAAGTCTACACACAGGCTCTTCACGTTTTATTTTTGTAAGCTCGTGAAATGCTGCCATCGATTGCTTGGTTCTTTGTGTAGAATATTCCTGTCAAGTAATAAAGTCACTGGGTATACTTACTGCATTTTCCATGTGTTTGTGTAATGAGATGTTAACTACATCGCGTGGCATACAGAAGGTCGTGGGTTCAATCCCGACCTTGACGCCTGTATATCTGGAGTTTGCATGTTCTCCCCGTGGTTGCGTGGATTTTCTCCAGGTTCTATTTTTCCTTCCACATTTAGAATTCCACATTTAGAACCGTGCGTTTTGAGTATTTGGCTGCTGTAAATGTCCAAATGACAAGCCACTTAGTTCAGCTATGATTTGTGGCCAGGTCGCTTCTGAAAAAGAGCTCTATAGCTCAGCGGGCCTCCCTGGTAAAATAAAAAAAATTATGGTTTAACGTAGTGACGGATTCCTGCCATTCTATTCTTGCGTATGCAATTATGCTCAGGAGCTAACTGCCGTTGTCGACGTCTGCTAGCCACGCAAGAGCACCACGAGAGGGCCTCGTGAGAGAATTGGTGTCGTTTTGCTGTTCCTCCTCTGCTGAAGGAATGCAGACTACAGTGGCTTACTGTGGTCCCTAGTTTGGGTTGCATGGCCACAATCGGACAGCGAATGCTTTTACACGACTTTCACGGAGAGCACAAACAGGAGATGTTCACATTGGCCTGTTAACGTTTTGATGTCAATGCTCGTTACACCGGTGTCTTCAAAGAATATCAATGTCAAGAGGTGCGATGTTTGTTTCTCAAACGAGATGTTTATTCTGAGCCTCCTCGTTGTGTCGGTGTTCCTGCTGAATGAGGTTGACAATAAGCACTCGGAAATGAGTACAACGTGACAGTGTCAGATGGATGCAATGGGTCAGGTATGAGAATTGTGGATTTGCTTAGAGAAGAGGCACTACTTAGGAGTTCAGGGAGAGAAAAAAATGCACGTGGCTGACCCCATGCTTTCATGGAACCTTTGGCTTCGAAGAAAAAGATGCGTGACAAAAGTGCGGAATGTATTGTAATCCAGCCAGTACCGTCTTACAGAAGGCGTGATTGTATTTTTAGAACGAAGCCTACAAACTGCGTTATTTGGCTTAACCACACTCTCACACCGTCACAACATGATGACATTGCCACACCACCTCAGACCACCTCATCACACCACACAAGCACCTCATCGTGCCATCACAGCACACGATCACGTACCACGTCTCGAAACCGATTTAACAAAAAAATTCAAACAGCAGGTGACGTTCGGCAGTCACTTGAACTATGCGATCTGAATGAGCCTTGCCCTCCCGCTTGTCCACGAGAGGAAGTTGTGGTCAGATTTGTCCTTTTGTTTGAACAAGATTGTTGACAACAGGAAACGTTGCGGCAACAATTGCTCTAACATTGGACCATCTCGGCCTTTAACTACCGGCAAGTCCTAGAGTGCGGACGTCCACCATCCGCTACATGGCCATCAGCCAGCACACCGTCGTCGTTCATCGAGGAACAGCTTCTGGTGCTCCGCTGTACCACTGACGCCACATCACCAGAATCTGCTCGAACTTCCATCTGGAAAAAAATAATGGGGGGGAAAAAATCGAGTGTGAATAAGCTGCTGAATGGAGCTGTCGAGGAATCATCCCCAGTGAGGAGCTCGCATCTGGCTCCCATTTCCAAATGACTCACACGGCGGAGCCTAAACAGACAGAGTGGGTTTTGGGAGATGCAACTCTGTCATGGAATCATTCTGGGGTGGGGGGGGGGCTTCTACACAACCGACCAATGTGCTTGTCAGGAGCAACAAACCGCATGGATCATCTCCTGAGATGCGCTGCAGCACCACAATGCACTCCTCAACATTTGGAAATGCCAACACCAGAAGCGGTGGCCTGTGCAGAATAGTGGGAAAAGGCCCAATTCAGGTTAGACAGGAGACACGATGATGAAGTAGACTGTGGAGTGGAAGATGGCAGCCTTCACGCGGCCCTTCTGTTAAATGATAATTCGCAACGAATGCTATCAACGCGGCGACCGAACATCGATCATCGATCTCGAGAGCAACAAACAAACAAAGATCCCCCGTGTAGCCCTAACAGACTGTTGGGGCAAGTGCTGTTAGCGAGCACCTTTGAAGGCCGGCACGGCACACGAGGGGGTGGGTGACCAACACCACGTCCGGCCGCCTTTGTCTCTCTAGTGGCGATGTTTACACACCGCACTAGGTAATCGTTTGAGGCTGAGTCGACCTAGTGGAGGCCCAGGACCCAGTTCAGAGAATCATCACCGGTGTTGGCCGTGAGCGGGATTCGAACTCGGGCCGCCGGGTTCGTAGCGCAGCGCGCTAACCGCTACACCCACCACTCCACAACAACAACAACAACACACCACCCCACCACTGTGGAGCGTCAGCCAAAGGAGGGAACTCGCCAGAGAAACTGTTTCTCGCAGCGGAGGTGACAAGATACATTTAAAAGTATATTTTGTTCAGCCAGGTGTGAACTCAACAGACTGGGGGGATAGTTCTCTGTCTGTTCATCCCTCTGGCCCCTTTCTTCTTGCTTCTCTGTCCGTATTTCCTCTTCTTACCTCTTGTGTTCCTGTATATGTATTTCTGCTATTCATCCCTCTGGCCCCTTTCTTCTTGCTTCTCTGTCCATATTTCCTCTTCTTACCTCTTGGTGTTCCTGTATATGTATTTCTGCTATCTTATACCTCGTATTTGTTCACTCTGTCTATGCTGGTATGTTCAACCCAGAGGATGAACACGAAATTTAGCACTCTTCTGAAATTCGTGGTCCGCCAGGCAAGTGTCTAACTGTGTCGTTGGTCTGACTGGTTTTGCATCACGTAAATTTTTCTTAGGTTTGTTGAATTCTCGTCTCTCATCTTCTTGTTGCATTTACCTCCGTGCAGTTTGGCGCTCTCTATGTGTTGCGTTGATGTCACCCTATATGCTATTTGTTATTTTACACCTGATGAAGATCGCTTGTGTTGGGGTCGAAACGTCGTGATTGATTTTATTTTAATATAATTTATGGTATTTCTACATACGTGACTTTACCGAAAAAAAAAACAATGAGAAGGATTCATACTCTTTGTTTTTTTTTTCGGTAAAGTCACGTCGGTAAAAAAAATCAATAAAATAACTGAAAACAACTCAATTAAATCACGACGTTTCGGGCGCAACACACGCGTCCGTGATCAGGTGGGGACAAACACAGCGAAGACAGTTGCTGAGATATGTCAAAGAGATCGCTCTAACACGGATTTATATAGCTGAGGAGGGTGGGGGGGGGACGAGGGTATGGGGGCGGGGCGTGGGCTGTGGGAGTAATTCCCAAATATGTGGATACAGGTCAAGTCCCACAGGTGGGGAGTGGGGGAGAGTGGAATCGGACAAAAGTACTACACGATTGGAAAGCTGCATCTCAAATTTCCTAGTGATGTGCAAGGCTGCCTTAACAGTTTAAATTCATATCCACATCACCAGTCTTTTACTCCCAGCCTTGCCGGCCTTCATAGGTGGGGGGGGGGGGGGGGGTAGTCTTTATTTGCAAGAGTGACCTGGGTTTCTGTGCAGAACTTTGCAAAAGCCTTCGTCCAGCAGTGGATAGATCGTGGCTGATGATGTTATCATTCAAGAAAGTTGGCCACTAAGATAAGCAACACTCGCCTTCACGTAATACTTTAGAGTGCTATACTTGCACATCCTTTTGTAAGTCCACTGCTGGATGGAGGCCTCCAGACGCTGCCGTGCAAGGTCGTGGGAGTTAAATGACCATACTTCACCACGCTGGTCTAGTGCAGGCGTGTTTCCTGCAGTGTTTTCCTGCTGTGTACTTTGTTTTCTAGAGCACAGCAACCAAGATAAACTTTAATTCACTTTCACAAAAATGCAAATGTCAGTTCCGGTTGTCTTACCAAAACATTGAAAACATTAGCATCAAACAAAAGGTGAGCATCGTTCTTGAGAAACTGACATATTTGTGTTATAATCTTTAAGTGAAACATATGCATGTTTTAACTTATTTCGCACCGTGTTAATCGGAGGTGCGGGAGCTACTCACATTTGGATCGTGAGTACGGCGTAGAATTCAAAACGTGACACTTGGATGCTGCCCCATTGCAATGGTTGCTACAGGACACTGGATTTGCAATTCAGAAGTTGCCAATTCACTCTTCCGGCACGGTAGTTGCAACAGTTCTCTTAAATCCTCCCCCCCCTCCTCTGTCTACTCTGTAGTATAAATGGGGACACCACGTGCAGTTTGATTGGCATGCCACGTGCAGTTGGGTAAAGTGTGGATACTCCCACCTATTTTTATTTGAAGCTTTCGTGACTGCAGAAATCCATACTCTTTGGTTCTAAAGTCACGTAGCAGTGTTTTCTTGCTGTGGTTGTCCCACCTGATGACGATGGCTTGTGTTGCGATCGAAACGACGTGATCTATTATTTTTCTACCTACATGACTTTACCGAAACTCCCACCTATTCTTCTAAGATGCCTGGCCAGCATGGAAGAGTAGGCCAATCCCCTCCCCCTAGAGTGACCATTTCGAGCTCCACGTTGAGGGCCACCTGCCAGCAGTAGCGTGAGTAAGCAATTGCAGGGCTGCGCCTTCACCTTTGTATGCTCTCACCAATAAAGGCCACTGAGATTTAACAAAAAGATGTGACCAGAGAGAGTGCGGTGATCCCGAGTCACATGACTAGTTCAACAACCCGTCCAGCATGTTTTGAATTTGCTTTAAAATGTACGGTGGGAGTTTCTACATCTGACAATCTGTAGGATTCTTGTGGCCTGACATATATATCGGTGAATCAGTAACCTTAAGTTCACCTTGCGAGGGCCTCTAGAGACACATCTCTTACAAGGCAGACACAATAAGGGAGGGGCGAGGTGGTAGGTCGGCAGGCGTGGTTTCCACTTGTCCGGTCTTTTGTTACCCAGACCGGGGAAATATGGCATCTGTGTTCGGGTGGCAGGAATTTATTTAATCGGAGGTGCGGGGGAAGGACAACAAACTAAACACAAAAATATGTTTTAAAGACATGAGTTTTAAATACAGATTTAAAAGTGCGTAGCTCCAGTGGCTTCCTAATATCGGAAGGAAGAACCTTCCAGACGGCCATGACCCACGGTGTATGGGGCAGCCCTCACCGAGTAGTGGGTTGGTAAAGGGGTGTACGTGTAAAATAAAAAATACCGTAGCAGTATATGACAACTAAAGTTTATTGCTTGGGGCACACACATACGTGGTGTTTATATTGTACTCAGGAATGCACTGCAAGAGTCAGCTGTGGTACAACACACGGAAGCCCAGTTTGAGATGTGGTAAATAGCAAAACAGCCGAGGGTAAACACCGACATTTTCACACGCGTGCTTTCACGTGATAAACGTGGGGTTGACGTCTCTGTTGACCACAATGTCTGGCAACAACAAGGCAGGCCGAGGTTGGAATCCGCCCACTGTCACGCGTAACTGCTGCACAATGTACTTACGTTTTTCTTTTGTATGGTGGTTGGGAAAAAAAATGCAGCAACAGCAGGTTGCAAATGTATTTTTGATGTTGTAAGCCAGAGTACCATTTCATGACCCCTCCCCTACTACAGACAGGTTACTCGCTAGAATGGTGGTCAAATCCCGGCAACACCGATCATTTATCGCCTCCATCCGAAGCGGGAAGGACTCTCCTCTAGCCAAAACCAAGGAAATCAACGCGCGCTTTAGAGAATCCCATAATGTTGTAAAGCCATTCTACGGCATCTGGGGTAGCCTGAGTGGAGTTCAGCCTGTCCATAATACGTGTGTTGTATTTGACAGTCATCGGTGACGTTATGCCCGATGGTTTTCACCTAATCGCATTCGCAGTTTTGGGCGAGTCCTTGATCTTCAATTTATGGAGGGAATATCCTCGCACCGTCTTCCGTGCGTTGTTGTTGGGATGCGGTAGAGTGCGGTCCCCATCGTCATCGTAGCGGCGGCAGCAGAGAGAAACCATGGGTCTTCCTTCGTCCAATCTTCAGCGTTTGGTTTGGTAAATCGCCGTTTCTCCCACGCCTCGCGCCATTACGTGGCAGGGTCGTTTTTTTGGCTGAATATACTGCATCGTAAATACCCAGTAAAAGATGAAACGCTGGGTCAACGTTGGTCCAACGGTTCCAACCGCATGCCAACGTTGACCCAACGTTGATATGTTTACTGGGTACTATATTGTATTGTGGCACCGGCTTAGGGTGTGCCTAATGCCACTCCTGAAGCCCGTCAATCCGGTTGCACTGGATCGTTGCGGGCCAACTGACTGGGAACAGAGCTCCTTTCAAGACTGGGGATTCGTACCAGAAGTGACTTAGGCAGTGGCTGTCGCCAGACTCCACAACGACTGTGATGTGAAGGGTTCGGACGTGGGGCTTCTCTAACCTGTCGTATGCTCCGGTTGATTTTCTGACGTTACTGTGCCCTAACGTGGATTCTCGCGCAGGAGTGTCGCAGCAGTTGGAATGTTGCCAGGGTTTATTGTTTTGCATTGACTTGTCCATTCTTAGGACAATTTAATTTAGAGTCAACGTTCGTTTAGAATATTTGGCTGCTACAGTTTTCCACATTATGAGCCATTTTCTTGAAGCTATCGTATGATTGCCAGGTCGTTTCTGAAAATAGAGCTATACAGCTCAGTGTGGGACCTTACGTGGTAAAATGAAAAAATAAAAAATTAATAGTTTCGATGCAAGGTACTGGGCCTGTTATTTATGTACAGCTCAGGGTCTGGCACCTCACCCAATAAGAGGTGGGGTTTTAGTAGGGCATGCCTGCATTGACCCCTTTCGTAATCTTCTCCCTTGGTAAACTGGTACCACCCTGTAGGCTATTTAGAGTGAAATGACATTTGTGTCTGTACAGTAAATCCTCGCTTAACGCGGTAGATGCGTTCCTGAAAAGCGCCACGTTAAGCGAAAACTTGTCTCCAATAAATAATATAACGATCAATTTTGGCGAGATACCCTGTATGTACACACAGAAACATGGGGCACAGCTCAAGATAGTTAGTCGTCGACCGCTCAGTTGGTCTTACCTGTTAAAATAAAACAGTTTTGTTTGTTAATGTATAGCACCACCATCTCCTCCTTCGCCATGTCTGCCATAAACATGGCTATTCGCTGTGCCATATTGGCTGGCGATGTAGATGACGTCCCTGGGCTGGAGCCTTCCTGAGGCCGCCTCTCCCACTAGAACACTTTATTGCGGACTAAGTAATGACACTCGCAGAACCTTGAAAGAAAAAAAATAGATAAAGGTTCCTTCATAGCAGATATATTAAGTGCTATGAAAAGAAAGGTCATTGCCCCGAAACGCGACTTAAGGCCACAGTGTTATTGACGAATGTGTTGAGTGAAAAAAGTGGGTTATCAAGTAATTTTAATAATTCGCTACAGCTGGGAGCATCTAATGCAAATTTCTTGAGCAAATATGGACAGAGCTAAATGTATGTATGTTGAACTTCTTTCACATTATATGTAGCCAAAAGTGATAAATGGAAGAAAAGCCATGACTACCGACATTTCGAGAAAGAACATGGCACATGCAATTCAATCCTATTAACCGTAAATATTTTTCCTTTTAAGGTCACGGTGTCATTGACGAATGTGTCGAGTTTTTTTTATTGTGCATGTGCACCACTGCCAATGCAACAGCAGCATCACCAAATAATGTTTTTAATTTCAAATGGTTATCACGTAATTCACTGTTTATGGGCCACACAAATTGAAATTGGAAACCACTAAAGTGATGCCGCTTCAAGTGGTAGTAAATTCCTGCTCTTACCAATGGGGCTAATGCTGACCAACTAAATCCATGCTCTGGACCATGGGCTAATGCTGACCAACCAAATTCATGCTCTGGCCCATGGGCTAATAATGCGGGTTTCCCAAATTTCTTCTCTGACCTATGGACTAATGCTGACCAACCAAATTCATGCTCTGACCCATGGACTAATGCTGGCCAACCAAATTCATGCTTTGACCCATGGCCTAATGCTGACCAACCAAATTAATGCTCTGACCCATGGACTAATGCTGACCAACCAAATTAATGCTCTGACCCATGGACTAATGCTGACCAACCAAATTCCCGCTCTGACCCATGGACTAATGCTGACCAACCAAATTCATGCTCTGACCCATGGCCTAATGCTGACCAACCAAATTAATGCTCTGACCCATGGACTAATGCTGACCAACCAAATGAATGCTCTGACCCATGGACTAATGCTGACCAACCAAATTAATGCTCTGACCCATGGCCTAATGCTGACCAACCAAATTAATTCTCTGACCCATGGACTAATGCCGGCCAACCAAATTCATGCTCTGACCCATGGCCTAATGCTGACCAACTAAATTAATTCTCTGACCCGTGGACTAATGCTGACCAACCAAATTAATGCTCTGACCCGTGGCCTAATGCTGACCAACCAAATTCATGCTCTGACCCATGGACTAATGCTGACCAACCAAATTCATGCTCTGACCCATGGCCTAATGCTGACCAACCAAATTCATTATCTGACCCATGGACTAATGCTGACCAACCAAATTCCCGCTCTCACCCACCGACTCCACCGCAGTGAATTATAGCCGCGGCGTCACCGATGACGCGGCTCAGACAGCCTCTCTCCATTGGCCCAGACGAGAGAACAAAACAGGGCAGCAGCTGCAGCAACAGCGGAGGACACACAGCTCGCTGTCTCTTTCTCTCTGTGTTTGTATGTCCCTAAGCCTTTCGTAAACGTCTTCCCTGCTCTTCAATCGCTTCAATCACCACGTTCGGAGCTGCGCTTTGCCCGTGCAGGGTAAGCCACACACAGAACACGCGCGTCTAGACACTGGTTAATTTGATACTAAAGGGGTTTACTTGCTTGTTAAGCACTGCTGCTGTTGCTGCTACTGCTGTACTAGTTGCTCATCCAGGGCTTCTCTCCGTACGCGCGCGCGTTTAAAGTCCCCGATAGTCGAATGAGCTCGTCAACTCAAGCGAAGGGTGCTCGTGGCGACTGCTGCTACTGCTGCTGCTTGCTACTGTTGCTACTGCTGCTGCTTGCTACTGTTGCTACTGCTGCTGCTTGCTACTGTTGCTACTGCTGCTGCTTGCTACTGCTGCTTGCTACTGCTGCAGCTACTGTTGCTGCTACTACTACTACTGCTGCTACTGCTGTTTGCTACTGCTGCTGCTGCTACTACTACTACTGCTGCTACTGCTGCTGCTACTACTACTGCTGCTACTGCTGCTACTGCTTGCTACTGCTGCTTGCTTGCTACTGTTGCTACTGCTACTGCTGCTGCTTGCTACTGTTGCTACTGCTGCTGCTTGCTACTGCTGCTTGCTACTGCTGCAGCTACTGTTGCTGCTACTACTACTACTGCTGCTACTGCTGTTTGCTACTGCTGCTGCTACTACTACTACTGCTGCTACTGCTGTTTGCTACTACTACTACTGCTGCTGCTACTACTGCTACTACTACTACTGCTGCTACTGCTGCTGCTACTGCTGCTGCTGCTACTACTACTGCTGCTGCTACTGCTTGCTACTGTTGCTTGCTACTGCTGCTTGCTACTGCTGCTTGCTTGCTACTGCTGCTACTGCTGCTTGCTTGCTACTGCTGCTGCTTGCTTGCTACTGCTGCTTGCTGCTACTGCTTGCTGCTTGCTTGCTACTGCTGCGTGTGCTTTGGGTGCTTTGTAGTGGGGAGCGGTGGCGCAGCGACTCGGCCCGCGTCCCGCTCGAGGCCACCGAAAACCGATCGGCGGAGGCCGCGAGCGATCTCCGGGGAGACAAAGGCGGCCGGGCGGAGTGTTTTGGGCCCCCCACACGCCTCGTGTTGCGCCTTAATAGGTTAAGGCCACACGGGGAGAGGGGGGGGGGATGATCTTTGTCTCACTGTAAACATCTCTAGCGGCGTGGCGGCAGTGCGTTACGGAGGGGGCGACTACTGATACTGTAAGGCTGCTGTGCTATAAGGGCCATTCCCCGAAACGTCGCCTACTATCCCCCCCCCCCCCCCCCCCATCGAAGACAGCGTTATTGACGCGTGTGTCGACTTTATTTAGATTCCCTTCTGTCTGTTTAGGGGTCGTCAATTTATTTTAACGTCTTAACTTGGGGGGTGGGGGGCAGGCAGGGGAGGGATAGCCACGGTTTTGGGGGAGGCAATCATCCAGCAGTGGATCGATCTTTGATTGGCGATCGATCGACGGTGGATTATTTGCCCCCATACGACTGTGGAGTTTCCGGGCGGTAAGCAGCCTTGGACATGCCAAATCTCACTCCACTCGAGTGGTACAGTGTCTATATTTATAGACTACAGTGTACACCGGTTACACACACACAACATCAAACCTGTCGACTCCTTGACAGTGCCCTACATTATTACAGACAAACTCTTATTGCTCACCCCGTGGCCCTTATAAATCTCAACGTTCAGCCTACAAAGTCCCATCGTCACAAGGGAGAAACACAAACATAATTAAAACTGTTGTTGTTGCTGCTGCCCCTGGTATTGAAACGGTTGTACGCCGTATGGAACTAAATACTTAGTTTCCCTGTACAAGATTAAGGAGTTGAACCGTATGGGTTGATAGGTGTGGTATAGCAGTGTAGTGTATAATGTAGTGTATGGTGTAGTGTATACTGTAGTGTATAATAGTGTATGGTGTAGTGTATAGTGTAGTGTATACTGTAGTATATAGTAGTGTATGGTGTAGTGTATAGTAGTGTATGGTGTAGTGTATAGTAGTGTATAGTGTACAGTGAGGGAAAATGTATTTGATGCCCTGCTGATTTTGTACGTTTGCCCACTGACAAAGAAATTATCAGTCTATAATTTTAATGGTAGGTTTATTTGAACTGTGAGAGACAGAATAACAACAACAAAATCCAGAAAAACGCATATCAAAAATGTTATAAATTGATTTGCATTTTAATGAGGGAAATAAGTATTTGACCCCTCTGCAAAACATAACTTAGTACTTGGTGGCAAAACCCTTTTTGGCAATTAGAGGTCAGACGTTTCTTGTAGTTGGCCACCAGGTTTGCACACATCTTAGGAGGGATTTTGTCCCACTCCTCTTTGCAGATCTTCTCCAAGTCATTAAGGTTTCGAGGCTGAAGTTCGGCAACTCGAACCTTCAGCTCCCTCCACAGATTTTCTATGGGATTAAGGTCTGGAGACTGGCTAGGCCACTCCAGGACCTTAATGTGCTTCTTCTTGAACCACTCCTTTGTTGCCTTGGCCGTGTGTTTTGGGTCATTGTCATGCTGGAATACCCATCCACGACCCATTGTCAATGCCCTGGCTGAGGGAAGGAGGTTCTCACCAAAGATTTGACGGTACATGGCCCCGTCCATCGTCCCTTTGATGCGGTGAAGTTGTCCTGTCCCCTTAGCAGAAAAACACCCCCAAAGCATAATGTTTCCACCTCCATGTTTGACGGTGGGGATGGTGTTCTTGGGGACATAGGCAGCATTCATCCTCCTCCAAACACGGCGAGTTTAGTTGATGCCAAAGAGCTCCATTTTGGTCTCATCTGACCATAACACTTTCACCCAGTTGTCCTCTGAATCATTTAGATGTTCATTGGCAAACTTCAGACGGGCATGTATATGTGCTTTCTTGAGCAGGGGGACCTTGCGGGCGCTGCAGAATTTCAGTCCTTCACGGCGTAGTGTGTTACCAATTGTTTTCTTGGTGACTATGGCCCCAGCTGCCTTGAGATCATTGACAAGATCCTCCCGTGTAGTTCTGGGCTGATTCCTCGCCGTTCTCATGATCTTTGCAACACCACGAGGTGAGATCTTGCATGGAGCCCCAGGACGAGGGAGATTGACAGTTCTTTTGTGTTTCTTCCATTTGCGAATAATCGCACCAACTGTTGTCACCTTCTGACCAAGCTCCTTGGCAATGGTCTTGTAGCCCATTCCAGCCTTGTGTAGGTCTACAATCTTGTCCTTGACATCCTTGGAGAGCTCTTTGGTCTTGGCCATGTTGGAGAGTTTGGAATCTGTTTGATTGCTTTTGTGGACAGGTGCCTTTTGTATTACAGATCAATTCAGATCTTATTGCTCACCCCGTGCCCCTTATAAATCTCAACGTTCATCCGACAAAGTCCCATCACAAGGTAGACACACAAACAAATAGACAAAAACATTTTGCCCGTACGGACCTGAAAACTCAATTCCCCTGTACAAGAATTGCGGGTAAACCGTATGGGTTGACAGATATGCGCACAACAAGTGCACTAAACAAATGGGAACTTATTCATATTCTTAGTTTTTTCGGTAAAGTCACGTTGAAGAGAAACAACAAAATAACAAAATATATATGGGAACTTGTGAATATATATTGTACTGCAAAACGAAACATGGGGAGGGGTGGGAGCACAGTTGTTAGCACACTGCACATTTGAACCTTATGGCTGTACCCCGGGGTACCATAGGGGTCCCATAGTATAATGTCCGTGATGCAGTCATTTTGAGTCTTTTGATGGTCGGCGATGCGCCAATGGACTCATCTCGACGAGCTGTACTCACGATGCACCACCACCACGGTGCGTACCCAGAGCGTTCAGGGTTTCGGCGCAATCGTCCTCGCTGGGTTTCGACATCGTGGAGTGGCACTGATGTCGGATCGATTGGTACCCCAAGTCGCGGAGTGAAGTAACACCCCTGGACAAAAATAGTGTCCCAGAAATCAAATATTTAATTGCCTCGGCCCATGTTGTATTATTTGGTACCCTGGAGTACCGCCATAAGGATCAATTAATTAACCATTTGATCTAAGTTAGATTCGTGGCCATGGCCAGCATCGCTCGGGACCGCCAACAGACAACTGACACGCTTGTTTATGATTGTATAATGTTTAACAATGCATCCGTTCATTGATTAATCATTGATGACTAAGATATACCACGGTTATGGTGTAAATCGGTACACCCGCACTTGTATAATGCTGTCAAGTCCTGAGATGTGATTTATTCAAAGTTGTTTATGAATAAATAAAATGCCTGATGGCTTGAGTATAATCCTGTTTAACGAGTGCAATTGGCATAATTACACAAGCCGACTGCTGTTGGTGCTGTGGCAATACTGCGTGACATCACTCTAGTTTCTTATCACCTTCTGACCCGCCCCAACTGGTGGACATCTATGTAAAATAGCTTAATTAGCTCATCGGATTCCATCAGTTTATATACGTAAATTTTTTTTCTGATATTGATGAAAAAAAACGCGTTGAAGGTTAATGCCACGCACTGGGTCGGATGAAGAGACTGCTCCCCGTGTTATTCATCAGCACATACAATTATTCACACACTGCTACTGTTGTTGTCGTCCTGGCAGGCTATTCACAATGACTCACAGCGTTGTGCCACTGAGCCCTCCAGAGATAACAGCGTGCTCAAAGGTAAGAGGATGACGACGGGACCTCGGATTGGTTTCCCCTTCAACTGGTGTGTGTGGGGAGCGGTGGAGTGTGGGGGGAGCGGTGGAGTGTGCGGGGTAGCGGTGGTGTGTGCGGGGTAGCGGTGGTGTGTGCGGGGAGCGGTGGTGTGTGTGGGGAGCGGTGGTGTGTGTGGGGAGCGGTGGTGTGTGTGGGGAGCGGTGGTGTGTGTGGGGAGCGGTGGTGTGTGTGGGGAGCGGTGGTGTGTGTGGGGAGCGGTGGTGTGTGTGGGGAGCGGTGGTGTGTGTGGGGAGCGGTGAGATCATTCAGTCCGATACTTCAGTTGCCTCTTGTTTTCCTTTGTACAGTACAAATAAATCAAACTAAATATGACTTCATAATAAAAATAAAGGTTTTTGGGTTAGATCGCATTATTTATCAATGTTTCGTAACCCTCCACCACCCGACACGGCCAATCAGAAAAAAAAGTGTCATGTTGACAAAAGACAAATAGTTCACTACTTTAGCCCACCGGTGTGTTGAAGAGTGAATCCACAACATTTACAGTTTGAGTACGACGTTTCGCTGGTAATTACATCCAGCATCATCGGGCAATTCGCCAGAATGGTAAAGCCCTCGCTTGCTCCCGGTCTTAAATAGAGCAGCAGGGTGACGTCATCATTTAACTCATTTCAGGTGCAGTGATTTGAGGCGGAGGGGGGGGTATTGTAATTATATAATCCCATCTTCGTTTATTCCACACATCATCACTATTCTACACACACACACATCCCATCCACTCATCTCGTTTCATCTCGCCAAACCATCTTGTACCACAGTTCGCTCACTGTCCAGCGACTTGTTTAAGGCACTATATGAATGTATGAGAAGATCAGATGAAGTAAACACATCGGGCCTACGTTAGGGCTGAACAATTTGGTGGAAAATATCTAATTGCAATTTTTCTGACAGATATTGCGATTTGATTTGCGATTACATTTTTCAAAGTCAAGCTTCAGGTCAATATTCACTGTGTAATAGATTTAAAACGTGTGTAGTGGCATCGGTGGAGTGCCAGCCTCTGGCGGTTAGGGGGCGAGGGCCAGGGACGGCGCAGGGGTTCACCTGGAGCCATGGCACTCCAGGTGAACCTGGAGGCCTGGTGACCGGAGGTACCGGCCAAGGGGCCCCAAGGAGGGGGCTGCGGGGCCCACGGGACCAGGACCAGGTCCCTCTTGAAGGCTCGAGAAGGGAGGCGTGGCCAGGGGCGGAGGAAGCCCCGGGACTGGCAATATGAGCTAGAGTGAGCTAGGGTGAGCTAGAGTGAGCTAGGGTGAGCTAGAGTGAGCTAGAGTGAGCTAGGGTGAGTTAGGGTGAGCTAGGGTGAGCTAGAGTGAGCTAGGGCGAGCTAGGGCTAGCTAAGGTTAACTAGGGTGAGCTAGGGTGAGTTAGGGTGAGCTAGGGTGAGCTAGGGTGAGCTAGGGTGAGCTAGGGTGAGCTAGGGTGAGCTAGGGTGAGCTAGGGTGAGCTAGGGTGAGCTAGGGTGAGTTAGGGTGAGCTAGAGTGAGCTAGGGTGAGCTAAAGTTAGCTAGGGTGAGCTAAGGTGAGCTAGGGTGCGCTATGGTGAGCTAGAGTGAGCTAGGGTGAGCTAGAGTGAGCTAGGGTGAGTTAGAGTGAGCTAGGGTGAGCTAGGGTGAGCTAGGGTGAGCTAGAGTGAGCTAGGGTGAGTTAGAGTGAGCTAGGGTGAGCTAGAGTGAGCTTGGGTGAGCTAGGGTGAGCTAGGGTGAGCTAGGGTGAGCTAGGGTGAGCTAGGGTGAGCTAGGGTGAGCTAGAGTGAGCTAGGGTTAGCTAGAGTTAGCTAGGGTGAGCTAGAGTGAGCTAGGGTGAGCTAGGGTGAGCTAGATTGAGGGTGAGCTAGAGTGAGCTAGGGCTAGCTAGGGTGAGCTAGGGTGAGGGTGAGCTAGGGTGAGGGTGAGCTAGGGTGAGCTAGAGTGAGCTAGGGCTAGCTAGGGTGAGCTAGGGTTAGCTAGAGTGAGCTAGGGTGAGCTAGGGTGATCTAGGGTGAGCTAGGGTGATCTAGGGTTAGCTAGGATGAGCTAGGGTGAGCTAGGGTTAGCTAGGGTGAGCTAGAGTGAGCTAGGGTGAGCTAGAGTGAGCTAGGGTGAGCTAGGGTTAGCTAGGGTGAGCTAGGGTTAACGAGCCTGGAGGATATACCTCCTTAGGGTAGCTGGTGAAGAGGCAGTTATACCCCTTCGTGTTTTAGGGCTTATTGTAAATAAAGGTGTTGCCTCCAAGAAGTCTATGCCTCCCTCGTGTGAACCACTACACATGTGATGGAGCATTACCACGTGATACCATCAAAATATGAACTGCTCTATATATTCTCATGCAAGGATGAGAACTTAAAAGATATGAATTGCTTCCAACATGTATTTGTTAAAATGTTTTAATTGAAATAGAACAATCAAACATAGAACAATTGTTAAGTTAAATAAATAAAGTTATAATAATAAATAATAAAACAATTCCAATGAGAAAGTAATGGAACTTTTCAAATCGAAAAAAATCGCAGCCTTTGCGATTTGCTAATCGCATTGTTTCAAATTGCGATTTAGATTTGAAATCTATTAATCGTTCAGCCCTAGCCTACATCATGACGAGTCGGCAACTGTTTAAACAAACCAGCTGATTTCAGAGACTCAGGGTGATGTCATTTCCTTCTGTCACGTGGCTGCATCCTATAGCATTCACAACTTATGCACTCTAGTGGAGGAGGTGTGCTGTATGTCCACAGAGCAATACTAAATGTAAGTCTACTCGCCCATTTGCTTATTATTAACCAGCAACATTTGTTCCGCAAAAAACTCTGGGTCGGCTTTAACTTGGGTCATGTCAGCTGAGTTACGTTCACTTAACAATTACTCTCGATTCCCCCAAATGTTATTGGGGAGAGACCACTCTCTAATTATGAGGATGCTGTCCTAAACTAAAAATAAAAAACTAAGCTATTTTTTTATGTTGCCAGGTGTAAAATGTGCCCCACATGTACACACATACTCATGTATACAAACACTCATGTATATAAACACTCATGTACACATACTCTTGTATGTGTATTTTCTCTGGGAATTCGTTTCATTTGCAATAAAATCACTCATGATATTGGCCTAAAATCCTAAGCAGGATCCCAAAAAATTTTCTTTGGACATTGTTGAGGCTGTCTTGGGGTAAACAGTTTCCTAATATCAACATCTCAAATAATTGATACTCTTGTATATAATTTAATTGAAACTCTCAAATGTTACGTAGCGTGGTAAAAACAAAATGTACAGCGTGTACTGGCAACGTCTTTTAAGGCTTGCTATAAAAATGTATACACCGCAGACTGATATACAGTACACACTACAAGCAATATTACGCAACAATAGCGTGACTGTGTAATTTGTCGACTTGCGTTTCAAATCGTTGTTTTGCCAAGGAGGCTGCTTCAATTCTGTGCAATTTGTCACGAATGGGGATTATTTTTTTCGCCCCCCCCCGTGGTGTACACGTATATTACGAGTGTGTGCTACATGTGACCATTGAGCTCGCACAAGAAGCCCTCTGTCCTTGTTCATGCAAGAGACGTCGCAAGTCTCATAATCTCATTGATCTCATTGATCTCGTGACTGGCAATAGTAGCGCGTGTGGTGCTGCGGTTAGCGCCACGCCGCGCTATGAACCCGGCCACCCAGGTTCGATCCCCGTTCACGGTCAACACCAGTGACGATTATCTGAACCGGTCCTGGTCCTCCCTTAGGTCGACTCGGCCTCAAATGAGTACCCGGTCCGGTGTGTAAACGTCGCCGTGAGGAAGACAAAGGCGGCCGGGTGTGGTGCTGGCACGTGCTGTTAGCGAGCACTTCCGTAGGTGTTCTCTCACAGCACTTGCCTCAAGTCTGTGAAGGCTTTAAGAGGGATCTTTGTTTTTGGTGCTGGCCACCCACCCCCTTAGTATATCTTGCCGGCCTTCATAGGTGTGCCAACAGCACTCGCCCCAAACATCAGTGAAGGCTTTAAGGATAATCTTTGTCTTGTACAAAGCAGAACTCTGTTCTATGTTTTCACACGAGAATAAAAATGAATTTTAGTCAACAAGCTTATTGGCTTTCCAGACCAATATAATCAAGTAGCATTTGTTTAAGTATGTAAATTGTGGACCGGTTTTGGCGGCCTTGTGGGTCTCATCAGGAGTTAAACATGCTGCTGGATTATTATATGTTTATTGGCAATACCACTCAAAAATAAACTATGGTACCCCATTGAACGCTAGTGCTCTGCCGTCGTAAATTATGAGCAAAATCGTTTTTCACCGTAACCTAGTTCAGTGTCTTCTGTGGAGAACAAATGGAGTTATGCTTCTATTGCTTTTACCCATATTGCTCCACAGCAACGCATAATGAATTTGTGCGTTTTGTCCAGATCATTGACCGGTGCAGTATCAGCACAAATACAATTATAGCATATCGCTGGCGCAGCACAGTTGTTTTCACAAGGGTTGTTTTTTTTATTGCGATAAATTGAAGCTCGCTCTTTTTATTTCAACTGTGTGTATATTTGTTCGCGTTTGTGCGTGCATGCGTGAGTTGCAGGTGGAAGGGTTGGAGACTACTATACTCTTTGGTTCTATTCGGTAAAGTCACGTAGGTAAAAAATAAAACAACAAAAATCACGACGTTTCGGCCACAACACAAGCGGCCTTCATCAGGTGAAGGGACCAGACTGTCTCGAAGACTGCGCTGGAGTGAAACAGAGCCAAGCTCAGACCACGGCTTTTAAGCTGTGTGAGAGGGATTAAGGTGCCTTGACAAAGGAATTAGCATAAAAAATTGCATTTTAATAGGTGGACTTAGCATGATGAAAGGTAGGGAGGGGGTCGACCTGTGCAGGCTGGCGAGGGGGCACGGCAGCGTCCACATGCTGGTGGTGTGAAAAGGGGATTTTGCGTCCACATGCTGGTGGTGTGAAAAGGGGATTTTAAGCTGAGAAAGTTTGGGGAACCACTACTTGATATTAGTCAAGGGCAGGAATAGAATTCAGGTCACTGGGGTTGGTAGCGCAATGTTATAAGCACAACGCACGGCACCTATAAACACAGAAAAACATGAACGTCACAACAGGGTATGCTCCTAAACATAGATTCCCCCCTGGCCGGAATGGATTGCTGTGGGAAGTACAGCTGGCGAGCAGCTGTTGTGGTACACGGCAGAACGAAATACACACAAGGATGGCGAGAAGTAGCCGGGTGGCTCCAGGTCAATGGACTGAGCTGGCACCGCTGAAATTCTGGGTTGGAAGCCAGAAAGCTTCCTCTGATTAAATAGCCGCGTCACCAAGGAACGTACAAAAAATTCATGGAATTAATTTGGTTTGTCACGTGAACCTTATGGCGGGACCACGGGGTCCCATAAGCCCCCGGCTCTCGCATAAACTGAGCCGCGACGTCAATTTATGTCTGTTGAAAGCGAACGACACGGCGATCTATTCCTCTCGACAAGCTCTACACGATGCGCTAGTCAAAGTTTCAAAGTTTTATTTCTTCTGCACATTCGGGACGACATGACAACAGAATGATCCGCGCCAGGTGGGTCGCGGAGTTTATGTGCGCGGTGGGACGGAGTCTCCCAAAATAAATACATTAATTATGGTTTTGCCTTCCGTTTATTCGGGACCCCAGGGTGCCGCCATAAGGGGTTCACTTGTATAACCCCAGCCCTTGAGAATTAAACACACATGATTTACTGTGATGGAACAAACAATGACGTTTCGCTTCGCGAGCTTGGAGCTTCTATTCCATTCCTGCAGAAGTGTCGCCGCCGGTACACGAAGCGGAATGCCTCTTATCGTGCTTAGCAACACCCATTAAATCCCCAGAACACATCAGAGCGATGAATTAGACTGAAGTCACAGATTCTAGGCCCGGCTAATTAATAGGTGTTTGCTGACGGCGCTTACTCCGCAGTCTGCATGAAGGTTACATGGAGGAGCTTTTGTCTTTGTGCTCGTCTGTACGTTTGCTACACTCTGCACTCCCCCCGCCCCGCCCCGCCCCGCCCCCACCACGTGTTCTTAGCGGCTGGCGGTGTTCGTGGCACTGCTGGGCGGCGGGGTCCTCATGCTCTTCGTGGCTGTGTCCCTCCATCTGCCGCTCGTGTGGGATGTGGTGCGCACAGCCAGCCACCTCGACTCGGCTGCCAATCCGGGAGTTTGCGACGAACCCTGCAGGTGCAGCTCCAGGCGGTTTTCTCCCCCACACACGGAACACCACTTGTTAACAAAAAAATCAAATTGGCCAAACGTAATGATGTACGGTCCTCATGGGGGGAAAAAAAAAATTGTCTCGAGACTCGATGAGGCTTCCTGGTGAATGGCATTACCAATTTTGTTATTGTAAATCTTGTTTCCCATGCATAGTCAAACAACATAGGCCCTTAAGTACTTAAATGCCAGCGTAAGTTCATTACAATGACTCGTGCAGGTACAGAATCCGAATATGTATTCATCCTGGAGTAATCTGATGAGCTATGAAGCTCTTTTGCACAGATATCCAGTAGGGGCGGGTCAGAATTGGTGGAACCATGATGCGCCTTCTTCTCCAACGCCAGCCTTCTACTGTATAACAAGTAATGCTTGCATCGGAGAACTCGTCTGACAACTGCTGGGAGCGCGAGCTTGAAACTGTACAGCCACCCCTGATTAAACCAAGATTGCAAGTGTAGCCACAAATAAAATCAGGGTTCTCCTGATGGATAGTGTTGAGACTCATTGGGGATTTTCTTGACAAATAAATAATTGCAGCACTTTTATCGCTCCGCTGTTGGATGTAGGGCTCCCCTACGCCGCTTGGGTCAATGGGGGGGGGGGGGGGGGCTGTTTGACCATACTTCGTCAATGCTGGTAAAGTGCGGGTTGGTGACGCAGGTCTGCCTGGGACTGGTTCACATATCACCCCCCACCGGTGGCGTGAGCTGCAGCCAGGAATTGACCTCGGGTCGTGGAGTTTGCTAAACCGCCGCACCACCGTGCCACCCCATGAACAAACAAAGTGAAATTAGAATTACGGTTAATTTGCGATCGTGAGCCCAGTCGCCCAATGTTGTTTTAATCTTAACTTTGCATGTGACATCTCCGAGAGTAAGTGTAATCAGATGTCTTTGCCAATTTGGCGTGCGTCAAACCACTCGTTACAGAGCATGAAGGGGGGAGGGCTTGTCCTTACTTGAGTGAGAGGGGCCTATTGGACTGGCCATCGAAGTCGTTCTTTGGTGTCATCCTCCGGGCTGTCCACTGATGAATTGTGCTGTCAGTCTGCTGATTGTGAGAAATCAGGAACAAGATTTCTTCATGTGATGATATGACTGATAAACATGACAGACCTCGTGATAATAAATAGGGATGTAATGGATGATTTGCGAAATATAATCATTCTTGTCACGTTATCATCAACAAACAAGTCTCCCCTTAAAATGGTGCTTAGAATATAATTAAACATTTTTTACACCCAGAGTTTCCTTAAACTCCAAACGGTGTGTATAATAACACACAAGGCACCGTCCAACATATCTGCTCGATGTTTGGCTGTCGAGGGCAGGTTCGTGAGGCATGTGGGCATTCGGAGAGCGGTATTGCGGTGGGTTTGCGCAATGCGCTCTGGACCCAGTGAGCCGAGTTCAAGCCCCAACCACGCGAGTGACCAATGACATCTCAACCGGTCCTGTTCCCCCTTCCTTCGGCAACCCACGCCGACCGGCGTGGCGAAGTATGGTCAAACGATCGTTGCTTTTTGATTATGACTGGCGATGTACAATAAGGAAGTGAACCCATTGCTTATCGGGAGTATTGTCAGCCCTCTAGGACCACATTCTTTCAGTTCTTTATATTTATTTTTTATTTCCCTTCAAACTTTAACCATGTTGTTTAGAACATGCTCCAACTGGTGCCAAATGATGCAAGCCAAGATCTTTATTTTTCACGCGTCGATCACAACACATTAACTCCGGTTCACTGCACTGGATTCCTGTTAAATTCCGTATTGATTTTAAAATCTTATTATTACTTACGAAGGCCCTTTTAGTTGTTACGTTGCCCACCTCTGGAACTCTTTCTGACAAAATGCTGATGCATTTTTCTTTATATTTGAAATGAAATTGAGAAACATACGAGGTTGTTGATGCTTGAGCTGGATGATTGGGCAATGCACCCCATATCGTTTGTCGTCAGAAGCTAAGCAGGCTTTGAGCCTGGATGGGTGACCCACCATCTGCAAAAGACAGGTGTAGTAGGTATTATGGGCAACAGAGGGCAGTGCAGCAATGTACAGAAAATTCCTCGTTCAACGCGGTAGATGCGTACCTGAAAAGTGCCTCGTTTAGCGAGGAATTACTGTATGAGCATGACAGGGAGCAAACAGTAAATGCCAACTTGAATCACATTTTCACTATTAAATCAGCCTGCAGTCGTTCCATGGCGGAACAGAGAGCCCAGCCTGAGGGTAAGCCGCCCGTGTATCTTTCCCCCGCGTGTGTACCCAGAATTCCCACACCGCTCGGCCACGCCGTTCACGAAGGCGGTTCGTCGTCGACCGCTCAGAAATCGCGTCATAACGGCGCGTGTTCCGCGTAAAGCGTTCCCTAATGGAAGAACCTTGCTAAAGCAAAAACGTTTTGTATGGAGATGCGTTCATCGAGGACCGGCCAAACATTATTCTGCACTCCCACCTTCACCGAGCCACACTGATCAGCGTGGTGAAACACGGTCCAGATATCATTCACGGCCCGCAAGGTATGGGGGGGGGGAGGCCCTCATCCAGCAGTGGATTGACAAAAGGGCTGTACATGCGCGTAGTGTTGTCATTTACGACGCCGGCTCAGGCTCTAAGGCGCAGGTGAGCAACCGACCAATGCTTGTTTGGACACGGGAGACGTTGTGAGTGAAATGAATCGCTTCTGCTTGGCGCATCGTCAACACGTGAATGTACAATGCAAGCACCAACCACACGTCGTGTAGATGCTCATGTTACTACGGTGAGCTCATTGCAAAAGGGAGTGTTGTTTACTTGTAGGTTGTGTCCAGGAATGCTGCTGCTGCAACCTGTTTTCATTGTCCCTGCTAGGGGAATCACGTGATAGGTGCTTTAGGCTGAGAGATGGGTAGGCTGCCATGTTTTGGAGCGATTCCGACACGGTGAAATGCGTTTTACCTGGAAGTGTAACGTGAGCCCCGTATCAATACTATGCACGCGATGATCCACACCTCGTGCGATTCGATGAGTCGTCACAGTTTTAAGTTGGGGCACCGCGTTGGCAAGATGTTCACTCCCTCGCCTGGTATGCAGGAGGTCGTGGGTTCGATCCCGATCCCTGTTGTATATTTGGAGTTTGCGTGTTCTCCCCCGTGGTCGCGTGGATTTTTCTCCGGGTCCTCTGATTTTTCCCTCCACATTTACAAAATGTGCGTTTTGTAGAGTATTTGGCTGCGATATATTTCCACGTGATGACGCACTTCGTTGAGCTAGCATTTGTGGACAGGTCGCTTCCGACAAAGAGCTATAGAGCTCAGTGGGCCTTACCTGGTAAAATAAAAAAAATAGTTTAGTTTAGTCAGGCCTGGACCTGCATGTCCTGCAGCATAAGAGTCGCCTCTCGTGCGGCGGTGTGCACAAAGGCAAGCCAGGCGTGGCCGTTACCTCTCCCGATGAGATATTGGGCACGTTGTGCTAAGCAGCACTTGCCCCGACTGGTGAAACAACTTCACCGCAAAAGGCCCCCTTGTCTCTCTCTAATGCTGAGCTGTAGTGTTAAACAAGCTTGAGATGCCCTGAGGAAACGAGGCTTGAGAGAGGCGGTTCATTCATCCAGCAATGTGTTTTTTTCCCCGATGGGAGCTGTAGAGTGCTGTCATGTATAATGCTAAAGGCTTGCTTGAAAACCACGCTATTGCACAGGTGGTTTTCTGATTGTTGCCCAGTAAATTGATGCATTTACAGAATTAAATACATTTCGCTTGGGCGGACAGTTTGCTGGCAAATAACTGTCTGTATTTACGGACCGTTTTGCCTGTGCTGTATGGATTTTTCTCTGCAGGACAATACTGTCATATGATTATGAATCAATAGCCAACAAAATGATATTCACTCAGGAAGGTCTTTCTTGAGTCTCCAGAACATATTTTTGAGGTCTCACATTCGGACAAATTGGCCACTTCCGTTAAACGGTGTTTGTGGTAGGAAAGTTGCTGGTATGAGTGCATAACAGTCTCACAGCATATGAAGAAATCTGCTGGTGACACCCTGCCGAGTGATTCCTCCGTATGATTTCTCCTACATTTGCAGCTTAGAGACGTAATTTTGACTGTTAAACATGCTAAGTGGGCTTGGGCAGGACATGTCATTAGAAATTGGGCCGAAGGCATCGCTTAATTAAAAAAAAACCGCAACACCGTTCCATACTGGCAGACCTTTGCACATTTGCAATCCGGCGCTACGTACACATTTTTCTCCCGCAGGGACAGCTGCCACTGGGGGTTCCATTGGCTAGATTACAGCAAGGCATTGGAATGGCTGAGATGTCATGTAAGGCGCTTGGAGTTGCCAAGGCATTTTAAGCGAGTCGGCACTCATTTAGCACGGTTGGCTGCGTACGGTGCGAAAGAAGTTCCACGTACAAACATAAGTGCCCAATAAATACAAAAGCCTTATCCTTAGAGGGGGCGATGGCCAGAATAATGACGGATTGGCAGCCAAAGGAAGGGACGCACCAAGGTGTGCTTCCAATGCAGATGTGCAGTAATGACAGCAGCTGGAGTGCAGGTGCTGGGTAGATTATTACATCCCAAGGCTGTGAGGTGTCGATGACTTGGGGGGTGGGGGGGGGGCCTTCATCTGGTATTGGATTGATTGAGTGATGATGACGCTGCTGCCATCCTCCCCAGTACTCGAAGCGTGAATTAATTGCCGTGTGTTACGTGCATGTGTGCTCGTCTTTCCCGCCCGACCCGGCCGCAGCCTGGTGTTGGTGGAGAGCATCCCAGAAGGTTTGACCTTTCCCGAGGGTTCGCCCGTGCACCCGTCCATCTTCCAGAGGTGGAGCGACCTCCTGCACACTTCCTCGCTGACCGTGCAGGTCGCCTCCTTCTACTGGACGCTGCGCGACTCCGACTTGGGAATCAACGAAAGCTCCGCGGCACAGGTAAGCAGCGGACTGCCTCACGATTCATTCCTTTAAAGCTGCTTTTTTGCGTTTAGTTTGTCGTCCTTTGATAAGCACGGTTGGCTACGTACCGTGCGAAAGATGTTCTACATGCATACGCAAGACTCCCTTGCTCAGATCTGTGAAAGGGCTCCACGGTGGCGAGATGTTAACTATCTTGCCTAGTGTACAGGAGGTTGTGGGTTTGATCCCGACCCGGACGCGTGGATTTTTCTCCTTGTCCTCCGGTTTTTCCCCTCCACATTTATCAACGTGTGTTTCGAGTATTTCGCTGCTGTAAATTTCCACATGATAAGCCACTTCGTTGAGCTGCCATTTGTGGCCAGGTCACTTCTGAAAAAGGAGCTATATCGCTGTGGGCCTAACCTGGTAAAATAAAAAATATAAATAGTTTATGTATGAGACAACAGTAATATTAGCTGGGCAGTGGTGGTGCCCGCAATGTCATCCAGCAAATATGGAGGCAACGAGGGTTGGTGGAACGCACAAATGTTGTGAAAAACCACTTCTGTGGGCGTCGAGGTTTCGTACCCTGGCTTGCCAGAAGAAGGCGGCACAGCACATTATTTCGGTATGTTAGGTGTTATGAACAAAAGAGCTATATAGCTCACTTGGCCTTACCTTGTAAAATAAAAAATAGTTACAAGTATCCACTCCCCGATCCAACCAGCTATTTTCGACTTACAGACATTAGAGGCCTTGGGCGCTACCATTGAGCATTTATCAAGGCCGCAGCCACACAAGGGAATGTTGCGGTCAATAATATCCCCCACCAGCTGTTTGTCTCCCCAGTGTTCATGGTTCATCAACTGTATGGTTGGCTACCAGTTAAATCGACCAATTTGAGGCCCAGGACAGGTTAATATAAAATGTGTCACTCATGAGCATGGCTATGAATTGAACCCGAGGTCGCCGCGCTGCGCTGCGCAATGTCTCCCAAAGCACAGCCAGCAACAACAACAACAACCGCCGCCGTTCGCCGCTAAGTGGCGGTGACGTCACCACGGCGCTTGTACCAGGCTAGGTGCACCTTGAGGCTGTGTGAAGTGTCGAAGGGTCGCTGGCAGGATGTAATGCGACAGAGCCAGCCACCCACATGTACGCCCACGTAGACACACAGTCTTGCTGATTATTAACACGTTTTACACCTGTTTACAAGCCATGGATAGACAAGGGGGGGGGGGGGGGGGTGGGGGGGTGTATGTTTTATCTTGGAGCATTGACAGACGCATGGTCGGACACATCTCAGTAAATTCCGATAGAAGGTTCATAAAAGTATATGTACTTGAATTTGTGGGAAGAACCTTCCAATCTTGTCACAAGCGAATGACAACACAAAGCACAACGTTGTTTCGACTTGCCCCATTCTTGGCCGTCGCTTCTCTTTTTATGCACCAGCTCAGCGTTTCACCGATGTTGACTGAGCCCAAGATTGCTGTGTCGGCATTTAATCAGCTGGCTTACAAAGACGCTTTGTGAAAACGATGTCTGACAAAAGATTGTGCCAAGAGACAACTCTTTTGTTTGCATTTTGACTGCTTGTGTTTTGGTTATTGCAAACATGATGCCTTGACTAAAGGTGTCAGTTTTTGTGCCAGTTAAAAGGGCAAAACCCATTTCTATATCTTGTTACTGGCAAAGGAGGTCTCATAATGTAAATGCTCACCCCGAGCCCTCAATACTCTGATAGTGCGCTGTTTTTGAGTTGTACGCCTTTTGGCGTCTTCTGGTCCAACACCAGTGGAGACTCGGCTCTAAGAAAAGCCGTCTCGGGTGTGGACCAATCAAATTCAAGGACAGTGCATATTATTATCAGAGTTGTCTCTTTTGTTTGCATTTTGACTGCTTGTGTTGTGGTTATTGCAGACACGATGCCTTGAATAAAGGTGTCAGTTTTTGTGCCAGTTAAAAGGGTAAAACCTATTTATATTGCGCCAAGACTTCCCCCACTTGTGGTTAACCTCAATTTCACAACGAAAAAGAAAACCAATGCATTGATGAGGGTTTATTTTTATTCTACTAAATTGTACTTTTTTGCCTTTGCCGGGTAAGGCCTGCTGAGCTATACGGCTCTCTTTCAGAAGTGACCTGGCCACAAATGATTGCTCAACGAAGTGGCTTATCACTTTAATTCATGGCAGCCATATACTCTAAAAGCATGTTTGTAAATGTGGAGGGAAAAAAACCAGAGGGCCCGGAGAAAAATCCACGTGACCGAGGGGAGAACAATGCAAACTCCACATGTATCGGCGTCCGGGTCGGGATCGAACACACGACCTCCTGTATACCAGGCGAGGGAGTTAACATCTCACCACCGTGGCACCCCTATTAATCTCTAGCTGTCTAGAACTCTCTTGGATTGCTCCGGAATGTTACGATGGCAACCCGAATTACTTTCACGTAGAGTTAATCTTTATAATTCACGGCACTGCGCTGTGATCCTAACAACCTTTCAGCCCAGTATAGCTGGGGTTGTCTTAACAGCACATGAGCTGTCGTGACATTTAAGGTGAACACGAGAAGGTGCAGCCCTGCAATTGCCTGCTCACGGCATTGCTGGTGGAAGCCCCTCCATTAGAGGGAGCTCTCGAGAGCCACTCGAGGGGGGTATATGGCCTACTCTTCCACGTTAGCCAGATATCGACTGTTTTGAAACCATTTAGACGGCTGGGCAGACAGATGCATGGGGGGAGGGAAGGAAATTTAAAAACTTGCACCAATGTTTCAACTGTGTGTATGTTGAAGTTATTTTGCGCCGTACGTAGCCAACCGTGCTAATCTAAGGTGTGGGGGAAGGACAACAAACTACATACAAAAATCGGTTCTAAAGAAATTACTTTTCAATCTAGATTTTTTTAAAAATGTTTTTTATTGTAACGCAATGCGAGCCCGGGACAATACACAGATCGCAAAACGGGGGAGGGGAACAGAAACGCTGTGAACAGCAACCCTATTTCGGAGTTTTTCATCTAGATTATTTAACAGTGAATAGCTCCAGTGGCTCTCTAATATCGAAAGGAAGAGCGTTCCAGATGGCCGCAGAAGTGCATCAATAAACGCGCGATGCGGTGGGATAACAAAGTAAAACTGCCGAACTCTTTGGTGCCAGTCCAGTGTGTTCACCGTTACACCACGGCAACATCCATCGCGACATTTAAACACGCAGTAAATGTAAACTCTGACCCTTATGTTGGAACATGTGTAATTTACCCCACCCCGCCTTGATGGCGCCGGATTGTCGTAGCTGTGGGGCACAGCTCCCCGCTTGCGCGGATGTCCACGTGCTGAGCCCACACCTCCGATTAGTACGGTTGGCTACGTACGGTGCGAAATTAATTCTACATACATACATACGTGCGTACGTGTGTATGTGTGTGTGCGGTGCAGGGCAAGGCGGTGATGGATGCGTTCCTGGCTCTGCCGGCACGGGGAGTGTCGCTACAGCTGGCAACCGACGGCTCGTCCAACGCGCGCAAGCAGTCGCAGCTTGACCTCGCCGACCTCACCAGCAAGGGTGAGCTTCAGAGCTGGTTCTCCTGTTAATTTAACCCTTCCCCGTTCCGATGACATACGTGTATGTCGTCAGTTTTTTCTCTGATTCCGTGTACGTTATCGGGACGGAACCGTAAAAAAACCCTAAAATAAGGTTATCGGTACCGAGGCTCCCACAAGGCCATGCGGGAGGGCGTGTGGCACAGTTTGGTGTCAGCTATCATAGAGTGCGGTCGTGTCGATTACAGTTCTCTGAGGTGTGCGCAATTTCTTTTAAAATTGCGGCGATACGCCTCTCTAAATCAAATTAACGCTCACCGCTTGCACGCTCCGAGATTTAGCGGTGAACGGGACCCCACCTTGCAACTTGCAGACGTCTTGGAACGGAAAAGGGGTTAAGTAAACGATCACTCGATCAGTTATATTATTGGTGCAATTCCCTGACTTGTAATACATAACATGAAAAAATCGCCCTCTGCCAGCAAACTATCCATCTGTGAAACGTAGTGCTTTCTTGATAGCCTTGTGCTAGAACAACGGAATGAATATCAAATGTACTAAAGTATTACTTTATGAATAGGTGTGGCTTGATTACGTCATTGGCATAATCAGCCGCGTCACGCTGAGTTCTGATTGTCGGAGTGGCCACCAATAATAAATGGGTCCCAATAATTGACCGCGGAAAGAGTATTTGATTACACCTGATTAATATTAACTGGTGGTAAATTATTGTGCAAACAAGTGCAGTCACCCAGCCATGGTGATAAATGAATCCTATTTTGCCACTCTCAAAGCATGCAGATAATCTGGAGTAAAGTCAGCTGATGAATGTGGAAAATAAGATCTGCCAAGAGCTAAACCCACGTCACGAACGAGATGGTAGAATGAGACGAAACAGAATCCATTCTTAAATCCATCGTGACATGAACGCTGACAATTTTTCAAACCACCGGGAGGATTTTATCTGCTGTGCTGCCATCTACTGCCAACGTAGTGGCTCTGCGTGTGGGCATTTAATACGATGCATTGCGCGCACAGTCCACTCACGCCGTCCGCGTTGGCAGTGGTGCACAACGAAATACACTCGTGAACGACACTGCCTTGAGAGAAAAAAAATATATATATACGGCGACGTTTTGGGCTATGGCCCTTCTTCATAGCACTATCTCCAAAGTGCTGGGTTACACACCAGCGTACTCTTGCATGATTGCATGGTTCATCGACTAATGACATTTTTTTATAAATTGTGATCTGCCTATGCCCATTTATCTTTGAAAAGATTGCATGTGTTGCGCTGATGATACAAATTAATTTCTCCGCTGCGTGCCGATGGTGCTTGTGCCGCGTTTGTCCTCGTGTGTGCCGAGCGGTATGGTCGCGGTTAGCGCTGCGCTGCGCTAGGAACCCGGCGATCCGAGTTTGATTCCCGCTCGCGGCCAACATCAGTGACGATAATCTGAACCCGGTCCCGGGCCTCCCCTAGTTCGCCTGGGCCTCACACGAGCACCTGGTGCGGTGTGTAAAACATCGCCACTGGGGAGACAAAGGCGGGCCCGGGCGTGGTGCTGGCCACACCACTCCCTCGTGTGCCGTGCCGGCCTTCATAGGTGCTGCTCGCTTAACAGCACTTGCCCCGACGGGTCCGTTAAGGCTACACGGGGGGGGGGGATCTTTGTCTGTCCTCGTTTGTGCCGGGGCCCCACGTGGGCAGGTGCCAACCTGAGCTACGTGGATTTCTCCACGCTTACGGGCGGCGTGCTGCACACCAAGCTGTGGGCGGTGGACGACACGCACGCGTACGTGGGCAGCGCCAACATGGACTGGAGGTCGCTCACACAGGTGCGGGCGCCGGCCTCCTGCTGTGCTTTTCCTCCGCTTGTTGTTCCTCGTGTAGCGGCAGCCGCTTTATATAAGCGGTCGTCGTCGTCGTCGTCGTCGTTGGTGAGATATCCAGGAGGGCACGGGGTGAGATCCCCAGCGTGTTGTATATTTGGAGTTTTAATATTCTCCCCGTGCTCGCGTGGATTTTTTTCCTCGGGTCCTCGGGTTTTTACCTCCACGTTTAGAATCAACGTGCCCTTTGCAGTATTTGGCAGCTATAAATTTCAACGTGACGATAAGCCACTTCGTTGGGCTGTCATTCGTGCCCAGGTCGCTCCTGAAAAAGAGCTGCGTAGCTCAGTGGACATTACCTGGTAAACTAAACAAAATGTTTACAGTTTTCGTTAAATGGTTTATCATTGCCTTCGGATACTTGATGCACAAATGGAAAATGAAAAACTCTGGCGTTTCGTCGACCGATGGTCACCGCCCAGAACAGACCGTGTTACTCGGTGCCCGATTCGCAAATACGGAGGAGGCAACGTCACCGCGGTGCGCGTCGCTACTCCTGACTTCATTATCTGGCTTAACCACCTAAATAAAAAAAAAATCACACTTGTTGCTCTCCGTCAACATCAGTCGTCATATGAAGAAGAGGAACAAGATCATCCTTGCCATCGGCCATAATCTATCTACCGTCTCCAATAGCTCATGGTCCTGTGACGTAGCAATCGGTCTCGCTCCTGCATATAATCTAATCTCAAGTGAGCCAATCTCTTATTCGTCGTGTTTGTGTTAATTCCCACGTAACGGGTCATGTTGCACAAGTTGGTTGTACAATAGGGGCTTGGATTGTAGGATCCATGAGCAGTTACTCCCACATCGATGTGGGTTAAAGGAGTATTAAATCGAGATTGGAATCTCTTTTATTAATAACTGTTTTTTTGTCTTTAGCTCGTTGTCCTTCCCCCCCGCACCTCCGATTAGCACGGTTGGCTACGTACAGTACAAATGAAGTTCAACACAAAAGACAAAGATCCCCGTATCGGCTTAACAGACTGTAGGGGCAAGTGCTGTTAGCGAGCACCTATGAAGGCCAGAGCAGCACACGAGGGGGTGGGTGGCCAACACCACGCCCAACCGCCTTGTGTCTCCCTAGTGGTGATGTTTACATACCACACCAGGTGGTGATTTGAGACTGAATCGACCTAGGGGAGACCCAGGATCGGTTCACATAATCATCACTGGTATTGGCCGCGAACCGGAAATGAACTGGGGGGGGGGGGGGTCGCCGCTTTCGTAGCACAGCGCGTTAACCCCGCTCCCCACAAGTTCAACACACACACGCACACACACACGTATGTGCGCATCAGTCAAAATCTCGTCGACAAACGGGCGGACCCGTGAGCCCGCCCCTTCCCCCACGTGCCTTTTGTGCGCGTGCCGGCAGGTGAAGGAGCTGGGCGCCGTCGTGTACAACTGCAGCTGCCTGGCGCGCGACGTGCAGAAGATCTTTCTGCAGTACCGCGCCCTGGCCGGTCAGAAAACCATCCCCGCCGTGTGGCCTTCGCAGTTCAGCACATCCTTCAACCGCCACACGCCGCTGCACGTCCGCCTCGACGGCACGCCCGCCGAGGTCTACGTCTCGGTGAGCTCCCGGCGGCGCTCGTGCCGCGACCTTCCTGCCGTGGTCGCCGAAAGCGGTGGCATTTAGAATCGACGTGCGTTCAGTGTTTTGGCCGCTCCGAATTTCCACGTGACAAGCCGCTTCGTTGAGCTGACATTTGTGATGGCCAGGCGGCTTCTGATAAGGAGCTAAATAGCTCGGTGGGCCTTGCCTTGTTAAATAAAAAAAAGTTTGTCACCCAGGTGCAAAATATTTATACAGGAGGAATCCGGTGAGCTATGAAGCTCTTTTTTCACAGATGTCCAGTAGGGGTGGGCCAGAAAATTGCTGTCTTCTGCCAGACATGCACATGCCTCTGTTGTGTGTAGTGATGTTTTTTTTTTTAATGGGTAAACCATTGACCCCGACGGTGCATGCATGCGTGCGTGCGTGTGCTTCCGTGCGTGTGTACACAGAGCTCCCCAATGTCACTGTGTGCTACGGGCCGCACCGATGACTTGGTGGCCATTGTGAACCAGATAAACCACGCCAGCAAGTTTGTGTACGTCGCCGTCATGGACTACTTCCCCACGTCGCGCTATGAGAAACATCGCAGGTACTCGTGCCACCCAATAGGCCTGCAACCAAAACCGCCCAGAATGCACCCAATCTCATCAGATCTCAGAAGCTAAGCGGGCTAAGAGCCTGCATAGCACTTGTATTGGCAACCTCCATGCAGAGTTACACGGTGGTGAGATGTTATTAACTACCTCGCCTGGTATTTAGGAGGTCGTGGGTTCGATCCCGACCCTGACACCTGCATATTTGGAGTTTGCGTGTCTCTCTCCCAGTGGTCACGTGGATATTTCTCCGGGTCCTTCGGTTTTTCCCCGCCAGATTTAGAATCAACATCACGCGTTTAGATGATTTGGCCGCTAGAAATTTCCACGTGATAAGCCACTTCGTTGAGCTATGATTTGTGGCCAGGTCGCTTCTGAAAAAAGAGCTATGTAGCTCAGTGGGCCTTACCTGGTAAAATAAAAAAAGAGTTTAGTTTGTAGCGCGGCGTTCTAACGGCTGTGCAGCGTTTTGTCTGCCACGCAGCGTTTCTAACCGCTGCGTTTCCGTCATCGCCCCGGCAGGTTCTGGCCGAAGATTGACGACGCGCTGCGCAAGGCGGCGTTTGAGCACGGGGTGCAGGTGCGCGTGATGGCGAGCTGCTGGCAACACTCGGACCTCGCCATGTTCTCCTTCCTGCAGTCGCTGAATGCGTTCAGCGGCGCCCTGAAACACGGCAAGATCGAGACGGTGCGAGGGGCTTGGCGCCGCGGGGAGCGACGGCAAACGAACGCTCACACGCGCGCGGTGGCTGCTGCTGCTGCTGTTGACAAACGCATGGCGGCATGCAACAGGGCGCATGAGCCACAGCCGCTAGAGGCATTGTGAATGCCACATTCACTCTTTTTGAGCTTTATTTTACAATATGCTTTTGTTGTTGTCCATCAAACCTTATCCCGATCGCGTCACGAGATGAAGTATCCGTTTGCGTCTCTCGGCAAGCAAGGGGTGTTTGAGAACGGCACACAGAAGCAGATATCATAGAGCTACCACTGAAATTCTTTGTTCGAGTAACGTTTGTCGCATGATTGTAAAACCGTTATTTAAATTCTCACGGGTGGAATTTAGCCAAGGACCACAATTATGGGTTAGTTGTTTTTGTTTATTGGTAACTCGCTGCACTTGAGAATCCGGAATAATCATAGGTGGTTGCCTGGATCGGACCCAGATTTCAGCTGTGCCATCTTGGTGACTATCATTGATTTACGAGGCGGGAAATTAATTAATTGCCCAGTAGACGCACACCTCGCATATTATGTCCTGGGCTGTCCATCATAAGCTCGAAGCTGTGGCGATGCACACGCACGTATCGGCTTACAGTAAAATCCGGTAGATGAGGCATGTAACGAACCCACCTCTCTGCAGTGATTTGATGGAATTGCTATGTAATAGGGTTCGACTCACAAATTGATTAATTGTTTCATCTTTTATAGTATCGTTGGTATTGATATATATTTTCCTCTCTTGTAGTCCTGTTTTTTCCTTTGCATATAGTTTGCATAATTATCAACAGGGCTGTACGTTTTGATGTAAAGCTTTCGTGACTGCAGGGATTCATATTCTTGGTTCTTTCGGTAAAGTCACGTAGAAAGAAAACAAAATAATAAAAATATAAAACAATAAAATTCTCACGACGTTTCGACTGCAACACAAGCAATCATCATCAGGTGTGAAAACCACAGCAAGAAAATTTGCCACAGCAAAAAAATTTGCTGTGGTTTTCACACCTGATGATGATTGCTTGTGTTGCAGTCGAAACGTCGTGAGAATTTTATTGTTTCATATTTTTATTATTTTATTGTTTCCCTTCTACGTGATTTTACCGAAAGAACCAAGAATAGGGCTGTACATGTACACGTTATTGTTGCTTTGGAAAGGTTTATGATATCTTAACTCCCTTGCCTGGTATTGCAGGAGGTCGTGGGTTCAATCCCGACCCTGAAGCCTGTATATTTGGAGTTTGCGTGTCTCTCTCCCCGTGGTCTCATGGATTTTTCTCTGGGTTCTCCAGTTTTTCCCCTCCACATTTTATAAACACGCGTTTAGAATATTTGGCTCCGGTAAATTTTCACGCAATAACCCACTTTGTTGAGCTATCATTTGTGGCCAGGTCACTTCTGAAAAAGGAGCTATATCGCTGTGGGCCTTACCTGGTAAAATAAAAAATAACTTTACGTATGAGACAACAGTAATATTAGCTGGGCAGTGGTGGTGCCCGCAATGTCATCCAGCAAATATGGAGGCAACGAGGGTTGGTGGAACGCACAAATGTTGTGGAAAAACCCACTTCTGTGGGCGTCGAGGTTTCGTACCCTGGCTTCCCAGAAGGCGGTACAGCAATAAAATGTGCAGTCCACCTGTTCCTCCCCCTCACAGAAGTAGAGGTGGGTTTTCTCCAGGTGCACGAGTTTTATCTGCCACGTGTTTTTAACACTCATTAATTGGTCTAGAACACATTGATATCGAGAGGACCGCAGAGCTTGGACAAACGTTAGTGGCGGCTCATCACCTTTCCACATATCTGTGGTTCTTCCTCGTGCCTGCCGAGTCATTCTCTACGAGAGCGTGCGAACAATGCGCGCGTTACAAGTTGAAGTTATAATTTTTTTGTCCGTGTGGCCAAATGTAGGATCATTGCCATTGGTTTTGTTGCGTGTGTGCGTTTGTATGGGGCAGAAATTTTTCGTCGTGCCTTCGACGGAGGCTCAGAAGAAGATCCCATACGCCCGTGTGAATCACAACAAGTACATGGTGACGGACAAGATCGCCTACATCGGTATGGACAGCGCCACCACATGCCTCGCGTGTTGAATTCTTACTCTCCGTCATGCGTCATTTAAATCGGGTGGTGGCCAGAGGGTTGGCGGTGCAGCAAAGTCCACTGTTGTACTGTAAGGTGGCTTTCAGACCGCATCCATTATTTTTCGTCTCCCCCCTCCTCTTTTCCAAACATAGATGGACTCGTCCATCTGAATAACTGTCAAATCGCTCTCCGTGGTGCTAACGTTAAAAAACCGCCACTTTTTTCAAATTTTCTTGTTGTGGTTTTCACACCTGATGATGATTGCTTGTGTTGCAGTCGAAACGTCGTGAGAATTTTATTGTTATATTTTTTTTTGTTTACCTTCTACGTGACTTTACCGAAAGAACCAAGAATATGTTGTACTGTACTTCAGTGCTGCCATGGTCCTATGCTTTCCACCGTCACCAGCACGGTCAAATAACTCCCACTGCTTCTCCACATGGTTGTGCATGGAGGCCTTCATCCAGCAGTCGATTGACAAAAGGGCTGTGCATGTCGGTTACAGATGTGGCGCTCGGTAGACGGTTATCAGGGTTTTGATTTAAAGCTTTCGTGACTGCAGTAATTCATATTCTTAGTTTTTTCGGTAAAGTCACGTTGAAGAGAAACAACAAAATAATAAAATATATAGAAACCAATAAAAAAATTCTCACGACGTTTCGACCATAACTCAAACGGTCATCTTCAGGTGTGTTGGTTTGCATAAATTTATTTTTAAAGGCGCATTTATTTATTTATAAAAAACGTTAGCGTCACGCGCAGCGATTTGGCAGTTTACCCAGGACTAGTCCATCTATATTTTGAAAAGAGGAGGGGGGAGACGAAATTTTTGATAATGTATGCTGTCTGAAAGCCACTGTAAGCGTGAACAATCAATTAAGAACTGAAATGGTTTATCAAATCTTTCCAATGATTGCTAAGATAGAATCCATCTTCTCGGTTGAAATTGTCTCTGTGCTTGTATATGTGGATAGCCTCATGAACGAATCTCTCATGGAAGCCAGATGGCTTACAAAGAACCTCTGTCTTGGAAAAGTCAATGGCATGTGAGCCTACTGAATTAGAACAATGATCTGCTACGGCCGAGGTGTTGGTCCTACCGTGTTTAAGGTCTGCTTTGTGTTCACGAATGCGGTCCGAGACATGGCGTTTGGTTTCTCCAATGTAACTACTACCACAGAGGCAACTTAGTTTGTAGACACCAGGGTATTGTATGTCCGGAATCACATCTTTTACAGACGGAACCAGATCACGGATTTTATGTAATGTGTTGAAACGGACCTGGATCTTGTGTTTATTCAAGATTTTGGAGATCTTTTTTGTGATCCCAGCAATGTAGGGTAAAGTGATGGTTTTGAAAGGCTCCTCAAGAGGGTTATTCTTCATGGTTTGAGTGATAGCTTTGCGGATTGTATAGTCGGAGTGACCATTAGCCCTAAGAGCTTGGTGTACGTGCTTGAGTTCACTGCTTATGTGTTCCTGGTCGGATATGCATTGGGCTCTATGATACAGAGTCTTGATGAGAGAATTCTTCTGTTATGGATGGTGATGGGAATCCGGTTTCAGATAAGCATCCGTATGGGTAGCTTTCCTGTAGACAGAGTGGCTCATTGAACCATCAGGTCTCTTTTTAATTAGGACATCCAAAAAAGGTATCTTGCCATCTTATCTGAAACCGGATTCCCACCACCATCCATCACAGAAGAATTCTCTCATCAAGACTCTGTATCATAGAGCCCAATGCATATCCGACCAGGAACACATAAGCAGTGAACTCAAGCACGTACACCAAGCTCTTAGGGCTAATGGTTACTCCGACTATACAATCCGCAAAGCTATCACTCAAACCATGAAGAAGAACCCTCTTGAGGAGCCTTTCAAAACCATCACTTTACCCTACATTGCTGGGATCACAAAAAAGATCTCCAAAATCTTGAATAAACACAAGATCCAGGTCCGTTTCAACACATTACATAAAATCCGTGATCTGGTTCCGTCTGTAAAAAATGTGATTCCGGACATACAATACCCTGGTGTCTACAAACTAAGTTGCCTCTGTGGTAGTAGTTACATTGGAGAAACCAAACGCCATGTCTCGGACCGCATTCGTGAACACAAAGCAGACCTTAAACACGGTAGGACCAACACCTCGGCCGTAGCAGATCATTGTTCTAATTCAGTAGGCTCACATGCCATTGACTTTTCCAAGACAGAGGTTCTTTGTAAGCCATCTGGCTTCCATGAGAGATTCGTTCATGAGGCTATCCACATATACAAGCACAGAGACAATTTCAACCGAGAAGATGGATTCTATCTTAGCAATCATTGGAAAGATTTGATAAACCATTTCAGTTCTTAATTGATTGTTCACGCTTACAGTGGCTTTCAGACAGCATACATTATAAAAAAATTCGTCTCCCCCCTCCTCTTTTCAAAATATAGATGGACTAGCCCTGGGTAAACTGCCAAATCGCTGCGCGTGACGCTAACGTTTTTTATAAATAAATGCGCCGTTTAAAAATAAATTTATGCAAACCAACACACCTGAAGATGACCGTTTGAGTTATGGTCGAAACGTCGTGAGAATTTTTTTATTGTTTTCTAAATATTTTATTATTTTGTTGTTTCTCTTCAATGTGACTTTACCGAAAAAACTAAGAATATGGTTATCAGGGTGTTGTGCATCTCATGAGTGTACTGGAGGCTCAGATACCTTTGGTAGACGATTGCTTCCGTGTACCACCTTACCCTGTTGTGGGTACCAATGGCCTCTGTGAGGCTCTTGTGAGGAAATGCCTTATGTCAGGTGCTTACACTGGAATCAGAATTCCTTCAGCTGTAATTTCTTGAAGCCCAGGTGCAGGCGCTGCAATAGCTGTAGAATCTGGCAGGAGTGAAGGAATTGACGAGGTGGTGGCATCAATAGCATTGTCTGTTGATGCAATATTGGTCTCATCCAGGGGTCGGTAACCTACGGTTCCTGAAGGACTGCTTCATGACGTTATTTATTAAGGACCACTGTCTTGTATTCACATGCATTGTGGCTCTTGAAGTAGGTTTTTCTTTACTAAATTCGAAAAAAATAACTCGTTACTTTGGTTGCAGACCCTTGGTCTTATCCTATCAACGTAGCAGTGCTGCTGTAATGTCTCACGAAAGAGACGTCACAGAGCTACACCCCGCTGCTCCTGACGCGGTTTTTTTATCTTGCTTGACCACCTGAATGTGAAATTGTAGTTGCTGCTCTGCATCGACATCAGCCGTACGAAAGACACCAGAGGGCAGTGTAGCGGTACCCATTGTACTGTGGTTGTATTGTCACGTCTCCCACGTCCATGCTCCCCCATCTTCACCAACCCAGCGTGGTGACGTATGGCCAAAATAACCCCAACGGTCCACATGGCCGTGACACGTGCATACACGCAGTGTGCCAGCACACATTTGTGGGGAGCGATAGTGGAGTGGTTAGCACGCTACGCGGTGAACCCAATCACCCGAGTTCGATTCCTGGTCATGGCCAACACCAAGTGACGATTATGTAAACCAGTCCTGGGTCTCCCCTAGGTCGACTCGGCCTCAAATGAGTACCTGGTGCGGTGTGTAAACATCGCCACTAGGGAGACAAAGGCGGTCATGCGTGGTGCTGGACACCCACCCCTTCGTGTTCCGTGTCAGCCTTCGTAGGTGCTCGCTAACAGCACTTTCCCTGAAAGTCTGTTAAGGCTATACGGGGGATATTTTTTTATTTAAACGTGTGTTGCGGGAACAGTGACGCATTGCTCTAAGAACCTGGGGACTAGTTGGATTCCTGCTTAACCGAGTGTCGAATATTTAAACCAGTCCTGGGCCTCCCCTAGGTCGCCTTGGCCTTAATCGAGTACCTGGTGCAGTGTATAATAAGCACTAGCACTTGGGGAAGACAGGTCCGCCGGACGTGGTGTGAACCAACTACCCCCCTCGTGCAGTGCTGGCCTCCGTAGGTAACAGCACTTGCCCCAGTAGTCTGTTCAGTGCTATACGATGGGATCCTTGTACACGCGCGTGGATGTTGAATGTAAGGGGGTAATCCTTAATTGCCTTTGGTGCGCGCCGTCGCCGCAGGAACCTCCAACTGGTCGGAGGACTACTTCAGCAACACGGCGGGCGTTGGGCTGCTCGTGAACCAGACGGCGAGCGTGGGACGTGGCGTCACCGTGCAGGAGCAGCTGCGGGACGTGTTCCTGCGCGACTGGAATTCCCCGTACGCCATCAGCCCAACTTCGCTCGCCGATCTCAAGGCCAAGTGCTGAGTCTGGCGACCGACGCTTCTCCGCCCTCCCCACCACCCCCCTTTATTTCCCCTCCGCCAACTGGAGGCTTGCCGAGTGTGGTCCAACGTGATAAATGGCAGCGAGGGTGTCGATGTGCGGCTTTATTAGTGCCACGCTAAACTTGGTGGTGGTGGTGGTGGGGGGGAGGGCCTTCATCCAACAGTGGATTTATCATGGCTGATGATAATGGCCTGGCATAGCGACATTTTTAAGCCAGCTGTGTTGGAGGTGAATGGTTATGAGTGCACAAGTTAACTTCCTCTTTGTTACCCCTGGAAATAAGGTGGCATGAATACAGAAAAGTAACTGCAGTGTGGGTTATTGAATCTGTATATAACTTGGCGTCCAACCCTGTTTAAATCGCTCTGGTATCATAAACATGAAAGGCTGTGCTGTTTTGACCTCGTATCGCATGCGAACATAAGTGATGTGATTAAAACGTCCTACACATTTCACATCCTAAAAAAAACCCTAATTTTTTTATTGATTTTAACTAAGAGGTACTGATTTTTTTTTATGAATGATTCAAAGTGGAGTTGTATAGTAGCCCTTACAACTCAATTGCACAAATCCATATACTGTATGTAAAATCTCAATCGATGTCATTGTTAATTGTTAAGGGAATTGTCATTTTGAGTATTTGCACTCGTGAAGCTTTAACATTGAAGGGAAATGAAGTAAAGATGTCTGCGCACACTTGGGTTTCCATTTCAGTTGTCAAATTGTTTATTTGTGTATGCCTTTTATACAGGGTGATCCATTTATAGTTTGTCAAAAACTCATTCATTTCTCAGAAAGTGATTGGATGTTGTGAAAGCAATGAAGATGTTCTGGTGTATTGAGATTGGTTTGAGAGACTTGAGGATTACAATAGATTGTTGCTATGTGAAGTTTTCTCCATCTCCCTCATTACTTTTGGTGTATCTACATATGGATGACCATATTTTTTATTTTAATACACTGGGTTTTACTTCTTGATGGAAACCCAGCAGACATTGGCTTTGTTGACATTTACTGTAGATGCAAAACACAAGTGTTGGATCGGATGTTGTGGACCGAGTTTCATATCAGAGCTTCATAGCATGCACACCACACCACAATGGCACAATCAGAACAGAAAGCACTTGCATGATGGTGTCATAGTTGTGGTCATGTCTAAGGGTTATGACAAGGTGGGCATGTGGGCAGAGGCATAAACCCAAATTAACATTGCCCTCTGCATGGTTCTACACATTTTACATTGTGGTGTTTTTGTAATATAACTAAACAAAAATGCGCAAATTACGGTGGTATTTTTAAGTGAAAGGCTGCTGTAGATTTGTGCGTGCAATTTCGTTGCGAACTGATCAACTGCAATTCGTGTTAGTCATTTATACAGGTGTGTTCATTGCTTAGATGACTGCTTTTTTGGCCATCTAATCGCACGGTACTAAGGAACAAAATAAGCATGCTGTTCTTGGTCTAAACTGCTGGTTTAGCTCGATCCTCATTGCTTAGGATATTCATAACCATGAGCAGTTGCAGAGAGAGACTAGTGTTTGAATCGAGCAAAGCCGTCATTGAATGACAAGAGAATAGCGTAGGCTTGACTCGTAACGCAGCGGTCACCAAGTACGGGTGTTTATGACGCATGAGACCGTAGACTAATCTATTAAGCTCACGAAACAAGCATCCAATTGTGCGTGAAAAACACATTTTCTTTTGTACGTGGTAGTTCGTCACCTGCGCAACCACTAGAGGCCACTAAATTGCACGGCACTTTGAACCAGGTAAGGCCCACTGAGTTATATAGCTTTTTTTCATAAGCGACCTGGCCATGAATGAGAGCTCGACAACAAAGTGGCTTGCGTGGAAATGTATAAGCAGCTAAATATTCTAACCGCATGTTGATTCTAAATGTGGGGAGAAAAAACTCGGTCCCGGAGATAAATCCACACGACCATGGGGAGAACATGCAAATTCCAAATATACAACAGGCATCAGGGTTGAGAAAAGGAAATGATTAATACAATTTTTACTTGATCGAATCACAAGCAGGAGAAATCGCTAACAGGCCTGCCGGATCAAGATTTCCGATCATCAGCTTTCAAACGCATAGTGCTGGGAAGTTCACCTGAAAACAATTTTAAACTGTACAAGACGGTGCCAATGCTTGCAGGAGGAATTTTGTTTTTACTAGCATTTTTAAGTGTCGTCAGACTTTGACATGCATATTAAGTCATGAAAGTTGTACGTTCACGCATGTTGTAAATAATGTTTCAATATGAAATAAACAGTTCAAGTTGCTGTTGTAGAGGCTTGTGTATTCATGTATTGGAAATGCTGTGCCCATCTCCGAGACAAAACTTTTACACATTTACCGTTCAATTTGTTCATACTTGTTACGTTGCCCCAAATTTCCAGTGAAGTATCAGCTTATCGTTTACAGCACTGAGGTGCTTGACAAAAGATGCATGCACGTCAGCTCATGGCAAAATGGTAATTTTCTTTGTTGAAAACGTTAATGTTGCCCATAAATGTGATGCTAACAGGATACACCTTTAAACAGTAATTGCTGTGTAGTGCAAGGATGACAGAAAAGTGGGAACACTTTAGTAACAAAACCAGTTTCTTTTCCTACAACTTTTATCTCGATTGAGAATTTAATTTTGATCTCTCACAAGGCAGCACAAACCTTCGTGTTGGAGAATGGTCCATGGAAATGGATACTATAACTACCTGAAATCTCTTCAAGTCACTTGTGGCCTACAGAGTAGGGGGGCAGAACTTTTCCACTCTAAGCTTAGTCATTGCTTGCTACCAGGCAGTGATTTATAATTGGCAGGCCAAAAATCTATTCAAGAATTAATCTTGGTCCACAAAAAATGGCTTGGCCAAATCTCACCTTGAATGGATGCCTGTGATCAGCATGTATAAATGTGCTGAGAGAGGCTCAAGCAACCATACTACAAATATCAAACACCCTGTACAGACGTCACCAGAGTACAGGTGGAATGAGTCCTGATGGAAGGGGGTGCTTCCCGATGACCATATTCATACCAATGGACATAGTTCACACGTCTGGCTTGGCTTCAGAGGCCATCTTGCCCCTGCATTCTCCCTCCACCCCTCCCCCCCCATACAAAATGAAAACGACAAATCGCGTAGTATGCAGGAGGTCGTGAGTTCGATCCCAACCTTAAACACCTGTATATTTGGAGTTTGCATGTTCTCCCCGTGGTCGTGTGGATTTTCTCCAGGTTCTCCGTTTTTTTCCCTCCACATTTAGCAACATGCGTTTAGAGTAATTTCCACGTGATAAGCCACTTCGTTGTGCTATGATTTGCAACCAGGTCGCTTCTGAAAGAGAGCTGTATAGCCGAGTGGGCCTTATCTGGTAAAGTAATCAATTTACTTTTTAGTTTTAATAACCAGGTCTCTTGAAATATATTGCAACCTCTTACCACATCTACTTCTCAAGAGGATGTAGACATATGAACAGGATGATCTTCTCATTCACTCTTAACCTATAACTCTTGCCTGAATATTTAATGGTAAATTGCAAACAATATACATATTAAAAATAATTGTGAAGGACAAAAATTGCATGTAAAATAACACCATGATAAACCAGAAAGCATAGGCAAAGACAGCTTGAACATTCAAAGTATTTTTTTCTATTTAAAAACCATGGATATTGTTGCTTACAGCAGCAGGAAAAATGTCTTAAGTCTGCCTTAAAGATGAAGTGTAATTTTATTTTGAAGTCAGTCACTATTGGCACAAGACTATAGCACATCACACAAAATACTTGGCACAAACACATCCAGAGCATTAAGTTACAAATGATTATTATTTAACTTCATATCAAAATATTTCAGACTGCAAGGATCCAGGCCTCCAATAAAAACGAGGCAATTTTATCTTTTGATTCATAAAGCAAAACGTATAAAAACATTCAAATCAGAATTCATGATGTACATGATTCCCCCATTATAAGAGCATTATTCTCTATAAAATAGACTGCATGGATCCACGTGTGCATACACAAACCTTGTGACAAAAATCTAATTTTGCAAGGCAGAGCACAATTGTCTGCTCATGTAGGATGTTTAGAAACAAGAATATTGTATTCTGAATTAAAGATAACCCACGTGTGCCAACATTTAAAACTATTACATCATACACCTTGTTCGCTCAAGAAATGAAAGGTTTTGTAGGTGAAACTTGATCATTACGCCTGCTTCCTTGCAGATATCACCTCTCCTTGCTGCACTGCAAGCCATTGTCAAAGCCAAATTGACTAAAAAACTAACATATGGACAAGTTGTACATTTGAAATGATCGGACTTAAAATGAGTACACAAATAACATGCCACAATGTTTAATGGGATACTCTTGTCAGAAGACAGTAGAAAATCCACCCAGGAGTAACGTAACCTTTCGTTTCCAATTCAAATAAGCAAAAAATAAATAGTGCAACTTAATTTTGCGAGTGAATAGTTGCTTTCAAACCATTTTATTTACAGGATTACCCTTGACAAAATCTCTTGCAAACCGCACGGGTGATTTTTGGTGAAGACACTCCAACGCCTCGCCAACGCAGAGAGACGCGCGCGCCGTTAACAGGCGCACATCAGAGGGGGCAGTAAAATGACTGCGGCGCGTTTCCCCGCGCCATGTCATGCCGTACCTCCCAGCGCAGCGCCGAACGCTTCTTCTCTGTCGGTACCACGTACGTGTTTGGCGCGAAGACACGCTGGGGTCTCTGCGTGTTGGGGGTGGGGACGGGCAGGGTGAAAGAAATCGGTGTTGAGCAAAGTGCGGGGATCATCATAGGTGACGGCACCAAACTGAAACTTGCGTGACATTTGTTCTTGTATTCAAGTTCATCGGTTGAATTGCCAATTTAAGCATCATACTGTGATGCATCATTAGTCCTCGTGTTGCTGCATGAAAACGTTGCCATCAATAAAATGCATCACTTCCCACGTCATAGCCCTTACATTAAGCTCCCGGCTGCTATTATTGTTACGAGTTTTGCGATTCAGTTTATATAGCAGTGTAATGATGCATCACTTCTTGGTCAAGTCGGCGTGTGATATTGCCAAACACAAATTTAGCTTCACAATTGTTTTTAACAATGGCCTGAATACGCCTCGACTACGGAAACAGCACTCATATCAAAATGCAGAAATTTGAAATAAAAAATTCACAACATTATATATTTCACTTAAAAAAACGGAAAGACTTTACTTACAGGAAGCGGTTCTTCTTTGTAAAGCATATGTTCCTGAAACGTGACAAGATATTACAATCATGATTTTAAGACCTTTGCAACGAAGACCGCCGACAATGAAGAGTAAAACAACGTATCCGTCCAAGGAGCTGTGTCGCGCTACCTACCCGAATGTTCCAACGGAGATTCTTTCGGTTACATTCGCCAGGCGGTTTAAAATTCTCCCATTCTTGCTTGTACTGGAAATATCTGCAAAAAGATTTTACATTCAATGCACTTTTATTTTTGCAAGATGTATATGTTTTTGTTATACAAGTTAAGAATATTAAAAGAAAAGCGAAACATTGCCAATCATCTATCTTCACACCTTTCCAGATAGCCCTCCGGATGCATTCATGTAACACAGGCTACAATGTCACTAATGTATATACATGTTATTGAAGGGCTTAAAATTGTGATTGACATATATATCACAAAATCGTACATGTTACTTTTAACGTCAGAAGTTTTGCTTACTTTGCAACGGGGTCGGTCTTTTTCAAGTTTCTTGTGTGGGGATGGTTCATCTGGGGTCTGATGACTAGAAAGCAAACAACTTGTCACACACACAGCATTTATTGCAAATACACAGCCGTGTAAAAGCCACTTTGTATTAAACACAACAAATCCAACCAAGGTGGTGCGCAATGGTTACAGCACATGGCTAGCAAAGAACAAATCCCAGTTTGGGCTCAACTGGGCCCTTCGTTTCTTCGGGGTTAGCAAAATTCTTACAATACACCGTGAATAAACGCATGGCTCAGGATATAAGCCCCGCTCGACGTTACATAAAATGGGTAAAAAAATAGTTAATATAAATAGCTAAATGAACCCACAACAATGTAGACACACACACAAATCTACAGTATACATGCATGTATATGTGCTGTACATTTTATTTGAAAACTCAAATCAACACTAAAGAGTCACAGGCACTATTTTAACACGTGTCAATTAACTTTTATTCACAATTTTTATATTACAAGCTAAGGCCCACTGAGCTATATAGCTCTTTTTCTGAAGCCACCTGGCCACAAATGTTAACTCAACTAAGTGGCTTATGTGGAAATTTACAGAAGTCAAATACTCTTAAACGCTGGCATAAGAATCCCAGCCACTTACAGGAGGGTGGATGATCTTGGAATGAAGCTCGATCCTCACTTGCCGATCTCCAAGTCCACTGGGAAGGACAACGCAGGAGTCAAAGATGTCAAAACGCAAAACAATGTATTTTCTGCACAAAGGAAGATGCAAAATAAAACCAAAACCCACCAGGCAGTTACTCTAATCGAGGCTGCATCTTCCAGCCGGTCCTACGAGTTTAAGCTCCGTTAATAGGCACATTGACATAAATCATGATCGGCCACACCACAAGAGCACACTGGTGATGACATTACAGAGATCTATTAAAATGTGTAGGTGATATCAGTTGGATGCCAAAAAAAACATATAACGTGTTTCTCATGAACAGAACTTTACACTCATGCTGGACAGCCAGTGGTACGTGTATAAAAGTATTGTATTTTATACTCTTTGGTTCTTTCGGTAAAGTCACGTAGCTGTAAAATAAAATAAAATAAATCACGACGTTTTGGATGCAACACAAGCGTCCATCATCAGGTGGGAAAGCCATGGTCTGCTGCTGAGGCAGACTGTTTTAAAAGATTTGAAATGGGTGTAGCCCAAGGGTCATAAAGAAGTGGCCGGGGCTAGTGATGTTAATGTGAGAGATTAGCGTGTAACTGTAAGATAGGAGAGCAGCCTCCTCAACGAGGGAGTGCAACCCAATGGGTGCAATCCAAAGGACATGTGAGCATGAGAGTGCAATCCAAAGGACATGTGAGCATGAGAGTGAAATCCAAAGGCATGAGAGTGCAATGCAAAGGACATGTGAGCATGAGAGATCTAAGAGAGGCATAGAGAGAGAGAGACACAGAGAGTCGTAAATAACAGCTGACATAGGCAGGTAGTATGGAAACATCACAGTCAGTTAAGATTTCGCTTCGAGAGGCAACACTCATGATGCTAATGAAGTAGCCTTATGGTGGAAGCTGGAATATTCGGTCACTTAGTTTAAACAAGTGACAATCATGATTGTGTTCTCCATATTTTTGGCGAGCCATCCAACAGAGATGGTCACAGGATCACGTGCTTTCAGTTGCACTTCTGCGGCCATCAGGAATGCTCTTTCTTCTGATATTAGGAAGCCAATGGAGCAATGCACTTTGAAATCTAGATTGAAAACTCGTTTCTTTAGAACTGTTTTTGTGCTTAGTTTGTTGTCCTTCCCCTCACCTCCGATTAGCAAGGTTGGTTACGTACGGTATGAAAGAAGTTAAAAATGCATACACATTAATATTGTTATTTACATGCACTCCAATGTTTTCCAGTTGTGTGCCTCTAATCAGTTTCCTTCTGTTCAGTGAACAGGAACAAGTCGAGCGTTATGGGATGCTATTAGCATGAATGCCGCGATATAAAATGAAAGCATTGTTATAACGTGTATATATTAACGATACCCCTGTGTAGTCGTGCAATAACAAAGAGCAAGCCGGTGGAAAGACAGCTCCAAACAAAAAGGGCACTCACCCGTGAGGGTGGAGGTCGAGTCTGGAATTCCCTTCGCCCCCGGGCACCGACTGTTCTCTCACTTTCACTCTGCGACACGGAGTCACTCTCCAGGGATATTGGCGGTTGCCTGAACTCAAACTCGCTTGTCGTCTCTGCAAGTGAACCAGCAACGGACGGCAATTTAGCATGACATATTTACTCACAGATTTCACCTTAACGCAAAGATTTCACCCAAACCACGAAGATGTTTTTTTTACTAATGTTCTGCGAGGGATGTTGACAATTCAGTACAAGTAAAGCAACTGCCATTGACTCGTTCATATTATGCTTAATGTAAGAATATGATCGGAGGTAAAATTCTAATTAAAAGTGTCGATGACCCAAGATTTTGTTACATTTGTATTAACTCCTTTGACTTTATATTACTTATTTCCGTCCCATTTCCATCGTTGTTTATGCATTGGCCTAGTATGGGTTTATCTTTCCCATGCAATTTGCATAAACAGGACACGGATTCTCACAATGCACAATTCACGAGTGTAAGACATTTTTTTCAAAATATGAATTTATATATCATTACAGAGGTCGTGACAGCACCTCGAGGTTAAACGTTTCACACACTCGGTGTACACAAACACTACCTGCATCGCTTTCTGTCGCCGTGGACTCGTCAAAAACTTGCACCTCTCCATTACGCCTCCTATGACAAGAGCAAAAACGATAACCATTCAGTCAATACAGCCTTAGTTTTCTAAATATATAACGTTCGAGTATACAATCTGTTCTATCACGCGGAAATTGCATTCCTGACGAACACCGTGTTATGGAAAAATCGCGTTATAATAAACAATATATCATATAGGGTAAAGCAAGTCTGCGATAACATGTGAGATGCGTACGCAGGCTGAACAAAGATGGACGTGCGTGGGTAACATCTAGAAGCATCCAGCAGCATCCCGCCTTGTGTGATAATGCTACGCCGAGGCAGCCGTACAACCGCTTATTCCGACTCGCGTGACGTAGTTCTGTTCACTAAATTGCTTTCAATCCATATCGCATCCGCATTACAAAAAAATGTGTTCCCTAATACATTCATCAAATATCCAATTCGCGTTATGAAAACAACATGCGTTATAGGGGAACAAACTGTACACTTCGACGGTTCACAAAACTATGCAACAAGTGCCACAACATTTCTACTTATAATAAATAAGTTGAACTGTTACGTATTTATCCTCTTAAAACATGGGCACACGTATATACAGCTACAGGTCTCAGCAGAGGAATAGGGTATAACAACTTAAAATATTAAATGAATGATCCAAGGCCAAATCGAGTGAAACCTCACATTTTGGGAGCTCGCTTGCAGTGTACATACTGCTAAATAATTTTAAAGTCTGCTACACATTGCTGTTGGTTTTCACTATTAACCCTTTCCCGTTTCAAGACGTCTGCAGGTTGCAGGGTGGGTCCAGTTCACCGCTGAATCTGTGAACGTGCAAGCGGTTCACCGTTACTTGTATTGAGAGGCATAGCGCTGTTGTTTTTAAATACACAGTACTCCCCAAAAAGAACTGTAGCGACACGACCGCACTCTATGATAGCTCGCGCCAAATTGTGCCACACTCCCTCTCGCATGCCCTTGTGGGAGCCTTGGTACCGATAAAGTTATTTTAATTGAGCTTTTGTTCCAGTACACGCATGTCATCTGAACGGAAAAGGGTTAAGTTCAGTTTTCCAAAAGCACTCCAACCTGCTCTCATTACCTCTATTTTACGATTTTCATCCACCTTCAATAACTGCACTAGGCATATAAATCTGTGCCTGAAGAAGAACATTTTAAATTGGGGTATATTATCTGACATGAAAGAAAAAGGAACAAGTGCTTAAAATGTTTCAGATAAATAGTCAGGTCCATGCTTGGCAAAAGACTCACAGACAGGAAGAGGTCGACACATGGATTAGAGAACATCCACAACTTAGCGACACCGTCGCTAGGTGTGGAAGTGACGGTGGTTGAGACGAACAGCAGTGGCTGTTAAAGAGGACATCCACCGCGGAGGAGCAAAGCAGCTACATGGAGGCACTGGATGGATTGTTGCGTCGCAAGACCGTGTGAGATGACAGTGTTTAAAGGCCAATTATTATGAGCGCTCATTGTCCAGACATAAGCACCAGCACATGTATTGTATACGATGAACACACCTGAGCACTTTGCGCTTGATCGCAGGCTTCCGGAATTCAGTGGCCGAGACGGGGCGCCTGCTGTCAACGAAGGAAGGCTCCTCGGGTGAGCTATGATTGGTGGCCGGGATCTGCGGGTCCCCGTCACACGCAGCCAGCTGCGTCTTCCTCGGAACGTGGAGGGGCGAGAGCCCCACGGTGGGGGAGCTGCCTCGTGGGACGTGCGTTGTGTGACGTATGTACGGGTCCCTCACTTCACTCCGGCTCACTTGCGCCCGCCTCGAACCAGGCTCTAGCCAAGCCCTCTCTGCAGAACAAGGCATTTCGAGAATTTACAAGCAAATGTTTGTTTTATGCAGCAAAACAAATATTAAGGAAATATTTAAGGGCATCGATCAATTAGCCATATGAATCAACATCTTCCAGAAACATCTGTGTTTAATATGCTGGGTGTGGCTCTGATAAAAAAAAAAAGACTTTGCTTACAAGGTATTCAAATTAAACGTCAAAATCGCCTGCGATTAGCATGGTTGGCTTTGTATGGTGCCAAAGTGCAACATACATACAGCGAGGGAAAAAAGTATTTGATCCCCTACTGATATTGTACGTTTGCCCACTGGTTTAAGGGCCAAAATCCAGAAAAACGCATGTCAAAAATGTTACAAATTGATTTGCATTTTAATGAGGGAAATCAGTATTTGACCCATACTCTTTGGTGCTATTCGGTAAAGTCACGTAGGTAAAAAATAAAACAACAAAAATCACGACGTTTCGGCCACAACACAAGTAGCCTTCAGTGAAGCTCTGTCGTCCCGACAGTTCTGTTCCTTCACCTGAAGAACGCTACTTGTGTTGTGGCCAAAACGTCGTGATTTTTGTTGTTTTATTTTTTACCTACGTGACTTTACCGAATAGAACCAAAGAGTATGGATCCTTGCAGTCATGAAAGCTTCAAATCTAGAAGTATTTGACCCCTCTGCAAAACATGACTTAGTACTTGGTGGCAAAAACACTTGTTGGCAATCACAGAGGTCAGACGTTTCTTGTAGTTGGCCACCAGGTTTGCACACATCTCAGGAGGGATTTTGTCCCACTCCTCTTTGCAGATCTTCTCCAAGTCATTAAGGTTTCGAGGCTGACATTTGGCAACTCGAACCTTCGGCTCCCTCCACAGATTTTCTATGGGATTAAGGTCTGGAGACTGGCTAGGCCACTCCAGGACCTTAATGTGCTTCTTCTTGAGCCACTCCTTTGTTGCCTTGGCCGTGTGTTTAAGGTCATTGTCATGCTGGAATACCCATCCATGACCCATTTTCAATGCCCTGGCTGAGGGAAGGAGATTCTCACCTAAGATTTGACGGTATATGGACCCGTCCATTGTCCCTTCGATGCGGTGAAGTTGTCCTGTCCCCTTAGCAGAAAAACACCCCCTAAGCATAATGTTTCCACCTCCATATTTGACGGTGGGGATGGTGTTCTTGGGGTCATAGGCAGCATTCCTCCTCCTCCAAACACGGCGAGTTGAGTTGATGCCAAAGAGCTCCATTTTGGTCTCATCTGACCACAACACTTTCACCCAGTTGTCCTCTGAATCATTCAGATGTTCATTGGCAAACTTCAGATGGGCATGTATATGTGCTTTCTTGAGCAGGGGGACCTTGCGGGCGCTGCAGGATTTCAGTCCTTCACGGCGTAGTGTGTTGCCAATTGTTTTCCTGGTGACTATGGTCTCAGCTGCCTTGAGATAATTTACAAGATCCTCCCATGTAGTTCTGGGCTGATTCCTCACCGTTTTCATGATCATTGCAACTCCACGAGGTGAGATCTTGCATGGAGCCCCAGGCCGAGGGAGATTGACAGTTCTTTTGTGTTTCTTCCATTTGCGAATAATCGCACCAACTGTTGTCACCTTCTCACCAAGCTGCTTGGCAATGGTCTTGTAGCCCATTCCAGCCTTGTGAAGGTCTACAATCTTGTCCCTGACATCCTTGGAGAGCTCTTTGGTCTTGGTCATGGTGGAGAGTTTGGAATTGATTGATTGCTTCTGTGGACAGGTGTCTTTTATACAGGCTACAAGCTGAGATTAGGAGCACTCCCTTTAAGAGTGTGCTCCTAATCTCAGCTCGTTACCTGTATAAAAGACACCTGGGAGAAAAAAATCGTTCTGATTGAGAGGGGGTCAAATACTTATTTCCCTAATTAAAATGCAAATCAATTTATAACATTTTTGACATGCGTTTTTCTGGATTTTTTTATTGTTATTCTGTCTCTCACTGTTCAAATAAACCTACCATTAAAATTATAGACTGATCATTTCTTTGTCAGTGGGCAAATGTACAAAATTAGCGGGGGATCAAATACTTTTTTTCTTCACTGTACTATTTCATTTTAAATAAATATCTTAGCAATCGGCCAGAGGAAGACTTAATATAATTTTCCCAATTCGAGATGTTGACTTTTTATAAATTTACCATTTCAGTGGCGAGATGTTAACTACCTCGCCTGATATACAGGAGCTCGTGGGTTCAATCCTGACCCAGATGCTTGTAAATTTGGAGTTTGCATGTTCTCCCCGTAGTCGCGTGGCTTTTTCTCCGGATCCTCTGATTTTTCCCTCCACATTTAGCAACATGGATTTAGAGTATTTGGCTGCTATATATTTCCACATGATACGCCACCTCGTTGAGCTATCATTTGTGGCCAGGTCGCTTCTGATAAAAAGAGCTGTATAGCTCTGTGGGCCTTACTTGGTAAAATAAAAAACAGTTTTTTTTATAGTTTTCAAATGGCACTAGAGGATTATAAACGCTTAAAGGAAAGCAGCAGGAATAAACTATGCTCCACCTATAAGATTCAAGGTAATTTGATCACCGTATTTCAACCATTGTTGAAAACGTGGGTATTCAAGTATACATTTCTGAGGATTAAGATCCCACAACACCTGTTCGAGATGCAGACTACTGTGTTCATCTCTATTTTCTATAATCCTCTGCCAAGTGGCAGGTCTTTGGACCAAGCTCCGACTTGTCTGAGCCGTCTGCTTCGTGCCGCTGTGGACCACTGTTCTTCAATTTTGAATCATCATCATCATCTTGAGTGCAGGTGAATAAAAGGATAATCGCCACCTGTCAAAGCTAACAGCCACAGAGGTTTAAGGACCAACAACAGAAAATAATGTGACGCCCTAGTGGACGTAACATGGCGGCCGAGCGAAACGTGTGTACCATGTGCAGGCAGGCTGGCACCACGGGACGGCGATGAGGGGTTGTGCCCATTCACAGAGGCACTGGACGATCCCGACCGTGACCGCTCATGCTGGATCAACTGATGCAGGTCTGCACAGAGGGTAAGATATATTTTGCACCTCCGATTAGCACGATTGACTACATATGGTGCGAAAAAAGTTCAACAAGAGAAGCATAGGGTGTTCATAAAGAAGCGTTGCATTGCGATTTCACGCTGATAGATCTCATCAGCATTAGTCCTTGGAAAGAAAATGTATGGATGAAGCTGTGCAAAAATCCCAGTGGGATGCAAGTCAAACAACAACAACCACAAGACAACTTAGATTAGATTAAAGCCATCAGTTTAACTCCGTCCTACAACAAACAAACATGGCCAAACTAAAAAACTTTTCGAAATCACCAAAATAAAGCCATAAAAGCAATGTAACAGTGATCATAGGAACTGTGACCGAAATTTCACAATAAACGACATAAAACAGTTTCAGTTTATTTATTTTGGTATATAGCCCTGTGAGCTATTCGGCTCTTGAATCGGGTGCAACCACAACAAACAAAAACACGAACAAGAAAACATCTTAAAGTGACTGTGACTGTGCAAACAAAAAATCCAATAAAAAAAACAGCAAAATATTCCTGAAAAAAGCACCAACACCAATGCTGTGTGCAAACAATCCCAGTGGGATGCAAGTCAAACAACAACAACAACCACAAGAAAACTTAGATTAAGGCCATCAGTCTAACTAAAGCCATCAGTCTAACTCCGTACTACAACAAAACAAACATGTCCAAACCAATAAAAAACGTTTCCAAATCACCAAAAAATAAAGCCATAATTGCAACGTAACAGTGATCACAGGGACTGACCGAATTTTTACAATAAACTACATGAATAACATGTAACACCAAATCCTAGAGCCATAGCTGGCTGCATGAGTTACTCCACAACAACAGAGGCATCAGTCTAAGTATCACATTTTTCAATGCACCTTTAAGATCAGCACGCTAAATCAAAATACAGATAATTATTTGCAGCGTCATCCGGAGCGAAACATTTTATTTTATGCCAATGAATAGCAGTGGCAGCTCGGGGTGTACAACTCCTCTAGAGCAGTTTTGAGTGAAGATTTCATAGGTAGTGATTCAAGTTGCAGTTTATTGAGAATAGCATTCCAGACCCTGGGGGCATCAATAGCAAAGGCCCTTCCTCCAGTATTTGTACGGCAATAAGGTGTGAAGCTGGTAAATGAGCGAAGACATGAGGTCAAATTTTTTCTTTCAAACAGAGAGGAGATCCAGCGGTAGTCTGCGGATTTTTTTGTAAGTACATCATGAATAAATAAAATCTGATGCACAAGCCGTCGAACATTAAGAGATGTTAAGTTTGACCCAATGTAGAGATCACAGTGGTGGGTCCTATATGGGCAGTTCAATGCAAATCTTAAGGCCGAGTGATAAATTGAGTCAAGCTTCTTCAGTACAGTACTGGGGGCTGATTTATATACGTCACAGTAATCAAGTAGAGGCAGTATGATAGCTTATATCAATTCCAAACGGAACATAGGTGGGAAGCAGCACTTGTGTCGATACAGAAAACCAATTTATATTTTTGTCCTTTTACCAATATAATCAATGTGATCTTCAAAATTCAAGGCAGAGACAACAAACTCCAGAGACAACAGCATGGGAGCACAGAATTAGCATATGCATTATTTTATAAAACTGTGCTCTGCAATCCATCTTGCAGCCAAGCAGCCTTTAGCAACAACCTGTGTGTGCATGGTGGTCAAGCATTCCAAGTATTATCCAGGCTCAAAACCAGCGTAGCTTCCGAGATCTGATGCAAACGGCCACATTCCAGGTGATTTGGACATAGGCTGGGGTGAATATATGAATGTGGTATTCGATTATTTTATATTACTCGTAATAATGTGTCTGGGTCTTACTGCTGCAGTCAATGCATGGGATCTGGGCAGCGAACGCTGCAGAGGACGCAAGGTCAATGATGAAATATTGCTTCATGAGCTTAACATTAAGATGCCTCACAGGCCACTGCAAAGGTCTTAATCTTAAAACGCATTCAAAGGAAGCTAGCTCTCACCTTCCCAAGCTGATTTAACATTTGTCTGTGCTAATTTTCCAGCTGTACACAAATAATAATTGATAATTTTGTCAAGCAGTCCAGAGATGCAATCAACCAAGCTAATGCCAAAAAAGAGGGGTGGTAAAATTTCAGTGGTCATACAGTTTATCTGTTATTTAAATGCCACTCATTCAACGTATAGCACAAAAAATAAATTTCCTCAATAACACTGCCTTGCAGTGGAATTGAAGGATGTGTTAATTATTTGTGAGTATGCACCACTGGCAACAAAGAACACACAACTATTCCTGTGAACTAGGAAGAAACTGACTGATGCATCCAAGCTATGAAGCATTGTAATGATTATGAACTTTGGCTGTGCAAAGCTTATGCCGATATAAAGCACATTTGCACGATTTACTATTCGTCACCGACTCTTGAGCATGATACTTCGAGATAGATAGCTCTTTGAAGTTAGCCTTATCTAAACAAGTGACGAGATGTTAACTACCTCACCTGGTATACAGAAAGGTTGTGTGTTCGATCCCAACCCTGATGCCTATATATTTGGAGTTTGCATATTCTCCCTGTGGTCAAGTGGATTTTCTCTGGGTCCTCAAGTTTTTCCCTCCACATTTATAAACATGTGTTTAAGAGTGTTTGTCTGCTATAAATGTCCACGTGATAAACTACTTCGTTGAGCCACCATTTGTGGCCAGGTCACTTCTGAAAAATAGCTATATCGCTCAGTGGGCATTACCTGGTCAAATAAAAATGAATTAATAGATGCGATTTCTGCTTTGTACTGCCTGTTGTTCAGCATAATGTCCAACGTTAAAACCCACGTGCTGGGAGCTCTCACGGGATCAGGCAAATCACCAAACACAACATGCCAAACGACTAGGACTACAGCCGGAAAACCACTTTAGAAATGTAGGACAACGTGCTCGATATTTCAAGAAGCGGTCTCACCTTGCTGGAACTCGCGCAGCCTCCCCTGGGACACGTTATGGTAGCCGAGGGCAGCGAGTTGGCTCCGAATATCCTCCTCCGAGAAACTCAGCTCCTCCATTGCCTCTCTCACCGTGTCACCTACTGATGTCATACAAAAAATACCCAATTAATTTTGCTGAAGCGTGTATATATAAGGTATGAATCCAGCCATGCGATTTAAATTACCAACCAAGGCTAACATCAGTCGTAAGTGACAAAATAATCGGGCTTGGGTGCCTTGTTTCATCAAGCATCATAAGAGCAGTGTGGTCACGTATTGTCAAACAACCTCCTTGACCCGACACGGCTGGGGAGAAGCCGTCATCCAACAGTGGATTGACAAAGGAGTCTAAACTATTATAAATGTTATACACACACACACATATTGGACGTTGCTGCTGCGGATTGTTTAGATAACGCTCAGCACCCAAGCAGTCAATACAGTACTGTACTCTGAATAAACCGTTGAACTCAAACAAAGGACAGGTTGCTAGGAACGCCATGAAAAGCATGGGATGCTACAGGGAAGGGTATAAGGTAAACAATGTAACAAGCTGTGATTTAGATTGACGTGTTCAATACCTGCACTACTGTAAAGTGTATTGCATTATTACTCATACCATTTACAATTGCATTTTTTATGGTGTTCATGCCACACAACGCATAACATTAATAACTGACTATTTTGTAATTGTGTTTTATATTTTTATTATTTTATTGTTTCCCTTCTACGTGACATTACCGAAAGAACCAAGAATATGACTATTTTGAATTACATTGCGACTCAAATTTACAATCGCATTATTAGATAAATTATAACTTTGCATTCCACCTCATCACGTTCACAGTATCAATGTAATACTGACATTGTATTTAGTATTACATTAAAATGAAAAGTATGACAGCATTTTCAGAGCAACTGCATATTACATTGTACCTCATCACGGTTTACGTGATTGCAATAATTACATAATTTTACTGAAATTGAATTGTGCTATACATTGTACATTCGAGTCATTATAATCTCACGTTAAACTGCATTGGATGCAAAGGAATAATTACATCGCAGGTCAATTGTAACTAATTCCTTGTATTGTAACCGACTTGCTGTATTATAACTCGACACCACAACACATCATCATCGCATGATATGAAATGTAATTAACCCCAACTTTTCACAATCCGCTTACAATTGTTACACAAGAGGCATTCGCGTTTTCTTGGCATTTCAATCAAGACTCGGGGCTCTTAACTTGTTCACATTTTTGTCGGGAAATAACCACTTGTAAGACCAATTAAAGCACCGATCATCGCGATACGTTGCAAAAGTCACGACCATCGTCGAACTTAAATGCATTATCAGCTGATGCTACTGCGTTGGAAAGTGGTGGCACGGGTGCTCTGAAGGGGACATTGCCCGAAACGTCGCCTGTTGTATATATTAATCCTTTCAAGGCGACAGTGCTGTTAATTAAATATGTCGAGTTGTTTTCATTTCCCATCAAGAGTAAAAACATATTGCTGCTGCGATATTATACCGTAGACACCGCCAGTATTTTAACACTGTCGGGGCCAGTGATGTTAACGAGTTGCACCTATGAAGGCCGGCACGGCACACCACGTGAGGGGGTGAGTGGCCAGCAACATGCCCGGCCGCCTTTGTCTCCCCAGTGGCGATGTTTACACACCTTACCAGGTAACTCATTTGAGGCTGAGTCGACCTAGGGGAAGGGGGTACCCAGGACCGGGTTCCGATAATTAATCGTCACCGGTGTTGGTGGCCGTGAGCGGGAATCGAACTCGGGTGGCCGGGGTTCGTAGCGCAGTGACGCTAACCGCTACACCACCGCTCCCCAGTCACACAACAACCGCCATTCGCCACTGAGTGGCGGCGACGTAACCACGGCGCCTGTGCCAGGCTAGGTGCACGTCAAGGACACGCGTGAAGTGTCGGAACGCCCGTTGGCAGGTTGTCGCAGGACTGACCCAGGTCGGTTGGCACATGGGTCGACCGACTGAGATTGACTGGGCAAGATGCACCACCTCCTGTGCGCCCCCCCCCACACCTAGTGACAACTCGCTGTGGTTTAGCCACACAACGCACCACACGCAGCAACGCACCACACGCAGCAACGCACCACACGCAGCAACGCACCACACGCAGCAACGCACCACACGCAGCAACGCACCACACGCAGCAACGCACCACACGCAGCAACGCACCACACGCAGCAACGCACCACACACAGCACACACAGCAACACACCACACACAGAAACACACCACACACAGAAACACAGCACACACAGCAACACACAGCAACGCACCACACACAGCAACACAGCACACACAGCAACGCACCAACACACAGCAACGCACCACACGCCACACACAGAAACACACCACACACAGCAACACACCACACACAGCAACACACCACACACAGCAACACACCACACACAGCAACACACCACACACAGCAACACACCACACACAGCAACACACCACACACAGCAACACACCACACAACACCACACACAACACGCAGCAACACACCGCAACACACCACACACAGCAACACACCACACACAGCAACACACCACACAACACCACACACAACACGCAGCAACACACCGCAACACACCACACACAGCAACACACCACACACAACACCACACAACACCACACACAACAACACACCACACACAGCAACACACCACACACAGCAACACACCACACCACACACAACACCACGCCACACACAGAAACACACCACACACAGCAACACACCACACACAGCAACACACCACACACAGCAACACACCACACACAGCAACACACCACACAACACCACACACAACACGCAGCAACACACCGCAACACACCACACACAGCAACACACCACACACAACACCACACCACACACAACAACACACCAAACACAACAACACACCACACACAGCAACACCCCACACACAGCAACACACCACACACAACACCACACCACAACACACCAAACACAACAACACACCACACACAGCAACACACCACACACAGCAACACACCACACACAGCAACACACCACACACAGCAACACACCACACACAACACCACACCACACACAACACACCACACACAACAACACCACACCACACACAACAACACACCACACACAGCAACACACCACACACAACACCACACAACAACACACCACACACAACAACACACACACCACACACACACCACACACCACACACAACACACCACACACCACAACATCGCGAACAGCGCTTCTTGCTCCCATTCTCGCGGACCTAGCCGCTGCGAAACCACCCTTCGCGAAACGTTTAAGGTGCCGTCGAAGCTACGCTCGAGAGGAATTAGACTCAGGTTTAAGAGTAATTAAACTTTAAACTTTCTACTTTAAACTTTCTACTTTACCCTCAGCGACGCTGGACGCAGCCTCCCGCTTCGCTGGAACGGCCCCGACCGTTTTTAAAAATGGCGGCGGTTGGCGTCGTCCCGGCGGCCTCTGCGCGCGGCGACTTCTGTCTGCGCCCACGGTCGGAGCAACAAATGTTGTAGTTTTCAGCGCTTATATATTTTTTAAAATCCAGTAATTACCAGCGAAACGTTATACTCGAATTGTAACCGTTGTGGATTTTAACACGTAGGCTTTCGCGACCAAATATCATCCATCATAAGAAGCGTTTTTGGGTTAGTTCGCGTAAATATACGTTGTGGATTTACTCTCCGAACACACCGGTTTGCTGAAACTCGACGCCATGGCTCATTGGCTGCGTCGGGTGGTGGCGAAATTAACGACGACACACTTTATACATTTCTGCGTTTTCCACGCGGCAGCTCTCACTGCAGGAGCCTTCCCTTCTCGCCCGAATGCCATGCCAGACGTAGACATCTGCAATGCTATTCAGCGGCTACTCTGGCTCTCTCTGGCTACAAATCAGCGATGCTTAGCTAAGCCATAGCCGAAGCGTAGATTAAAAGCGTAGATTAAAAACCGAGTAAAGAAAAATATTAATTGCACTAAACAAAAATGATCCCTGCCAGCGTCCCTGTTAGAACGTCATTAAAACTAATGGATGTTTTGCTCACGTGGGAAGCACCCATGGTTGAATCAAGATTGGATCACGCACTGTGGAATTGTATGCAAATGTATATTATGTAAAATATATATGATTCATCCAGGCACCGTACATAGCCAACCGTGCAAATCGGAGGTGCGGGGGAAGGACAACAAACTAAACACAAAAAAAATGACCACGATCATCCACCATCATTACCATCATCATTTCAATCACTCTCACCACCATCATCATCCATTGCAGACATATGCAATGATGAATTAAGCCCCACACCACCCACCCAGCAAACATTCTAACGTTGGCTTGTGGTTGGAGCTGTCATGATCGGCAGACAGTGTCAAGTAGGGGTCTGAAAGAAGGCCCTGCTGCATAACAAATTCGCATCAGGGTGTAATAAATGACATCCCGAGACCAGAAACAATTATTACGCATCATGTTGTTTTAACAATTATGCAGTGACAGTAAAAAGTATACATTTTGACTTACAACTTTCGTGACTGCAGGAATTCATATTCTTTGGTTCTTTCGGTAAAGTCACATAGCAAAAACAATAATAAAAATAAAGTGAATAAAAATAAAAATAATAACAATAAAATAAACAATCAAAAACACTAATGTATATAATTTGGGTCTTTCGGTAAAGCACGTAGATAGAAAAAAATAATAGTAAAAAAATGGGTGGCTTTCCTGTAGACAGAGTGTCCAATTAAGCCATCAGGTCTCTTTTAATAGTTGTGTGGAAACCCTCCCCGTAGAGGCGGTTAACTATTAAAAGAGACCTGATGGCTCAACAAACACAAGATCAAGGTCCGATTTAACAAAATACATAAAATTCGTGATCTGATCCCATCCGTGAAGGGCAAGATTCCTGACATGCAATATCCCGGCGTCTACAAACTAAGCTGTATCTGCAGTTACATTGGGAAACTAAGCGACATGTCTCGGACCGGGTTCGTGAACATAAGGCAGATTTGAAACACGGTAGGACCAATACTTCTGCCGTGGCCAATCACTATTTTAATGCAGCTGGCGCACACGAAATTGATTTCTCTAAGACGATGGTACTTTGTAAGCCTACTGGCTATCAACAAAGATTCGTTCATGAAGCCATCCATATTTACAGGCACAGACACAATTTTAACCGAGAGGATGGTTATAAACTCAGCAATCATTGGAAAGATGTCATCAACCACTTTGGGTCATGACTTGATTTGTGTTTTCTTGTCAACCTCCACCGTCAGCAGTGTGGGTGTGTGGAGCAAGGTGCAATGATTGCCTGGAGGCCCTTTTGGTGGAGACCCACTAACTGCTTAGTTGTTTCCTACAATAACATTAGCTGCCCCGCCCATGCTGCTGACACACTTGGGCTACGCAATCTCTCAACCTTATAAACAGTTTGCCTTTAGAGGTTAATCCCCCTTTTTCCTAATGACGACCACTTGTGTTGCGATCGAAACGTCGTGGTTTTTGTTTTTATTTTATTCAGGTTAGAACCAGGCTACAGTCTACATTACAGACTGCCAGTACGCTCAATCAGTTTAATAATCATTGCTACAGTCTACATCATAGACTGACAATACGCTCACCAGTTTATTTATTTATTTATTTTTCATATATTTTTTTCCCTTTATGTTTTTCTTTTATAATCTACGTGACTTTACCGAAAGAACCGAAGAATAGTAAAAAGTATCATTATATTAAATAAATGAGACCAGACATGAGGTAGTGTATGTTGTTTATTCTGTTAAAAGTGACTTGTACTCGATTAACTTCTTGAATGAGTCAAGAACAGCACAGTAAATATTGATTTAGCATGTTTGCTATATAATGGTTCGTGCTACTATAAATGATTCAGATTGTTTAGCTGATGGGTGTATTCAGTTCATGTTAAAGCGTTTATCCAATTTGCAGGGGCGGTCATGATTGTGGGTTATCGCTGAGAAGTCAATACGTTAAATGCATCAATATTGTTGAATGTTCTTCACGTTGTATCTTTATGGGAACGAATCATTACCAGTTGGGAACCGAGAAGGGCAGACGCACGCTTCCGCACCACGTGGACTGACGCTTCTTGATCACACGTTTCAAGTTGGAGTTTCAGAATAAAGTGGAACCGACCTGGGCCAAGTCTCCAAGTCCATCGTTGAGTGCATGCCCGACACCCGGGTTCACTGGTACACCATGTATCTTTAAACCAATTAAATATACAGCCACGGAACTCTTAAGAGTTCCCAAGTGCTACACCAACGTTGGCCCAACGTTGTAAATACCTGTCCCCCATCACCCCTGCCTCCCCAGCCCCCCTCAAACTCATCTTCCACTCCAAACTGCCATTTACCTGCTCTCACTTAATTTTATTTTAAACCACAATTGAGGCATTAAACGTACAATGGCAGTGGCTTCTAAACAATGGGACTGTTGACAAGAGTTGATGTACAACGTGGATGTTAACGTGGGTAATCTACATTACAAATATTCTTGGTTCTTTCGGTAAAGTCACGTAAAAGGGAAACAATAAAATAATAAAACATATAAAACAATACAATTTATTATTTTATTGTTTCCCTTCTACGTGAATTTACATTACAAATGTTAACACGAACCAATGTACATTCGGAATTTGATCCTTCAAATACCCCATTAAAAACATTCATGATCACAGTCGGGGATTAAAGACTTAATATCTCAGCAATTATGGGTAAGGACCCAGTAAAAATGCAACTCTTGGGGCCAGCGTTCGTTCCAACGTCAACCCACGTGGGCCAGATATCTTCGTGTTTACTGGGGAAAGATGTCACCAAGATGACACATCTGCAACCAATCTTATCGTTTCATCTTCGGACGTTTCGACAACCAATCATGAGTCCTTTTTAATTCCTGTCAATATTTTTTTTTTATTCCTGATAGGGATTAAAAAAGGCGACAACTTGTGGACCAGTGGGAATTATCCATTGTTAATGTCCGGCGATGAAAACACTATGGTTAGAGAAGTATCGTCTTGGTTACATCTTTCCTTACCAATAATTGTTTCGATATGAAATGCTACATTCTATCCCAAACACTTGCACATATACTGATCTCATCATGCCATTCTCTGTCGTGGTCATCCTTGGTGAATTTTCTCATTCACCCCATACGCAAACAAAACATTACATGATGACACACACATTAGGAATTAAGTATTTATTGTATAAATCCATATAAAGACAGGCATTGTCATTTATCTGTATTTACACATTTTACAAGGCACCCATTTTATTTTTCTCACGCAAAAAAACTATTCCTGCCATTCCTCTGCCTCATCCCAACTATGTTTGTGATACTAACTTCCCTCTGCTGCAATAAAAATATATGCTATGAACTGTGCTAGACACCAAAATATAGTACATAATGGCATACTAGTACGGTACGCAAACAACCAGGTGAACATTATGTTAAAACACAATTACAATTAAATGACTGAAACTAATACTTTAAAAGCAGGCACAAACATTTTTAAAATAAGCCTAAATGCATATAAAAAGTGCGTAATTAAACATGTTATAAAATATACAATGTGTCAGCAAAACTATAACAATCGTGTGCTTTATGCAAAGCAAATAAAATATGGTTAATTGTACGGCCACTTCAGTGATACTCTGCAATAAAGTACCCAATAAACATGGCACGTTTGAACAACGTTAGAGCAACGTTGGGGCAACGTTGGGGCAACATTGGAATGACAGTTTCAACCACAATCCAACGTTGGCCCAGTGTTTCGTGTTTATTGGGACAGTACTCTCGTTGTACCAATACAAAAATGCTTATTTTGAGAGAACGTAGTACAAACATTAAACTCCACCACGCAGTGCAATCAAAATAAAGGAACCTTATTGACGGCAGATCCAGGAGAGAGGTCCACGATTGATGTGATATTGCGTTATTTCCATGGCTATTATCCTATATTGGTATGGCATTTGTGTATGTTCATGGAAATTGAACATTTCAATAAATTGTAACTCGTGTATTTCAGGTTAATTAAATGCAGGTAAAGTGGTAGATTTTGCAAGCCTAAAAATGCACTATTCTGATGTATTAATATGCACAAATGTTATGACGTGCACCATTGCTGAAACAGTACATTTGCTTAAACATTTATACTCCCAATATCCACGCAATATGATCGTGTCAATTTATACACCTGAATATCGAACCATTAAAGTACACCAGATTTGTAAAAATTCATTTTTAATTCAGCTAGATCAGTATGGAAGTGGATAAATTCTGCTTGGGTTTTTAAAAAATATATATATATTTCGGACAAGTGTTTCAACAGGTGTAAAATCTCAAGTTTCAGTGACCACACACATTGCCTAGTGATTAAAATAAACGTGAAAACTGCTGCCTTAGCTTTATATACAAAATATGAAACGGCAAAACTCATCAACAGTACCAAAAATAAAGAATGTATTCTAACATGCATGACATGCTAAGCAGCCAATTTGTTTTTAAATTATAATGCAGTTTAGACAGTCGCAAGATGGTTGTGTTTTTCCAAAGCACATGGGCTGCAAAGGGGGGAGGGTTGGATGTTTGTTCAAATAAACAAGTACATTACGTCACATGTCCGACTGTCACATATCCGACCCTACAAATTAACTGCAACCACTCAGTCGCAGTCTTTTGTGCATGGTGGTGTAGATGTAATTTTTCTATAGATGTTTACATATCTGACCTTTTGACATTATCCACCTGTATCTTAGGCCCGAGCGAGTCAGATATGCGATGGTTACCGTACAGTATTGCGTCAAACGTAACTTTGTCATATACACATTATAACTGTGATGTGTATAATCGTGGATTAGTACACCATAATAAAATAGCAATTTATATATACAACTCCACCACAGTGGTGGTCACACAAGTATCCGTTCATTATATATATTTTACTTCGTTACAGAATATGGTTACTGATAGTACATTGGATGTTTCTGTAGATGTAAGATAGGTCCACAGGACACTTACACCAAGAGACAGTTTTGATCACTGTTTTTGGGGTCTACATATATTACAAATTTCTTTACTTTGTTACTTTTTTTCTTTTAATTGCAGTTATTACATGTGCTTTTGAAATAAAATCCATCAACCTCAATTATTGTTATCTGATAGATTGGCAATGTTTAGGGGGTCTAACATCACGTGCTAAATGACACATTTGGTTCTCACAAACGGTTGAATACAGAAGATGCGGAAGCTCATTAATGTTAAAATAGAATACAAAAATGGTTAACAATTAGTTACGAGCATTATGAAACAGGAAATCTTAAATATTTTCACCTTCAAATATGTTAACTTACTTTATTTCTTTAACACAGGTCAGATAAATTAATCGACTATTCATTTGTTGTGGGCCTTGACTGGTGACAAAACAAGTTAACAGATCAGGTGTGTCAGGCATGATAATTCCAATTGCCATGTTAAAACTACTGTATAAAAAAAAGTGTATGAAAAAGATATCAAAGAAGGATGACCAATCCAAGTATTTGGTTTTATTTACAGTTTTCAGTATTGCGCCTTCTAAGTTATGAAAAGCCAATTTTTGGTAGTCCGATCTTAATTCCTGTTCCCGTGTCCAGATCGTCTTGTGAGCCAGAAGACATTCGCACGTCAGGGGAGCTGAGTTTAAGCTTGCCAGATGCGTCAGCATCCCCAGAAATGTTTGCGAACCCTTTCTTCTTTGAGGGACCCACAGAAAACCCTGGGAGTTTGAACTTATGCTTACTCTTCTTGCCAGCAAGGTCTGCTTCATCATCTTGCACATGAAGGTCAAGAGTGCCAGAACGTCCATGTAATTTTGGATCACCAGAAATTTCAGCACCATGTCCAGCAATGGTATAAGAGCCTTTTGATGAAAATCCTGATTGGACATTTGGTGATTTCAAAGATAAGTCACTATGATCTAATTCCCCAAGATCTGCATTAACTTTTGGCCCTCTAAAATTCACACCTGGGGAAGAGTAATTTCCCTTTACTTGTGGAGAAGAACCATCTAGGTCAATATTTGCTTCAGGAGTTCTGATTTTAGGTCCAGAAAACCCAAATGTAGGTGTTTTCATGTCGGGGCCCTTAAAGTGACCCTTTGGTCCTTTAACATCGAGGTCAGTATCAAGGTCAATACTTCCTTTTGGTGCTCTGAAATTAATATCTGGTGCATGCAAATCACCTTCCATATTTGGTCCAGAATAATTCAAACGTCCTCCCATATTTGGTACATTCGCATCTGCATCAAAAGAAGGCGTCTTTAAATTTGGCATGTTAGTTTTAACTTTTGGACCTTTGAGATTAACGTTTGGGGATTCAGCATCAAAATCAGCATCAAAATCTGGTCCAGATGCTTTTGGTAAAGATACGTTAAATTTGGGCATCTTTAAATGAGGTACTTTCATGTTTCCTCCTGGTCCATCAAAGTCAATATTAGGTCCACTAATATTACCACCAATATTTGGACCTTTAAGATGAACGTCAGGGGTATCCAAATTGGAATTGAGTTTTGGAGCTTTCATGCCTCCTCCCAGTTTTGGCCCCGATATATTTAAATCTGCATCAGGAAGATCCACATCAAAATCACCATCTGGGCCTGATATCTTTGGCTTTGACATACCAAAAGAAGGCATGTGAAACTTGCCTTTCGGTCCTTTGAGATCAACATCAGGGGCATCGAAATTGGCATTGACCTTTGGTGCTTTCATGCCTCCACCCAGTTTTGAGCCAGAAATGTTTAAATCTGCATCTGGAAGATCCGCATCAAAATCACCATCTGGGCCTGATATCTTTGGCTTTGACATACCAAAAGAAGGCATGTGAAACTTGCCTTTCGGTCCTTTGAGATCAACATCAGGGGCATCGAAATTGGCATTGACCTTTGGTGCTTTCATGCCTCCTCCCAGTTTTGGGCCAGAAATGTTTAAATCTGCATCTGGAAGATCCGCATCAAAATCACCATCTGGGCCTGACATCTTTGGCTTTGACATACCAAAAGAAGGCATGTGAAACTTGCCTTTCGGTCCTTTGAGATCAACATCAGGGGCATCGAAATTGGCATTGACCTTTGGTGCTTTCATGCCTCCTCCCAGTTTTGGGCCAGAAATGTTTAAATCTGCATCTGGAAGATCCGCATCAAAATCACCATCTGGGCCTGATATCTTTGGCTTTGACATACCAAAAGAAGGCATGTGAAACTTGCCTTTCGGTCCTTTGAGATCAACATCAGGGGCATCGAAATTGGCATTGACCTTTGGTGCTTTCATGCCTCCTCCCAGTTTTGGGCCAGAAATGTTTAAATCTGCATCTGGAAGACCCACATCAAAATCACCATCAGGGCCTGATATTTTTGGCTTTGAAATACCGAAAGAAGGCATGTGAAACTTGCCTTTCGGTCCTTTGAGATCAACATCAGGGGCATCGAAATTGGCATTGACCTTTGGTGCTTTGAGGTCTCCTCCCAGTTTTGGGCCAGAAATGTTTAAATCTGCATCTGGAAGATCTGCATCAAAATCACCATCTGGGCCTGATATCTTTGGCTTTGACATACCAAAAGAAGGCATGTGAAACTTGCCTTTCGGTCCTTTGAGATCAACATCAGGGGCATCGAAATTGGCATTGACCTTTGGTGCTTTGAGGTCTCCTCCCAGTTTTGGGCCAGAAATGTTTAAATCTGCATCTGGAAGATCCGCATCAAAATCACCATCTGGGCCTGATATCTTTGGCTTTGACATACCAAAAGAAGGCATGTGAAACTTGCCTTTCGGTCCTTTGAGATCAACATCAGGGGCATCGAAATTGGCATTGACCTTTGGTGCTTTCATGCCTCCTCCCAGTTTTGGGCCAGAAATGTTTAAATCTGCATCTGGAAGACCCACATCAAAATCACCATCTGGGCCTGATATCTTTGGCTTTGACATACCAAAAGAAGGCATGTGAAACTTGCCTTTTGGACCTTTGAGATCAACATCAGGGGCATCGAAATTGGCATTGACCTTTGGTGCTTTGAGGTCTCCTTCAAAGTGTGGTCCAGATATATCTAGGCCACCTTTCACCTTTGGCATTTTCAGATTTGCATCAAGATCTGGTCCAGATAATTTTGGCCCAGACATATTGAATGTTGGCATCTTTAAGTTAGGTCCTTTAATGCCTGCTTCTGGTCCATCAAGGTCAAGGTTAGGTCCACTAAGTTTTCCACCAATTTTTGGAGTTGAAACATCGAAATTTCCTTTTGGTGCTTTCAGGTCCACATCAAAATCTGGACCATGAAGCTTTGGTCCAGAGATTCCAAACTTTGGCATGGATATTTTAGGTTTTTTTAATTTTAGATCTGGACCTTGAATGTCAAAGTCTGGTGCATTGGCATCCAATCCAATGTCTGGGGCCTTAAAATCAACATTCGGAGACTTCAGGTCAATATTTCCTTTCATATTAGGCATTTTCATATCCAAATTAGGATTAGGCATATCCAAGTCTGCTGTGGGAGCTTTTGCTTTTGATCCTGAGAAACCAACTTTGGGAAACTTAAATTTAGATTTTTTCAATGTTCCGTGAGGACCAGTAATATCGATGTTTGGAGACTCCATATTAATATCAAGTGCAGGAGTTTTAGGTGTCTTCAAACCCCCTTCAATGTTCACATCAGGAATACTTGCTGCTCCTTTAATATTAGGTGTGTTCAGATCAACATTAAGATCTGGAACAGATATTTTCTTACCAGCAGTACCAAACTTTGGCAATTTGAATTTTGGTGACTTAGTTTTAATATCAGGCCCTTCTAATGACAGGTTAGGACTATCAATGTTGACTTTTGGTTGTTTAATTCCAATATTTGGTCCTTTAAGGTCCACTTTTGGCATGTCAACTCTTCCTCCTATCTTTGGACCAGATAGGTTAAGATCAGCATCTGGCAGATTAACATCAAAATCACCATCTGGCCCTGATATCTTTGGCTTTGATATACCAAAAGAAGGCATGTGAAACTTGCCCTTTGGACCTTTGACATCAATATCTGGAGCTTCCAAATCAGCATTCAGTTTTGGTGCTTTGAGGTTTGCATCAATATGTGGTGCAGAAAGATCTAGCCCACCTTTTATCTTTGGCATTTTAAGATCTACATCTGGCCCAGATAATTTTGGCCCAGACATATTGAATTTAGGCATTTTTAAGTGAGGTCCTTTGATGTTTCCTCCTGGTGCATCAAGATCAATGTTAGGTCCGCTAATTTTTCCACCTATATTAGGAGCAGAAATATCTCCTTTAGGTGCTTTGAGGTCAACGTCAAGATTTGGGGCATGCAGTTTGGGACCAGAGATCTTGGGCATTGAAAATTTTGGCTTCTTTAAGTTTATATCTGGACCATCAAGATCAATATTGGGAGCCTTGAGATCAACCTTTGGTGTTTTGATACCTCCCCCTAATTTGGGCCCAGATATATTCAAATCTGCATCTGGAAGATTCACATCAAAATCACCATCTGGACCTGATATGTTTGGCTTTGACATACCAAAAGAAGGCATCTTCAAATCTGGCATGTTAAACTTGCCTTTTGGACCTTTGAGATCAATGTCAGGAGCATCCAAATTGGCATTGAATTTTGGAGCTTTAATGCCTCCACCCAATTTTGGTCCAGAAATGTTTAAATCTGCATCTGGAAGATTTACATCAAAGTCTCCATCTGGTCCTGACAATTTTGGCTTTGATATACCAAAAGAAGGCATATGAAACTTGCCTTTAGGACCTTTTACATCAATATCTGGAGCCTCCAAATCAGCATTTAATTTTGGTGCTTTGAGATCTCCTTCAATACGTGGGGCAGAAATATCTAGGCCCCCTTTCATCTTTGGCATTTTAAGATCCACATCAAGATTTGGGCCAGATAATTTTGGTCCTGACATATTGAATTTAGGCATTTTTAAGTGAGGTCCTTTGATGTTCCCTCCTGGTGCATCAAGGTCAATGTTAGGTCCACTAATTTTTCCACCTATATTTGGAGCAGAAATATCAATATCTCCTTTAGGTGCTTTGAGGTCAACGTCAAGATTTGGGGCATGCAGTTTGGGACCAGAGATCTTGGGCATTGAAAACTTTGGTTTATTTAAATTTATATCCGGACCTTCAAGATCAATATTCGGAGCCTTGAGATCAACCTTTGGTGTTTTGATACCTCCTCCCAGTTTGGGCCCAGATATATTCAAATCTGCATCTGGAAGATTAACATCAAAATCACCATCTGGACCTGAAATCTTTGGCTTTGACATACCAAAAGAAGGCATCTTCAAATCTGGCATATTAAATTTGCCTTTTGGACCTTTGAGATCAATGTCAGGAGCATCCAAATCAGCATTGAATTTTGGGGCTTTAATGCCTCCACCCAATTTTGGTCCAGAAATGTTTAAATCTGCATCTGGAAGATTCACATCAAAATCACCATCTGGACCTGAAATCTTTGGCTTTGACATACCAAAAGAAGGCATCTTCAAATCTGGCATGTTAAATTTGCCTTTTGGACCTTTGAGATCAATGTCAGGAGCATCCAAATCGGCATTTAATTTTGGAGCCTTGAGATCTCCTTCAAAATGTGGTGCAGATATATCTAGGCCTCCTTTCATCTTTGGCATTTTAAGGTTTGCATCAAGGTCTGGGCCAGATAACTTTGGCCCAGACAGATTGAATTTAGGCATTTTTAAGTGAGGTCCTTTGATGTTCCCTCCTGGTGCATCAAGGTCAATGTTAGGTCCACTAATTTTTCCACCTATATTTGGAGCAGAAATATCAATATCTCCTTTAGGCGCTTTGAGGTCAACGTCAAGATTTGGGGCATGCAGTTTGGGACCAGAGATCTTGGGCATTGAAAACTTGGGTTTCTTTAAATTTATATCTGGACCTTCAAGATCAATATTCGGAGCCTTGAGATCAACCTTTGGTGTTTTGATACCTCCCCCCAGTTTGGGCCCAGATATATTCAAATCTGCATCTGGAAGATTCACATCAAAATCACCATCTGGACCTGATATGTTTGGCTTTGACATACCAAAAGAAGGCATCTTCAAATCTGGCATGTTAAACTTGCCTTTTGGACCTTTGAGATCAATGTCAGGAGCATCCAGATCGGCATTGAATTTTGGAGCTTTAATGCCTCCACCCAATTTTGGTCCGGAAATATTTAAATCTGCATCTGGAAGATTCACATCAAAGTCACCATCTGGACCTGATATCTTTGGCTTTGACATACCAAATGAAGGCATCTTCAAATCTGGCACGTTAAACTTGCCTTTTGGACCTTTGAGATCAATGTCAGGAGCATCCACATCGGCATTGAATTTTGGACCTTTAATGCCTCCACCCAATTTTGGTCCGGAAATGTTTAAATCTGCATCTGGAAGATTCACATCAAAGTCACCATCTGGACCTGATATCTTTGGCTTTGACATACCAAAAGAAGGCATCTTTAAATCTGGCATGTTAAACTTGCCTTTTGGTCCTTTGAGATCAATGTCAGGGGCATCCAGATCGGCATTGAATTTTGGAGCTTTAATGCCTCCACCCAATTTTGGTCCGGAAATATTTAAATCTGCATCTGGAAGATTCACATCAAAGTCACCATCTGGACCTGATATCTTTGGCTTTGACATACCAAAAGAAGGCATCTTTAAATCTGGCATGTTAAATTTGCCTTTTGGACCTTTGAGATCAATGTCAGGGGCATCCAGATCGGCATTGAATTTTGGAGCTTTAATGCCTCCACCCAATTTTGGCCCGGAAATGTTTAAATCTGCATCTGGAAGATTCACATCAAAGTCACCATCTGGACCTGATATCTTTGGCTTTGACATACCAAAAGAAGGCATCTTTAAATCTGGCATGTTAAACTTGCCTTTTGGACCTTTGAGATCAATGTCAGGGGCATCCAGATCGGCATTGAATTTTGGAGCTTTAATGCCTCCACCCAATTTTGGCCCGGAAATGTTTAAATCTGCATCTGGAAGATTCACATCAAAATCACCATCTGGACCTGAAATTTTTGGCTTTGACATACCAAAAGAAGGCATCTTTAAATCTGGCATGTTAAACTTGCCTTTTGGTCCTTTGAGATCAATGTCAGGGACATCTAAATCCGCATTCAGTTTTGGAGCCTTGAGATCTCCTTCAAAGTGTGGTGCAGATATATCTAGGCCTCCTTTCATCTTTGGTGTTTTAAGGTTTGCATCAAGGTCTGGGCCAGATAACTTTGGCCCAGACAGATTGAATTTAGGCATTTTTAAGTGAGGACCTTTGATGCTCCCTCCTGGTCCATCAAGGTCAATGTTAGGTGCACTAAATTTTCCACCAATATTGGGAGCAGAAATATCAAAATCTCCCTTTGGTGCTTTAAGGTCCACATCCAGATCTGGGGCATTAAGTTTTGGACCAGACATCTTGGGCATTGAAAACGTTGGCTTTTTCAACTTTAAATCGGGACCATGAAGGTCGATATCCGGTGCATCAACATTTAATCCAATATTCGGAGCTTTGAGATCAACCTTTGGTTTTTTTATACCTCCCCCCAGTTTGGGCCCAGATATATTCAAATCTGCATCTGGAAGATTCACATCAAAGTCACCATCTGGACCTGATATGTTTGGCTTTGACATGCCAAAAGAAGGCATCTTCAAATCTGGCATGTTAAACTTCCCTTTTGGACCTTTGAGATCAATGTCAGGAGCATCCAAATCGGCATTGAATTTTGGAGCTTTAATGCCTCCACCCAATTTTGGTCCAGAAATGTTTAAATCTGCATCTGGAAGATTCACATCAAAGTCACCATCTGGACCTGATATCTTTGGCTTTGACATACCAAAAGAAGGCATCTTCAAATCTGGCATGTTAAACTTGCCTTTTGGACCTTTGAGATCAATGTCAGGAGCATCCAAATCGGCATTTAATTTTGGAGCTTTAATGCCTCCACCCAATTTTGGTCCAGAAATGTTTAAATCTGCATCTGGAAGATTCACATCAAAGTCACCATCTGGACCTGATATCTTTGGCTTTGACATACCAAAAGAAGGCATCTTCAAATCTGGCATGTTAAACTTGCCTTTTGGACCTTTGAGATCAATGTCAGGAGCATCCAAATCGGCATTTAATTTTGGAGCCTTGAGATCTCCTTCAAAATGTGGTGCAGATATATCTAGGCCTCCTTTCATCTTTGGCATTTTAAGGTTTGCATCAAGGTCTGGGCCAGATAACTTTGGCCCAGACAGATTGAATTTAGGCATTTTTAAGTGAGGTCCTTTGATGCTCCCTCCTGGTCCGTCAAGGTCAATGTTGGGTCCACTAACATTTCCACCAATATTTGGAGCAGAAATATCGAAATCTCCCTTTGGTGCTTTAAGGTCCACATCCAGATCTGGGGCATTAAGTTTTGGACCAGACATCTTGGGCATTGAAAACGTTGGCTTCTTCAACTTTAAATCAGGACCATGAAGGTCGATATCTGGTGCATTCACATCAAATCCAATATTCGGGGCCTTCAGATCAACCTTTGGTTTTTTTATACCTCCTCCAAGTTTGGGTCCTGATAAATTAAAATCTGCATCTGGAAGATTTACATCAAAGTCACTATCTGGACCTGATATCTTTGGCTTTGACATGCCAAAAGAAGGCATCTTTAAATCTGGCATGTTAAACTTGCCTTTGGGACCTTTGAGATCAATGTCAGGGGCATCTAAATCCGCATTTAGTTTTGGACCTTTGAAATCCCCTTCAATGTGTGGTGCAGATATATCTAGGCCTCCCTTCATCTTTGGCATTTTAAGGTTTGCATCAAGATCTGGCCCAGACAATTTTGGACCAGACAGATTGAATTTAGGCATTTTTAAGTGAGGACCTTTGATGCTCCCTCCTGGTCCATCTAGGTCAATGTTAGGTCCACTTAAATTTCCACCAATATTTGGAGCAGAAATATCGAAATCTCCCTTTGGTGCTTTAAGATCAACATCCAGATCTGGGGCATGAAGTTTTGGACCAGACATCTTTGGCATGGAAAATGTCGGCTTCTTCAACTTTACATCTGGACCATGAAGATCAATATTCGGTTCATCAACATCTAATCCAATATTTGGTGCCTTGAGATTTAATTTAGGTGTTTTGACACCTCCTCCTATCTTTGGCCCAGATAGGTTAAGATCAGCATCTGGCAGATTAACATCAAAATCACCATCTGGCCCTGATATCTTTGGCTTTGATAGACCAAAAGAAGGCATGTGAAACTTGCCCTTTGGACCTTTGACATCAATATCTGGAGCTTCCAAATCAGCATTCATTTTTGGTGCTTTGAGGTTTGCATCAATATGTGGTGCAGAAAGATCTAGCCCACCTTTCATCTTTGGCATTTTAAGATCTACATCTGGCCCAGACAATTTTGGCCCAGCCACATTGAATTTTGGCATTTTTAAGTGAGGACCTTTGATGCTCCCTCCTGGTCCATCAAGGTCAATGTTAGGTCCACTAAAATTTCCACCAATATTTGGGGCAGAAATATCAAGATCTCCCTTCGGTGCTTTAAGGTCGACATCTACGTTTGGGCCATGAATCTTCGGACCGGACATTCCAAACTTTGGCATGGAAAATTTTGATTTTTTAAATTTTGCATCAGGACTGTGAATATCAATGTCAGGTGCATCAACATCCAATCCCATCTTTGGGGCTTTAAGATCAACTTTCGGTGATTTTATTTTCCCCCCAAAGTTTGGTGAAGATATATCTAAATTAGCATCTGGAAGATTTACATCAAAATCACCCTCTGGCCCTGATAGTTTTGGCTTTGACATACCAAATGAAGGCTTATTTAATTCTGGCATATTAATCTTGCCTTTGGGGCCTTTTACTCGAATGTCCGGGGCTTCCAAATCAGCATTCAGTTTTGGTGCTTTGATGCCTCCCTCAATGTTAGGTGCTGATATATTTATATCTCCTTTTGCCTTTGGCTTTTTGAGGTCTAAATCAAGATCTGGTCCAGAAACTTTTGGTCCAGACAAACTGAACTTGGGCATTTTCAATTTTGTCCCTTTAATACTTCCTTCAGGGCCATCAAGATCAAAGTCAGGCCCACTAACCTTTCCCCCTACCTTCGGAGCAGACAGATTAACATTTCCCTTTGGTGATTTTAGATCAACGTCAACATCTGGTCCATGTACCTTGGATCCAGACAAACTAAATTTTGGCATCGTTAGTTTGGGTTTTTTTAATTTTGCTTCGGGTGCGTTAACATCAATATTCGGTGCATCAATGTCCAATCCAACGTTTGGTCCTTTGATATCAGCCTTTGGCATTTTCATGTTACCCCCTATTTTGGGTGCTGAAACATCAAAGTCTGGACCTTCAATTCTTCGTGCAGGAACATTTACATTTCCCATTGGTGCTTTGAAATCAATATGTGGCATCTGAACCTTTTGTGACCCTGACAACCCAAATTTTGGTAATGTCATTTTCGGTAATCCAATTGTTGAGTATGTTCCTTCATTTTTCATACGAGGATTATTCATGTCAATATTGGGACCCTTTACATTTGGTCCAGATATACCAACATTGGGTGATCTGAATTTACCCTCTGACCCTTCGAATGTAATTTCATGTGGCCCAAGTGTGTAACTTGTTGCCTTTGGCTTCACTCTGAAGTCCCCTGTGGCATCACCAGAAACACTGGCGCTCCCAAAGCTTGGAAGTGTTGCGTCAAATTCTCCACGTTTTCTTGGTGCCTGTGGACCTTTAAAATAGAGCGAAGTTGAGTAATTTCCTTCCGGAGCCTCCATCTGAAACAAAACACAAAACAGTTTACGCTTTAACAAGTGTATAAAGTGCATTATAAACATAGCTTACATGAATAAAAACAAGTGATACACAAGCAAGCATGAAATGAGTTAAATGATGACGCCACCCTGCTGCTCTATTTCAGACCGAGAGCAAGTGAGGGCTTTACCATTCTGGCGAATTGCCCGATGGTGCTGGATGTAATTACCAGCGAAACGTCGTATTCAAACTGTAAATGTTGTGGATTCACTCTTCAACACACCGGTGGGCTAAAGTAGTGAACTATTTGTCTTTTGTCAACGTGACACTTTTTTGCTGATTGGCCGTGTCGGGTGGTGGAGGGTTATGACACATTAATAAATAACGCGATCTAACCCAAAAACCTTTATTATGAACAAGCAAGCATATGTAAATACCGAAATGTCTATAATCATGGGTGTTTTTGAGTGCACAAATATATGTATAAAGTGACTCTGTTTATGATTGCTTATATGGGGGCATGTACATATGAATTGTTATCAATGTTTAACAATCGTGTTTTAAACAACACAAGTGTAGCGTTGTAAATATTGACGAATAAACTTCTTTATGAGGCACACGTTGTTTATTGTCTTTCACTACAGGGTCCCTAGCAGGAAGGGTATATCGGTCCCCCGATACCTGGGCGCTATGGCCTCCGGACTATACGGGACCTAACTCTGGTCACCCGTTCCCTATCGTCCTCCGGCTAGGACCTAGGGGAGGCTAACTGACCCCGACCACCTGGTCCCTGGGTCCTGACCACTGTCCTCACTGAGCTCTACAGCCCTTAGAAGGGCTGTAGAGCTTGGGGTCCAGGGTCCTGTCTGCCAGGGACCTATTCTCCCTTGACCACTGGCCTCACTGAGCCCTTAGAAGGGCTGTAGAGCTTGGGGTCCAGGGTCATGTCTGCCAGGGACCTATTCTCCCTTGACCACTGTCCTCACTGAGCTCCAGCCCTTAGAAGGGCTGTAGAGCTTGGGGTCCAGGGTCCTATTCTCCAGCCCGGTCTTCTGTCTTCGGCGTGTAGATAACTGAGCCAGAGCTCTCTGAGCTCTCTGAGCTCTGGCTCATTTACCCGTTCGTGGCCGGCTCCGCCCTGACCACGCCTTCCTTCTGGAACCTTCTGGAAGGTGACATCATTCCCCCGGTTCCTCCCCCACCCGGGGGCCCCGGGAATGTGTCCTAGGATCCGTTAACCAGGATTCGCCGTTGGCCTCTCTCTGGCCCATGGCATTTGCCCTGGCGAGGTAACGCCTCTGCACTCTGCTGACAGTAAGTGGAACTGCGGGGCTGTAGCATGGTGAGTGACAATCACTCCTACACAAGCAACAAAATCTCAGTCTCCCCTCCATGTAAGAATATTATTTGATATCCAGCCATATATATTTCTCAAAAAATGTAAAGGAAAAACCAAATACTAAATACTTCTCTTGAAGCATTGTTAACTGTATAATTAGTTTTTTTTTGTAAATATGAATTGCTGAAAAACTACTCTGCACAATTTAATTACATGACATATGTAGTCACACTCCTGGGTGCTGTAACAACGGTTGGCTTTAAAATAATTAACCATTGCACGGTACAGAAAGAAAATGTATAAAAAATAACGCGTAACGGTGAACACAGAGTTAATTCTGCGGTGGACGGACAGCGGCTAGGACAAGTGAGGCAATGTACGTATCTGGGAAACATTCTGACAGACGATGGTAGATACTCGAAGGACATTAGAGCCATGACTGTCATGGAGAAAGCGGAATTGAGCAAGAGAAGAATACTATATCTATGGGACCTTTTGCCAGTATCAAAATGATAAAAACATAGCGAATAGGCTTTCCCCTTTCCGGCAATAAAACAGGTCTTAAGATATTCTTAGCTCTTTCGGTAAAGTCACGTTGAAGGGAAACAATATATTTATATATATAATTATTTTATTGTTTCCCTTCAACGTGACTTTACCGAAAGAGCTAAGAATATGAATTACTCCAGTCACGAAAGCTTTAAATCAGGTCTTAAGATGTTTAAACACCAAATCGATACCTATTGCAAGGCATCAAGTCTGCATTAACCACACATACGTGTGGCAAAACATGCAAACAAAAATACTCTGATTATGTATGCATTGTCCTTTAAACTGATTGGCCTACACCAAGGAGAGCCTTCTTTATGACCTTGTCTCACAAGTGTTAGAATTCTGCTAAAAAGACAAATTAAACTATGACATTTAAAGCTTTCGTAACTGCAAAAACGCTGCCAAGCTTAGCAGTGTTCATTGGAGCGCCGTCTTTCCGAGAGTTCTGTTTCTTCACCTGAGGAAGGCTACTTGCGTTGTGGCCGAAACGTCGAGAGAATTTTATTTTATTATGTTTTATTTTTATTATTTTATTATTTCCCTTCTACGTGACTTTACCGAAAGAACCAAGATGATAAACTATGACACTTTTTATTTATTTTACCAGGTAAGGCCCACTGAGCTATAAAGCTCTTTTGTCAGATGCGACCTGGCCACAAATGATAGCCCAACCAAGTGGCTTATCACATAGAAATTTATAGCAGCCAAATACTCTCAATGCACCTTTCAAAATGTGGAGGGAAAAACTGGAGGGATCGGAGAAAAATCCATGCGACCATAGGGAAAACATGCAAACTTCAAAAATACAGCAGGCGCCAGGGTTGGGATCAAATCCATGAACCCCTGTTTACCAGGCGAGGTAGTTATCACCGTGGCGACTTAGCGGAGAGTTGAAGAAGTGTCAAGTGATGATGCTAACATGTGGGGTGTAGTGTTGCATGCAGCAGAAACTGGGACTGGGAAAGAAAGACACTAGATGCCTGTACAATCTTGAAATGAGGGTTGTGGCATGGAATGCAGTAAATCATGTGGACGGAGATAAAGAGTAACGTGGAAGTTTCTAGAGAAACTTCAATAGGACAGAAATCGAATTAGAATTGGACACATTCTCGGAGCTAAAGCTTGATGAAGGAAGTATTTAAAATGATGAATATCAGAGAAAGAGGCCAAAAGGCAGAAACAAATAAATGGTATGAAGTGAAATGCAGAAGACAGCTCACGTTCAGACAGGGTGGGTTAGGAGTTTTAGTCAAAGACCTGCTATTTTGTAGAGGACTATATAAGAATACATAGTCACCTCATAGGAGTCTGTTGTGACATCCAGAGTCTCCGCAGAGGCAGAAAGCCGCGGCTTGATCTTCTTGTTGAAGATTCTTTTGTAGCACTGGTCAGTTGTTTCACTCTACATGCAGCACATAACACAGGGCACATTGGCAGAGATTGAAGGAAAGGCCAGCTCTGTCAACAATGGGTATGTCAATGTTTCCCACGGATATATCTATAGTGAGGGAAAAAAGTAATTGATCCCCTGCTGATTTTGTACATTTGCCCACTGACAAAGAAATTATCAGTCTATAATTTTAATGGTAGGTTTATTTGAACAGTGAGAGACAGAATAACAACAAAAAAATCCAGAAAAACGCATGTCAAATATGTTATAAATTGATTTGCATTTTAATGAAGGAAGTAAGTATTTGACCCCTCTGCAAAACATGACTTAGTACTTGGTGGCAAAACCCTTGTTGGCAATCACAGAGGTCAGACGTATATATAGAATAATTCATGAGTGTAACTAAGATTCTGTGGTCTCACTTTGTGGCCATGAGCACTTTCTGAAGACTTTAGCTAAATAATTGCATTATTGTACGAAGGAAATAATAATGGGCTGGTGTCAAGGCTAAGATTTTGGCTAGGGCCTGTTACTTAAATGGTATACATTTTTCAGCATAACCTTTTCATGGTACGTCACTTTTCCATGAAATTATCCACCAGTCCTCTACACTTTGCTTATGCTCTTGGCAGAACTCTGTTAACACAACAGGGTATGCAAGTGTGACCGGCTCGCCCTATCCCTCTCCTGTGATCGTAACAAGGGGACAGGCCGGTTAATAAAGACAACAATAATAGACAAGTTTGGAGACAATGAGTGGATACTCTGCTTTTTGTTCTGCCCTCCTCTTGAGGATCGAGTGACTCTACCACCGAGGCACACCAGAGGGTTGTTGAATGGCAAATCTTTATTTCAAAGTGTTCTTCCGAGGAGCATTTGTGCACCTGTAATTATGACCAGATGTACACCAATCGACCCCACATTACACAACATCTCATTGCTCAATCCTTGTACAGCGTACATCTGAATCTGATAGATGCACTGTACCCTGAATTGATTACTCCACTGGTGGGCGTGGTCTACTGTGCAATCACATGTGTCTATGGGTCCAATCCATGGTCATCATTAACTCCATTCATAACTATACGTGTGATTCATTACATTAAGGCCATGCTGGCTACATAAGCGACCACACCCAGCCCCCCTTAGGGTTGTAGGAAATGACTTAGCACGTTTGTGTATTTATTTACACTTGTTTACCAGTTAAGCCTCAAAACTCCTTTTAGAAGGAAGGGTCCTGGCAAGTTTTTTTTTCGCAGGAGATGACGTTGCTCTGTGTAAATCTCAAATGCGTCGTCTGCTGCAAGGGAACATTTGCAGCATGGGGATGTTTTGGCCAATACCGGTAACATGTTACGTTTTTGTTGTTGTTATTGTTGTTACCTGCGGGAGGAAAATCAGAGAACCCAGAGAACAAACTCAAGCAGCACAGGGCGGTAGAACATACCAAGTCCGGGGTCGGGAACCAAACCCAGGTGCTGTTGTACTGCTCCGCTGTGAGGCACACGCGTTACGAACGAGCCACCCAATGCCTTTCACGCGAGACAAAAGCTAATTTAGCTAAAGTGGCCGAGTCACTGCTCAGGGGGGGTACGATTTGTGGGGGGTGGGGGGGGTCGATGTCTGCCCGCCCATTTGCAACTTGTGTTCGTGATTCCTACCCTTTGGTCGTATTCGGTAAAGTCACGTAGGTAAAAAAATAAAATAACAAAAATCGCGACGTTTCGGCCACAACACAAGTGGCCTTCATCAGGTGAAGGGACCGGACTGTCCAGAGGACAGCGTTGGAGTGATTCCTACCATGCCCAGGTTTGGCCCTTGAAAGCTGTAGTCTGGGGACCGCAAGGTTGGCGAGTAGACATCGGCGTCGTAGGGGTCGGCCAGCAGGCCGTCCACAGACCCTCGGCGCAGTCGCAGGCCAGTCTTGTACTTGTCTGACATCTGCAGGAGCCTCATGGCGTCCTCCCTCTTCATGTCCTTGAAGTAAATGGTCGCCGACACAATCTGGTCTCCTGCATGCAGAAGGGAGGGAGGGAGGGCAATATCTTTGTTGATTCAATGTTGCCTGCACATTTTCAATCATGCTAATTGCTCTTAGTGGCCTGCTGCCTGGTGGACGATTTAAACGCAGAGCGCTGCACCCTAACGAACGCGTCCCTTGTCTGCGACAATCTCGCGTCAGTCTTAGCAGGCGCTTGAGTTTTATTTTTGTAGGACAGTCGGGAAGGCTCACTCCGACTGCCAGGAGCTAGGAGCCTGTGGCCCAACCACGAGACTGAAATTGATGTTGGAGGGGGCGGGGCAAATTGGGGGGGAGGGGCCAGGGCCATCAGAGGGAGGGGCCAAAGCTGACATGTGGAGGGTGGGGCCATTTGGGAATAAGTATTGACCCAGTTGGTGAGATTTAACCCTCGTTTGTAATATGTGTTTCCATCTATTCATAATAATAACAACATATATGTCAATCATTAAATAAGCCCTTGTACTTTCATTACAAGTTCAAAAGCCTGATGCCAATGGAAAGCGCCAAGGAGATAAGAGCAATACAATTATTTCTCGAAAAACAGTGAGAACACAGATGCGCACTAATGCACAAAGGAACGCGCCTGCCTCCAAAGCAGAAACTTTTAGATATTTGATTATAAAATAATAAAATAAACATTTAAAACCTATGCCACAAAAATTGATGGGCTTAAATTTACTCTCCCATGACTCTTGTTGGTGAGAAGTAACATGGAGAGAGAGGTGATGGCACTCTCCATAAGCCAAGCACTAAAAGCCCCCCCCCCCTCCACCACCCCCTCCACCCCCCCTTACCATAGCGCCGGCAAAAAAAATGTGGCTCTGGAAACGAGCTAACTTCTCGGTGGGACGCGCAACCTTCCCGGCTCACCTTCATTGACTTGTAAGTTCTGCCGTAGAGAGTCCTTCTGCACATCCTTGATGAAGATGCCTTCCTGTCCACGGTCCTCGATCGAGAAGTCGTCGGATGTGAGCCCTTGGGTCTTGTCCAGGACCACGCTGTGTTCCTCCATGCTGGCTTCTTTTGACGGCAGGCGTACACGTTCTACGCCACCTCAACGTGAGCCTCTCTCAGTTCTCTCTTTGTCTTGTGTGTGTCTGTGTATTTCTGAAATGTTCAGTAGCGTGTCTTCAAACGTTTCACGCTCGCCGAACTCTCGCGTATGGCCCTTTGTCGCTTGATTTTCTCACGTCGCCGCCGCTATTCAAACGGAGCTCATGGTCGACTGAAATTTACCTGTTTGAACAGGAGACAATGACAAAGATTAGTAGGGTGACATTTATTAAATGAGATGTGCGCACCTCATACTGAAATACACAGTCAAGTAATATTTTCTAACATCTAGCATTCCAATATGTACATAGCCGCTGTATGTTGAACTTTTTTCGCACCGTACGTAGCCGACTGTGCTAATCGGAGGTGACGGCATTTATTATCGTACAGGTATTTTAAAGCGACGTGTAATTTTGTCTCTATGGTGAAACTACAAAAAAAATTGGCGGATCCTCTAATTTTTTACGCACTGTGCTAATAAACTAAAAATGTCGGCGGAAAATAAGTTGCGGCGTTCGCAAATATTCAGTAGCCAGTTGCTTCACGACTCCTGAGAGGCCTAACCCCAAAAACAAACGTGGATTATTGTATGGGCTACAATCTTTGTTTCTTCGCACACAGTGTATATATAATATATTTGTATGGTCATCACCACAATCGTGTGCTCTTCGAAAATAGTAGCCATACTCTTCTACTAAACCTATCGAATCTATATATTTTTTTTATTTCACTCCGGTAAGGCCCACTGAGCTATATAGCCCTCTTTCAGAAGCAACCTGGCTATCACAAATGATAGCTCAATAAAGCACTGTCAGATGCGTTTCTGCGGCCATCTGCAACGCTCTTCATTCCCATATTAAGAAGCCACTGGAGCTATGCACGAGTAAATCTAGATTTAAAACTCATTTCTTTCTAACTGCTTTTTGTGTTTAGTTTGCTGTCCCTCCGCCCGCACCTGTAATTATCGAGATTGGCTACGTTATGGTGCGAAAAAAGTTCAACATAGACATACGCATACAAAGTGGCTTATGATGTGGAAACTTATAGCAGCCAAATACTCTAAGGACATGTTTCTAAATGTGGAGGGAAAAACCGGAGGACCCGGAGACAAATCCACACGACCACGGTGAGAGAGCGATAGAGAGAGAGAGTCACGCAAACTCCAAACATACAACAGGCGTCCAGGATCGCAATCGAACCCGCGACCTCCTGCATACCAGGCGACGCAGAAAACACCTCGCGAGTGCGTCTCGATGCAGGTGTGTGTCACCTGCGTGGCTCCACCCCAGCTTTTCTTCCCCCCACCCACCCCACCAGCTGGGCCAGTAACACCAGGCTCAGGTGCAGGATAGGAGAGATCACTCCGAGAAACCCGAGTGTTGCTCAGGTCTCTCGGTTGAAAACATCAAGAGCCGCCTGTGCGAGCAAGCGGCATTGTTTTCGATAAAAAAAAACTGCAGAACGAAAGGTTAACTGTGTGCACCCTAGTCCGTGTACACGACGCACGTGTGCGCACGGCGGTGGCGGCGGGGGGGGGCTATCGTGCAATTCATTTAAAAACACGCACGCACCGTTCTGTTGAGCGCTTCAGACTTCGCCGTACATCTTTAGTTATCGACGTTGCAGCCGACTGCGTGAGTACTTCTGTCAACTTGCAGATGTACACACGTATTGGTCGTAACAAAAAATATATACATTTCGATTAATAAGAAATGTTCTTACAAATAGAGGAGTGTTTTTCGGTTGAAAATGCAAACGTTAATATTCAACCGCTTACATTACTATGCTGTACGCTGGGAGGAGCAGCAGAGGGCAGTGCATAATAACAGCTATTGTTGGACAGTCCTGGTTGGTATGCCCCCCCCCCCCTTACCTTCAACCAACCCAACGTGGTGAAGTATGGTCCAAAAAACCCCCCACAACTCGCACGGCGCGGGAAGGCCCGAAACCAGCAGTAGATTGACAGAAATGGCTAAATACAATCATGCCCCGGTTTAAGTCTCCCGTCGTCGCCTTATTATTAACACCGCTACCCGATGTGCGTCGCCTAAACCCTACGCTCACGTCGCTGACAGCATCGCCATCCGTCCTTTCTCGTTATCCACCGCCTCTCAGCCTTCGCCTCCACCACCTACCCTGAAAATCGCTCTGATTTACGTCGTTTAGATATTCGTCGTCGCGCGTTTCAGGAAGGGATCCCAGACGCAAACTATTTTTTTTTAGTTTTGGCATGTAAGGCCCACTGAGCTATTAGCTATTTCTCAGAAGCGACCTGGCAACAATTCACAAATTGACGAAGTGGCTCATCGTGTGGTGATTTATAGCAGGAGCCAAATACTCTAAACGCACGTTCATTCTAAATATTGAGGGAAACGACGGAGGGCACTGAGAAAAATCCACGCGACCACGGGGAGGACATGCAAACTCGGAACATACAGCAGGCGTTCGCACCGGGATCAAACCCACAACCTCACGTATACCGAATAAAATAGTTAACATCCCGCCACCATAGAGATATGCATATGAACACATGCACACATCCCCATTCGTACGCATACATTTATCATTGTTGTTTGCGTGGAATGTACATATGACTGCATGATTTGTCACCAGCTAAAACCATCTCAACTGGCAAAACCAGCTCCCTCTTGCAGAAATTCCTTTGCGCGGGGTGTGCCCGGCCAGAAGGCTTTTTTTGTGTCATATAATTCCATTCATATAATGCCATCGACCCACCACACACCCAAAAGCAAACCCCCATGAAAATCCAGTTGGGCGAGACGATCCGGTGATCTTACAGTTGCCACGACCTTTATAGTGTGGCCGTATGAGCCACAGGGCACTTTGGTGTGACTAATAATAATAGTAACCACGAGGAATTTCTCATGTGCTCGAGAGCTCGGCGATGGTTGATTTCGGGGGGTTGTACCGCTCCACGTATCTGGAGCTCCTTCACTTCAGGCTGAGCAAAAACTACGGGAGGCCTAGGAACCAGGTTCAGACATCGCCCCAACACTGATGATTGCCATGGCTGGAAAACGAACTCGGGTAATTGGATACACAGCGAAAGATAAAGGTCCCCCAATATTGTAAAGCCTTTAACAGATTGTTGGAGCAAGTGCTGCGAGTGAGCACGTATTAAGTGCCAGATCAGTACACGAGGGGGTGGGTGGCTAACACCACACACCCCAGCCACCTTCGAGTACTCATTTACTGCTGAGACGATGTTTACACACTGCACCGAGTATTCATTTACTGCTGGAGACGATGTTTACACACTGGACCGAGTACTCATTTACTGCTGGAGACGATGTTTACACACTGCACCGAGTACTCATTTACTGCTGAGACGAGCTAGGTAAGGCTCAGGACCGGTTCAAATATCACGCGCTACTGATGGCAACTTCCTGAACAGGCTCCCAGCGTGTGCATTGAAACTCCAAAATCGTGTCGGGGAGCTACACGAGCAACTTAATTCATAAATGCGGCGCCGGTTTTTCCACGTGGCAGCGTCGCAGACGTAAATTATTTAGCAGTGTTTAGCACCTGCAAACCTTCGGTTCGTATTGCAGATTATCTGGTGCAGACGCCTCTCCGCGCGCATCTGACATGTACCGGCACAATGGACCTTTTGTCGGGGTCAATGCCATTTTGCGCCTTTAAAGATCATCGAGTGTCTTGTAAGCAAGCAGGCGAGTGGAGGTTTTTTGTGGACGTTTTTTTTAAATGTCACCTTTTGGTTCTCGCTTAATCGTTGTACCACGTCGTTTTACGGAAACAGCAACAACAACAAAAATTACCGTGAAGATGTGTGAAGTGTACCTTTTCAAAGCAAAGTGCGAGATAGATATTTTTTTGGAAGTAAATGGTCAATATTGTGGTGCCACTGGTTTGCGCTGCAGTTTTCATCAGGGATCAGGCTTTGTATTGTTTTGTTGATACTGTTTTTCTGTGTTTTATTTGGTGAATTGTGTGAGCGTTGTTCAAGGTAATCTTACTTCCCTTTCAAATGTCCTTGTCAATTAACGCAACTGTTCCAATTCCCATAATAGGTATGGAGCCTGGTTGTCCCTTGAGGGAGACTTTCAGTCCCAACTCCAGGAAAAACTCGGCTTATTGCGGGATGATGTGGTGGACCCGATAAACTCTGACTAAAAACTACTTTTACTGGTAGGAAGCTCCTGGTTACACCAGCCCACAGGGGGTTATTGTGTCCGTCCGTCCTGCATCCAAAAATGGGAGGGGTGGGGCTGGGTGAAGAGGTGAGGGTGGGGAGGGGCTGGGTGGGGAGGGAGGGGCTGGGTGGGGAGGGGAGGGGCTGGGTGGGGAGGGGCTGGGTGGGGAGGGGAGGGTGGCGAGGGGCTGGGTGGGGAGGGTGGGGAGGGGCTGGGTGGGGAGGGGCTGGGTGGGGGGGGGCTGGGGAGGGGCTGGTCACCCCGTGGTGCCCTTATAAAACTCAACGTTTAACCTACTCACGCCGGCTTGTGCCCGCCCTCACAGTCGAGCATATTTGCGGAATACACCACGTGGTGCCGCCGTTGACCCTGGCCACTGACCGAGCAACCCAACGTTCCTACCAGCTCCCTCCGCAGGAATGTGTTTAATTTACCAGGTATGGCCTACTGAGATATATAGAGCTCTTTTTCAGAAGCCACCTTGCCACAAATGATAGCTCAACGAAGTGGCATATCATCGTGCGGAAATTTACAGCAGCCAAATACTCTTAAATGCCTGTTTCTAAATGTGGAGGCAAAAACCGGAGGACCTGGAGAGAAATCCACGCCACCACGGGGAGAGAGACATGCAAACTCAAATATACAGGCGTCAGGATTGGATTCTAACCCATGACTGCCTGTATACCAGGCGTGGTAGTTAACATCTCGCCACCGCGGCGGGGTGGCTTCGGCACGTAATTCTATTCTTCGTGATCAGTGGCGGCTCGTGACATGTCCACTAGGTGGGGCTGTTGTGAGTGACCTCTGAAAAAGATGGTGTTCTAATTCAGAAAAAAACCTCGTCACGTTATTGGCCTCCCCGTGAAAGTGATATAACTTTATATATACCAACGTTGAGGCATTCATAAACAATACGAAATAAAACAACGAAGCACTCAAACGCTGTCCCCATGACCCTCACGTCCACATGACCCTCACGTCCACACTACACAACACTTCATTGGACCT